GGAGGCAACAAATTTCTTTGTTGATTAGCTGGGACAAACTTATAATTTAAAAGGTAAGAAAATGCTCAAAACCAGTAAAAATCAGGACATTACATATTTGAATTAGCCAAACCTGCATATCTTGATGTCTTATGTAAGCTGTTACTGCCTGAAAGAATCGGTCTACTGTTTTTGTCAAAGCAGATTAGCACAGTTTTCTCTTTTAGAGTATTTTGCATATTATCATTGCCATCATATAAGCTGTGGATGTGAGGTACTGAAATCTTTAATGTTTTAGATTTTCTTTTTTTCTACTATAATTATTTGTCTTTTAGATTTTATGCTGAGTGTTTTTAATGCATGGCCTTGCAGTACGGTCGTTCATGTGCATGTGATGTGTAAAGATCATGAGCCTTAAACTGAAGTCAAACTATTTTTGAAAGGACTTCTCCAAGGACACTAAGTAAGGGTAAAGGGAACAGCTGGTTATGCAAATTAGAATACCGGCAAGGTGAGCAAGTGTTGGACATGATCCTGCTCACTTTTCCCCATCAGAGATGCTTGGTAGCTCTCACTTGTGCCTGCTTACTGTCGCTTCAACCCGCCTCCAAGACTCCTTTCCTCCTCCTCTTCTTCTTATATTTATGAGAATTAATAACCATTGCAGTGTTTTTTTTTAACCAATTAGAATCAAGTGTTTAACACAGTTGGGTAATAATTTAAAATTCAAACCACTATCACTTCTTGAGCAGAATTTTGTGGACAAATAATATCTGGCAAAAATGGAACACTATAAACCACAGAGGACATTTTCTACCATATCATTATACCTGTGTGAGGTACAAGAAGTACTCACCATCTTTTGTGGTGAGCTTCTGGTGGGCATTTAAACCATGATGAAAAACAACAACATCATAAACACTAAATTTTACCCCCCCCCCCTCATCTTATTACTTATAACAAGAGCTTATGCAGCCAAAGCTGTGATAAGATGACAAGGATGTCGCCACCTCTGGATTATCAGGACCATCACAAAGAGGATGTTTTTTTTTTCTTTGTGGGTGGGTAGAAAACAGGAAAGAATAAAACGGTAGACTGGCAGAGTCTTTCCTCTGGATTTTTGAAGGTTTTCTTTGTCACTCACTGAATTGTTCCCAGAAAAATAGTAACTAAACTTGCTTGTGCTGTCTGCAGATAGAAGGTCACATTTTCAAGCAACAGACAGACACAGGGCTTAACAGTGGGAAACTGGTTTAAAATTTTTCAAAGCAGTTAAAATGTTGCTGTTGTAAGTTATATAAAATAATGGACATCAATCACTGCATTTTACCTAAAATTTAGGAAATGAAAATAATGAAAAATTGTGTCTTTTGCATGTTTCCGAGCATAAATGCAGATACAAACAAAAAATTGGGAAAAATGCATGCCCCTCAATTACATACATTACAACTGAGGCTCTTTTTAACCTTGTGAAAAACAATTTCAAGAGTACCTTGCAGCTGCAGGCAGATGGTTTTGTTTTCTAACTGGTTGCTCAGTCTAAATCTGAAATCAGCTTACCTCAATCTCATTTTGCTTTTTGTTGCTCCTTGTTGTCTGTAATGAGCCGTTGCGATGCACAGGGTATACAGCTGGGGGATTAAGAGAGAAACACAACAAAACGTAAAGCAAGGAAAATAGTAACACTTTTTTTTTTGAGAGACAACAGAGGAATTCAAGAGTATATGGTTTGAAGAGCTCATTATTTCAAATGAAGAAGTACCATGTCATTACAGTGAGTGGTTTCCATTTCAATGATGTCGCAGCAATAAAACAAATACAGTAGAAACATACAGTACTCTGGAGATTAGTGCTGGTCCTTTGTCCTCTCAGGACATGTCTCTTACTGTCCGCAGTCAAATTAATAAAGATATATATAATTAAACTGAGACAATCCAACTATTATATATGATATGAAAAATCTTCAATCTTCTTCAAAAGCACATTATTTGTCGTCTTTTCTGAAAGTGATTGGAGAACATTTACAAGTAAAATGACCGTTAGTATGAGGGTAAAATGGATGTAAGATAACAGCAAAAAAAACATGTGAATGAAAGCAAAGATTAAAGGAAATTCCAGCTGTTTTCTTACACATATCTTTCATTTAATTGTAAAATTAACAGAGGATCTGTGTGTATTGACAGACCTGAGACTGTAGCTTGCGTATTTATTCTGTCTTTGGTTGGAAACACTTGATGTTCTCAGGACTGAAACTGCATGGATTTTTGTCTTTGTATATCAAAATCCTTTTCACGCATCTGAATCTCATTAAACATTGTCACATGGTGTGGAAGTGAGGCATTAAGGAGGAGGTCAGGACGCACCGCAATAACAACAGGATTGTCAACATGCAGCAGTATTGTAAACATCAGCAGCTTGTAGCTTCACTGTACTGTGCTGCAGTTCAGAGTGACAAAATCCTCCAATAAGAGGACTGGGTGAAGAATATATAACATTAAACTTTTAAGGATTTATGCATTCAAAAAATTTGAAAAAGCACTTTAAATGATTTTAAAATGGGATAAATGTAGAGACAAAAAATTACATGTAAGTCATAAAGTTAACATTCAAACAAAATACATTATCAGACAGGAGAGGTAGAGGTGAAATAAAAAAATGATCTATTTAATCAATAATGACAGGTGTCCAATTCTGATTTATTAAATACAGGAATTCTTACAAACAGAATTACATTAAATTCGCATCATGAGATGGAAAAGTTTCAACCATGTGCCAAACAAATCAATAAATATTACAATATAAGTTAAATAAGTAGCTTTTCCATGCAAATTTCATGAAAACAGGTATTTCAGGGGGTAATTCACCTCAATTCAATCTCACCTCTGTTTATCTTATTTGAATTTTCAAGGATGATATTTATATTTATTTATAACACATTAATATTTATATTAAAGTGTTAGACCCTGTTCTCTATTTCTGTCATGAATTCTCTCGGACCCACGATCCTTCATCCTGGGGGAAATGCTGCAATAGTTGCTCCTGGAGGCTTGTCTTTAACTGGTACAATGTTGCCCCCCTATGGTACAACTGAGGTATTGCGGAGACCTCGAGAATAAGTGGAGTATGGAGGAAAATTGTGTAGTTTGTGTAACAAGTTAAGGAAAACACAAACCAGGTGTTTTTTAAAGGCTCTGCATGGCTGATGATGTGATGTACCTCTGTCATAGAGCTGGTGAAGTGGTGCGATAAAACCTGAAAGACCGAGAAAGTTGAAAAAGTAAATCCAAACCACTTCTACCTCTTCTACAAAAAGGAAAGCTCAAAAAGAGACTGGTTTGTCTTTTGTTGCGACAGAGCTAGATTTTTAGACTTCTTGTCCTGATAGTTTTCCTTCATTTGTAAGATTATTTTCTTGAATTCGGCTTTTGCTCTAACCTCAAATTTTGTCCTCCATATTCACAATAAGAGGTGGTGGTTGGATTGAAGAAAAATAATGTGGCTCTTTTAGATATAAGGGAAGGCTGTCTGAAAACTGTTCATACAAAATCAAGGAATATCAAACATGTAGGAGCTTTTGAAAATCAGCAATCTTGGATAAAAAATGACACCTTTTATTTGATTTTCTTCCTCTCTAATTGTTCATAGACTGTCAGTTAAAGAAAAGCGGTGATTTCCACCAAATTACAGTGAAGCCAAAAGATACAGAGCTCCCCTGCTGGCTGGGTGAAGTATTGGTCATTGGTCAACTCTGCCTCCCCATTAGGAATAGATGGAAATACTGATATATGTTCAAGTGCCAAGGTTTCTACACAGTTGGAATTTTCATACTTTTCCATTCCCTACTTTTTAGAATTATTTTTGGAAATACCTACTTTTATATTTTAGAAAACAGTATTTTTTTTCACTGTGGTAATAGTCTGGAAACCTGAATATTTTTCTATACTTTATTTTTCATTTACCATACTTTTTAAGACCTGGAAATTGATCAAATTACTTCCATACTTTTCCATACTTGCGTAGGAATCCTAAAGTGCTCATATTTCTAAGAAGTCTAGTTTTAATTAGTTTTTACATTAACATTTTTAAAGGGGGTTAAAACATTGTGCTTGACTTCTGTTTGACGAAATGCATCTGCAGTGCCCTCTCAAATCACCTCTACAATCTGTTACAGTGGTCGACTGATACAGGTTTTTACAACCAAAGTTGATATTTACAGAGCAGGTCAGTTAATAATATTTACAGTTGACATCTGTCATTTGGCTAGGCCATGTAGCGCCTGAGTCGATATGAAGATGAACCGAAGCTAACACTACACCGGCATCCTCCAGTTCAACTTCATATCGACTCAGGCGCTACATGGCCTAGCCAAATGACAGATTGAAAAGTTTACGAAGCGAAATTAAACATAACATTTCCACTAACTTCTTCGCTCGTCTTTTCGCCGTCGTCTTTTGTGCCTGGATCGTAAAACACCGGTGCATCATCGTTATTGGTCCCCGGCAGCTCACTTCAGTTGTGGCTTTTTTTATTTGCATCCTTTTATTTTCGCAGTAAGTAACTTTTCTTTTTCTTGCATCAATTTTTTGTTTTGCATCATTAACTTCTGTTGTTTTTTTTGTTTTTTTTTTGTTTCTTTCTGTGGAAAAGATTCATTTCTTGCTTATTTAGTGATACTTATGTGATGCTGAAACGCCAAAGGATTTTTCTCCTAGTTTGTGAAACCTAGCTACTAAAGTTCAGTTAATCTAAATGCTCCACAGAACTCATTCAAACAACCAACAACAGGTTGGAATAGCTATTAGCTATGACTTTATTCCCGTAAGTAATTATTTTATTACGACTTTATTCTCATAATTACTTTATTACGACTTTATTCTCATAAGTACTTATGTTATTATGACTTCACTCTCGTGAGAAATTATTTTATTACAACTTTATTCTCCTAAGTAATTCCGAGGTCCCAAGTTTTTCTTTTCTTAATGTGGCCCTAATGCTCTGTCGTACTTTTTTTTATTTGCAGCGGGCTTCGGTTTCTTTCTTTTTTTTTTGCATCAGTAACTTCCATTGTGGTTTCCTTTTTTTTGGATTCTTTTTTATTTACAGCAGTGGCGGTTCTCGGCCACCACAGAAAGAAGTCTCAAAACAACTAAAATAAGAGGGGCAGGGAGACCGTTTTTCAGCGGTTACTCTTTGGGGTAAGACAGAAAATGCCAAAAAAAAAAAACTGTGATAAGTCTTCTAATATAGAAATATAAACAAAGAAATTTAAATTTCTAAAGAAATATTAAAAACATTCTCACAAGGAAGAACATTCACGGCTCCTTGAAAAAAAATGTTTTGTTTTTTTTTTTAGAATTTTTTTTTGTTGTTGTTCCCTTTTTCCCCATTTATTATTATTATTATTATTAGTTTTTTTTTTTTTTACTGCTCCCTCACTTAGGCAACTCCCCGATCCGTGACGCCACTCTGGGGGCGGGGCCATGTGCTTTTATAGTTTATTTGCACAATACCTCACTTCCTCGACAGCTGCCATTGCTGTGGTGTGTGTGTGAGGCAGGAGGGGAGGGAGAGACCGAGACAGAGGTGAAGAATTAGAGAATAAAGGGGGGGGAGGGAGTGACAGAAGGGCGGAACAGCTGAAGGGAGAAGAGAAAGATAGCTGTCTCTGGAGGAGAGGAACCGTAAAGGAGATTCGTAGCGGGAGGAAGCAGCAAGATAAAGCAGCGGTTCTATGGCTCAGTCGGCTTCCAACGGTGTGGACCAGGATCTGGCCAGCAAGAGGCTCCACTCAAGGTATGATACATCGATAAACATGGGGGGTCAGTCCGGTAGCGTGTCCTTGGATGGCTGTCAGGATACAGAGGAAATAAGGAGGGTAAGGAGCGGCTGTAGGGACAGAAAGACGAGGATAGAGGTTGCCAGCTCGGGGTTTTTTGCTTACCAAGGAGGAGTCAGGCAGGCGGAACTTGACCATCACAGCTTTCACTGATTTAAAAATCTCAAGACCCAGCCACAGCTGCAGCCAGAGCCCGGTTCCAAGCCTCATTCCTGGCTCGGGTCATTGAGCTGCTGTGGCTGGAAGTACAGACTGAGAGGAGCCTCATGAGATGTGGACGTAGGGGGGGAGCGAGGCAAGCAGTGTTAAAGTGTGCAGGTCACACATAGATCTGGTCTAAACGAGCCTTATAGGTGTAAAATCTGACCATACATGGGCTGAAGATCACATGGATCCAATATGGTACAGGGTGATACCTTTGCAAAGCAGTGGCTGTCAAAGTATCTGTGCTTTAACCCAGTTATTTGAATATTAAGAGTACATGTGATAACCATGTTCCCACACATTTAACCCACTATTTCAACACCATGAAGGTCACAAAACTGTTCACACTTGTTTCAATGGAAATCCCTCTTAAGACTGATCAGACGATTCAGTTTTAACATGAAAAATAAAGACAATTTTACACTAAAAGTCCAATTGGTAGCACTGGAATTAATAGTCTACTCCTATTTTATTTTGGATTGTCCTGATAGTTTTTCTTCCTTCATATGATTTTCTTCTTTAACTCAATTTTTGCTCAAACCACAAATTGTGTCCTCCATAATTACATTGTGTAAAGTTTAGAGGTTAAATATCAGTCTGGTTTTTGTCATACCTTTTAGATTATAAGGGAAGACTGTTTGAAAACTCTTAACACAAAATCAAGGAATATCAAACATGTAGGAACTTTTGAAAATCACCAATCTTAGATAAAAATGACATCTCTTATTTGTTTGTTTTCCATCCCTATCTGTTTAAAGACTATTAGTTAAAGAAAAGCAGTCATCAGGCGACTCAGTTTTAACATGAAGAATAAAGACAATTTTACATTAAAAGTCCTATTGGTAGCACTGGAATTAGTAGTCTACTCCTATTTAATCCGTAATCTGTCAAACAGACATCCAAATATTGAAAAGTAGCACTTCTAAAGTTGGTGTAAGGAAAAGGTAGTTGCATGTGTGCTAAAAACAGCGTAAAAATGATCAACTTAATCCCCACATATTGAAATTAAAACACAATTTTAAATAACTGCACTAAGTCTTCGCTAATCATGAAAAACAACTAACTTCTTTTCAATAGCAACAGGTTAGCAAATACCCGACTGAGTTTTTCTGCTTTGTCACTGTCAGAGTCTGTGACAGTTTCCTCTTCATGCACCCATCCTTAAACGCTGCAGTATCCCAAAACCATGTCTCACTGAGAGTTTGCTTCTTTATTCTCACAGCAGTATCTTTAGTCTGTAGGATAGTGTTATCTGTTGTTTGTTGACTCTTGTTTCGTGCTAGACACTCAACACTACTTATCAGATTTTTGTAAAACTTGACAGAATGACGTGTTTCTGTTTTATATTTTGACATTTTGAAAATTACTAATCACAGCAACACTAGTTATGTAAGAGTGCCCCCTCATCTCTATCAGTCAAGTCGATTAAAAAAGCAGATACCACACGCACGATAAACAAGGAGATTTAGGGCAACGACTCGTCCAGTAGCTGTGTGGTTGAATTTTATAAAGCTGGAGGTTCACCTATGAAATCGTTGTTATATTGTCTTCTGTAAAACAAGCGCTTACTGTTTGGTTTGTGTTCATAAAAAAGATCGTATTGTGTGTTGGAGGTTATTGAAGTCAGGGTCTGTGGCTGCAGAGAATATTAATAACCGTTGAGTTGTGAAGCGACATTCACGAGCCCTGCAAGGTTATGTCCCAGACAAACACACAAAGATAAATACATGAAATGACTCACAGTGCTGATTATGATCATATGGCCAGGTCTACCCTCTGTGAGTGTTTTCCCTCTATTTAACAAACACCTAATGTGAATACATGACCTTTCTACAATGAGGGTTAGGGAACATGAGTGTTTGTGTGTGTGTGTGAACACCCATGACCCACAAAAAAGACAGCGATATGTAGGGTCTTTGTTAGCAAACAACCATAATGAAAGGCTGCTGTTTTCAGGCGTCCAGACATCCAAACTCATAAATTTGAGGCCATTGAGAGGTAGAAAAGGGGAATATAGTTAAAAAAAAACAAACAACTGTAAGAAAATGAATACATAAAACTTCAGTGTTTAGTGCAGCAGGTAACATTTCTCTTATTTTTAACATTAGTGTTTTCTTTTGGCCACATAATCTCCACAAGAGTCTCTAAACCAGTTGGTTTGGGTACACTCACCATGGGTCTTCATTTCTGAACAGTCTGGACTCTTAATAAATATGATAATACATAAATTTTCAAAATGAATTATGATGATCTTTTGATCAAATTTTGAAGACCTTTGAGACATTTTCTGTTTTATTCTACATGGTTTCAGTACTCTTTGTGATCTTATTAAAACCTGACCCAACCTTATGATTTTGCCTATGTATGTTTAAGTGCTTATTAGTGGTTGATTTACTTCAAAGAGCCAGAGGTCTTTGGCTAATTATAATCTCTTGATTTTAATTGGCCTATTAGACATACGCAAACAATGCTAAAAATACACTCTAGCTAAAGGCCTGGTTTTGGAGCTCTATTTCTCATCATGTTGTATTGAAAATTGTGTGTTATGGAAATGGGTGTGTCGAAAAGATCATAAAGAGTAAAAGGAGATCTATTTTACTAATTTTCATATTGGCGTCCATGGAAACCTTCTTTCAACTTCTGCCTGAAAGGTGTTTTCTCAAGGTCTTTTCCAGTGATATAGACTTACAGACACATTGTGCGTGTTACTTTTTACACAGCTTTGTAGTTATGAAATGACTTGGAAATAAAGCCTTTCCAGAAAATGTTTGAAGTTCGTCATAGATGCCCACTTAGCTCCTCATTTCAGTAACACTTGAGACACACATCCGGCTCACACTGGCCTTTGTTGACAAAGTAATCATCAGTGAAGTGGCGAACACAAATAGATGTTGTTGTCCTGAAAACATTAAAACTTTCCAACAGTTTTCAAGTGCCTATGAGAAATCAGCTGTGACCTTTCATCACAGCTAAAGGAACACTGGAGGGGAACTATCTAAGAGATACTGAATTAATTAAAGTGCAGGGCAATGGACTTTCCAAACAATGGGGAATTGGAAAGGTTGGGTATGTCAGGTCAGCTTATCTTAAGATAGAGTCCAATTGGGAGAGCAGAGCCTGATGTCAGGTTGAGGCCAAGTCCTGCAAAAGTATCAAAACAAGCTTCAGGGAATCCAGGAAATGCGGCTTGGGAGTATTCCAGCATCTGTGTATGTTATTATTTTGAAACTTTGCAGAGGTTTCGTATGGACACCCTACAATGTAGCATTATGTGTATGTATTAAAATTTGGATCAGCATATTAGATCTCCTTTAAGTGAACACCCTGCATCATTGGTTTTTGGAAAACTTTGCAATCTCCAACATTCCAGTTTTATGTAGATAGTAGATAATGCAGATAGCCGTTAAAGGGTTAATATTGCGAGAAAAGAGAGGGTTTTAAAAACAATGAAAAATAAATGGAAGTAGTTTTCATAATTGTGGTTTTACAAAAGAATCGGACAAAGGAGGGAAAAAAAGGACACAGCTCTGCTCTAACTGAAAGGGACATGCACTGCAAGAGGAGAAAACATTCCTAGAGAGTTTCTCTTTGGTTTCCCTGACAACTGGCCGTGGCACTCTGTAATTATGGCTAGAATTACTACTCTGAGCACAGAGTTTGTTAGCTAAGCCAAGAATAATGGGGACAGTAATGTAGAACTGTCAATGTGGGATAAGGATACCTAAATTAAGGAAGGGCCCCAGGTGAGGAAGTTCATCAGTTTGTTATAACAAACTATCACTCCTGTTATGTTTTTATAAACTATATCTGAAGAATTTGAAGATAATCCAGATTTGATACGATGTTAAAGTCACTACATACTTGAATGTTTAAGTCTGAACATCAACACTCTGATCTGTGGTTTTAAAAAATCAAACTCTGTCCTGTGGCTTTAACCTCATTTTAGTCCATAAATTTTTGCTGTATATTACCATGACAGAAAAACACATTTTAAAATTTTAGTGTCTGAGGATTCAGGCAAAGCTGTCCCTGTAAATCATGTTTGTTTTCCACTGAAAGAGTAAACCTCAGATAAGGGGAATCTCAGCCAAGACACAAACCTCTCTGCGCCCCAGCTACTTGTCTCCTGAAGCCTGTCCAATATGTAGCTTGTTCTTTATGACGCCATGGTAACAACACTTTGGAGCTATATCTTTGACCACAGGCAGCTTTTTATAACAGACCAATTAAAGTGGCAATCAGAGGAGAGAGTGGAGGACTTTTAGATTTATGTACTGCCTACATCCATTGTTCCGCCAACCACATGCGTGACAAGAATGAAAGCCGCAGTGTAGTTCATCTGTTGACTAAGTGGGAAGGGTTTTCCTTTGTTTTCTATTTGTTTTGCCACTCTTAAACTGTTCATCCACATCTTTTTATCTTTGTTGTAGTTAGTTGTTATTTAGCCCTCATTCGCCCTCACCATTCTTAGTTCACCGACTGATCAAGATGAGTGATGGTATGTCACGGGCCTTCACAACTTAGCAGCTTTTGTTATTTAACCATATCGTCAGACTTTCTCAAGGCAACACCCTTTTTCCACAGTCTGCTATAAAGGTTACAGTTTTACAATTTGGCGGAGGTTTTCGAGAAGCCCCTGGACCATCTGCAGCAGAAATTCCCCTTTTATTGTCTTTTTTTTATCCTCTTCTCATAACAGCAAGAGTTCAAACTTCTGAAGTTCACTTTCTAATCCTCATCATTATTGTCATCATGCCTCAATGAAGAAACTGCAACAAGGTCTTTGTAAAGCCCAAGTATTCACCATTGATTTGACGGATGACAGCCATCTATCCTTAATCCATGAAGCCTTATTATCAGATGGAAACAGTTCTGCTTTTTGTGTAACATCAAACCTGTCCTCTCTTACCCCCAATTTCCACCGCATCCGGAACAGCTACAAAGAGGCTGTATCCACCGATCGTAGCTGATCGTAACCATTCAATTTAATGTGTCAATTTCCACCGGCTTCTTTCCGTTCCGCTGCAAATCGCAGGACTCCGCAGCTGATCGTAAAAGTTCTATTTTTTCTGCGCGATTGCATGTAAATCCGCAGGTTCCTGTGAGTTCTCGCGATTCCTGCTGTCCATAATGTGCCATGAAATTCGCCTCACAAACGGTTCCAGTGGGAATTGGCGGACGGCGCAAATTGCAGCTGTTCTGGATTGAACACAGTGGAAATACAGGGTTAGACACAGTCACTCCAATTTTCTCCATGGTCATTTATAAAGTCAAAGGTCAGAGAAGAAGGACAGTGTCTCTTTTAAAAAATAAAGGTTATCTGAAGCTTTATTTTTCCATCTATCTATTTTTCCTCTAACTTTTACAAGACATGTATGTTGACTTTGCTTTGATTCAATACCCATGAGTATTTTCCATCTGTGATCTCTGTTACTGCTTTGACCTTGTAACTTTCTCTCTGGCTGCTGCTACCTACACCAACAACCATCCCTGATTACAACTAAAGACAGCCACTGCACAGCCAGTAGCACATCATAACTCTGTGAACCCTCCAGTGAAGACAGGCCATGTTGTCCATTTGTCTACAAAATGTTATAGTACACTTGTTGACCCCACCTTCTCCCTGAAAAAAAAAAACTTTATTAGGGTCTAGATTTTGTTCAGAAACCTCAATAGCTGCCCCTCTGTACTGTACATCTCGTCCAGGCCGACGAACATGCAGTAATGGAGCAGAGCCACTGTTAATGTAATTAGATGCACCTGGGGTAAGCCTTTCAATACATTACTGTTTCCATGACCTTACACTGACACTAAACAGAAGGGGTATTAATAGTAGCATGCTAGTAGAGCTGCAGGAAAAGCATCAGTGGACTGTATGCATTCAGGCATTTACATTAAGTTTAGGTTGCTCCAAAATCACAGCCAGTAAGAACTGTTCGAGTTTTTTAATGATTATTTTGAGGCTATTTTCATTTGATAGAGCAGTGTGAGAAAGACCTTTTGGTGACCTTTGTTCATGCACTTGCACCACCAACTGAGCTAAGCTTGCACCCCCATATGCTCTTATTGACAAGTTGTGCACTCACAATCTTATCGTTGATCTGTCCCTCAACTCCCATATACTTAGTCTTACTTGTCTTGGTTGCCGGTGACCTAATAATGTTTCTGCCAGTGTCAGCAGATAGTGGGATTAGTGTGGGCCAATCAGTGCGCTGTGCTCTGTCAACGAAGGAGGTGCATGTTCCTGGATTAGTAATTGTCTTTATTTCATCCTTCCTGTCTGGCTCTCAAGGATGAGCTAAGAAGTAATGCTCTTGCTTTCGATGATTGGATGTCTTCTTACTTATCCAGAGTAGCTTCTTTTATTACAACTCCCTTTTTGTACAATGAGACTTGTCCCAGCAAGGCAGACCAATGGATCTTTTCTGAAGACATGTGGAAGAGGGTCCAGAGAATAAGCATGACTCCAAAGGGGATAGTTCATGACGGAACAGCGATTGACATCTTAACTTTTTAGTTAAGTTCGTTGGACCGGTGGGATTTGGATCCGGTAGAATTTCAGATCAAGATGTTCTTCCAGAGAAATACAACAGTATCTGGAACGCCTCAAGTGAGTCATTTTCTGCAGTTCCCTCATATCTGGCTGGGCTGATGCGGTCAAGAGTTCACCGTGCAGATTTTGGAACGCTCTCAAGACCTTGGAAAGCAGATGTAATTCTCGGCTGCTCTTGGACTGTGCCAGAGGTCCAGTGGATTGTGTCCAGGTTTGCTCTGATGTTGCTGACATGGATTTTTGAGGAGAATTTTAAATGGCCAACGTGAATTTAGAGTTTGTGAAGCCAGAGAAACTATTACCTGGATTGTTCATCTCAATCTGCCACACTGACTGATACCACTTGAGGTCTAAGTGCTGCATCATCAGCAGCAATACCTGTACTGCTTGGATTGCACACCGAACTGCAATGCATTTGGACAAGAGTTGCTTCTTTTTTTGAAATTCTGTGGCCTTAGTTAGACATGCCAACCTTTACAGGTATGGAGTCTGAGCCTTGCCCTCTCACTGGAGCTGAGATAGCGGTGTGTAAATTGGTCCACAATGGACCCCGTCCCCAAGCCATGCTAAGGCCTTTACGCTTGGAGCTGCAGACATATGTGAACAAAACGAGAACCAAGCAAAAACACAGGTACTGCTCAATACTTGATAGAATTCTGCAATCACTGAATCATGAGGCTACAAAATTTTCAGACCAGACCATTTTGAGCACACTGATTCTCTAATCTTATTCCAAAAAAGTCTGTACACTATTTAAAAGTTCATGAAAACATAATTCAATGGCTTGCAAATCAGTTGAAGCCTGAGAGTTTTTATTGTTGTACAAAACTTGATGCTCATTTTAAGTTTGATGCCAGCAGTACAACACTTTTCTATGGTTAGGGGTCTTCTTTATCGTATTTTTCATTACTTGGTGTGTGAAATGTTTTTATTGGGTGACTGCAGGGAGAACGGTTTAATACCCAGACTCCTCTACTACAACACCAGGCTAAGTATGTGAGGTTTTCCCTAAAAAATGCATTTCCTGGATGGGATCAAAAAAGCTGTCTGGCCCTTCTCCTCTGCAGTGCACATGTGTGATTTCCAAAAAGAATGTCAAATTGGATTTGCCAGGATGGTTTTCCATTCGTAGTCAGTCGTTCTTCAATGGCTTAAGCCAAGAGAAGTCACTGGCATTAGTGAGCCAAGTTTGTATATGGTTTCCTCTCTGCAGAGTACAATTTCATCCTGCATCATCAGATGCTGCAACAAACTGTGTCCACAGAAAATGATTTTGTGGGTAATTAAAGCCCATACAGTGGTTTACAAGACAAAGTTAATGCAGTTCTAACTCAGGGCAAGATCGCAGCCATACAGTATTGATTTTAAGCCTTGTTTTTTGCATTGGAGATCTTTCCAGAGCCACAGAATCTTCTGACAATATGTCTTCAAAAATGAAATTCCCCATTTCTCCCCAATTTTACTAACCTGTTTCCGATTAAACCAATAGGATGGAGTTCCTCCAAGTTTATTTTCAGTGTTTTGTTGTCCCTGTAAATACTTATTTGAAACATGTTGCTGGCATCTAATTTAAACTGAGCATATTTTTGTCACGAAACAATGATCCTTTTCATTTTCAACAGAGCTTAACTTTTTTAGAATTGGTGCTTGAAATCAGGAAGAGTCGACAGCAACTCATATCTTTGTAATGAGCTACCGAGTGAAGTTAATGGCTTCACACTACACCTTACCATCAGGCGCTTTGGTATTGAACAATTTCTACAATTGCTGTAGGGGTACTTTTTTGGAAAGCAATGGATACACAAGAGTTATTTACTATCTTCTGTGTATTTTCATTTGGTTCCCTCAGGTTTTAAAATGGAAAAGGGTACCACTGGGGATACAAACAAGTGTAAAGACTAGTTTCATGAATGCAGCTTGAAATTAATGAACCAGCCTTTGAGTTTCCTGCTTAACCTGCAGGTGAGACTACATATGGTACTATTGTCTTTCTTGAATGGGACCTTCTTTGAAACAGATGAGATTCAAGGATAATCCTTGCTTAACTCTTTATTCTAATACCTCATCTTGAATTTAGAGCTGCAACCTAGTCGGCTGAGTTTATCCTGGATAATACCATTAATCTATGGTGTATAGATTCCTGATGCAATTCACTGATTGTGCTCTCTATGACCCCTCTCCCACTTGTATATGGACATCACACTTTTTTCCCCCCTGATTACCTAAATCAGAGTTACACACATACAAATTAGTTCTTCTGATGACCAGGAAGTTTTCAACAGACACTGAGTTAATATTTCTCTCACATTCCCTGATATACTCTGATTGATCCAGCAGTTGCCGTGGTAACCAGTACATTGTATAAGTGGTAGGAAGGCTCCTCTTGACTTAGATTTTGAAAGTTATTCTTAGAAAATGTTAGGTATAAAAATGGATCAGGATAGAAATGTAGGCTGGCGGAAAACTGTTTGAATCATCAGGCGTTGACCCGTATGGATACTCCCCCCTGTCCACATGCAATATCAGCAAAGTCAGAAATGAATTTAAGGACAAATACTCGTACCATTGATACAAGTAATCACTTACATGTGTTTTTTAAATTTGACTACAAAAACAATAATGAGTAAAAACTAAAACACCTTTTTCAAGGTGCTCATCTTGGAGCCCCAGACTCTGTTGCTAAGGCAACAGTCCACAGATATGGCTACAGATCTTGTTGTCATGGTGATTCTGGCAATTTGTTACTCACCGTGTTACAGGGATACAGAGTCTCTGATCTTAGTGCTCACATGTTAATGTGGTGTGTCTATCTCTTCCTGTGTGTGTGTACTTTTTAGGATGGAGGCCTCCTGCCTGGAGTTGGCGTTGGAAGGAGAGCGGCTGTGCAAGGCAGGGGACTTTAAAGGGGGAACAGCGTTTTTTGAGGCAGCAGTGCAGGTCGGTACAGAGGACCTGAAGACCTTAAGTGCCATCTACAGCCAGCTGGGCAATGCTTACTTCTACCTCAAGGAGTATGGAAAGGCTCTGGAGTACCACAAACATGACCTTACTTTGGCAAGGTGAGCAACATACCTTCATTAGAGTCCAAGGTAATGTCAAAACCTGGTCTGAGCTGTTATGAATAATGAGAAATAAGTAAAACCAGCATTTAAACCAGATGAAACCCGATTAGAAAGTAGTCAATGCAGTGCCAACTGCTCTTGTACTTCTATAATATAATCAATAGAGTGTCATCTCTACACTTCTAAAGGATAATTTGTGAAGCACCTTGATATAGTGTTGCAGTTTTCACTCATTGTTGCTTCAATCAGCTTGTTTTTTGACAAATTTAAAAAACACATAGTTCTCTTGCACAAGTGTTATGAGTGTTTAGTTATGCAAATTAGAAATCTGGTGGGGTGAGCAAGACCCCTGTGGCTAACATTTTTGTCACAGTGTCAGCTAGCAATGGTCAAATGTACCAGACCCCTTTCCACAAACTGCTTTAATATCAAATGTGTTGTCAAGTTGTCTCCCCCATTTAGTTGGATGGGTAGTAACTGTTGTAAGGGGTTTTAACCAATCAGAATCCAGTATTTAAAACAGTTTAACAGAACTTAACATAAAAAATACAATATACTTTAACCAATGTATTTTATGTTTGGGTGTTTAAAAACTGAACTACTATGTATTGGTCATCATTACTTTTGAGAAAAACTCTTCATGTTAGATTTTAGGATAAGGATAAGATTCACAGGAAATCTGCAGTGGCTACCCAGGGACCACTTTCGATTGTGTTGTTACAACAGACAGTAATAAAGAAGGCTTCGGTGCCAGGTAGCACAGAGAGGTTGATCCAGTGCAGAGCTAATAATGAGTGTTTAAGGATCATATGTTAATGAGTCTGCTTTCAGATGTACACACAGAGAAAGATCATTCAGCGGATCATTCCTGACAGGTTTCGTGGCTTTAATCAGATGCATTAAGAGCTGCAGGGATTCTGAATTGTGTTGACACTATGTCAGGTAATGAAATTCAAAGAAAAGTGAGGGGACTTTCATGTAATAACAGTCTTCAACTAGCAGCTGATTACTGAGCTTGAACGAGTAATCCAGTCCCCTGCTGTGAGTGCAGCTGGTGCTTCAGCGGGGAAGCCATCAAAGACCCCAGGGAGATTTACCTTGTTACATTACAGACTCAGCAGGACCTCAGCGAGTCGCTGAGCCTCCTAGGAGCCAATTAAAAATGTGCTACGCAGCATCTACCTATTAAATACGTCTACAGCACCTTAATGGTAGTCATTTCCCTTAATGACAATGACTTGGAGAAACTGTGGTCTTTATTCTCATTGCTTAACATAAACAAGATGTTTCTTTGCTCCCCCAGAACAATAGGAGACAGGATTGGAGAAGGGAAAGCCAGCGGGAACCTTGGAAACACTTTAAAAGTGTTGGGGCGCTTTGACGAGGCTGTTGTGTGCTGTCAAAGACATCTGGATATTTCTCAAGAGCAGGGGGATAAGGTAATATCGTTTGGCCATGATACACAAATAAAAACTACACAACGCTATCAACAAAGATGTACAAAATTATTCTCCTGACATATTTACGCATCTACGAGGAATTCCTCTACATCCCCATCGCTCTTTTCGAACCTTGTGCTGTCTCTGTTTTCCTGGATCGTAGGTTGGAGAGGCCAGAGCTTTATATAACGTAGGGAACGTTTTCCATGCAAAGGGCAAACAGCAGTTGTGGGGCTGCACCCAGGAACCAGGAGACCTGCCTCCCGATGTCAGAGACACACTGCAAAGGGCTACCGGCTTTTACGAGTAGGTATTGTTACCTAACACACACACACACACACACCAGATGGAAAACTGCACTGGCAGAGGTCGTTTAGAAGAGTAAGCTTCACTGCATTTTATGGCGACACCAGGAATTTATTGTAGCGCACTCAGCAGTATTGATATGTCAGAGCTATCTCCCTTTCTTCTCAAAGCTGCAAGCAGAAAACTTGCCTGCGGTATTAATTTAGACCTTATTTTGGCTCATCTGTGACTAATATCTTCTTGAGCTCTTCGTGGCACATCTGCTGATTTGCTAAAAGATAACTTGGATGAAAGGAAGAGACAGAGACAAACTATAAGACCAGACTCAGAGTTTCACTGGTAATTGGATTTTGCTGCACTGTTTTTCCAAACACAGCTCTTCTCAAACATTTGTCAAGACACAATTTGGTTGTCGTTCAAGGTCAGGCTGACTCATACTCAAAACACTATCTCAAACTTGCCGCTCTAAAGTGTTTTCTTTCTTTTCACTGTCGCTTTGTTTCAGTGTATATGAAGACTGACTGATTTAGAGTGTCTGCTGCTGTAATTGAGTGTGTTTATCTCTGTAGGATGAATCTGTGTTTGGTCAAAGAACTTGGAGACCGAGCTGCTCAGGGGAGGGCTTACGGGAACCTGGGCAACACCCACTATCTGCTGGGAAACTTTGTTGAAGCGATCAAGTTCCACCGTCAGGTGAGGAATTCAAAATGTTTGCCAGCATCCTTATAATATCACTGGAGGATAGATAAGAGATATCAGCACTGCTGTAGAGCCTGAACAGAGCAGTGACCTTGTGTCAACAGAGCAAAAGTCAGACTCTCCTCTGGATGAAGGTTGTTGACCTTGGGGGTATTCAGCAACTTTAAAGCACCTCTTGATATCATCCTCAGCTGTACTTGATAGAATTAGAAATATTGTTAACGCTTTACTTGACACCTATCCCTAGAACGCATTATAAATACACTCACCGGCCACTTTATTAGGTACACCATGCTAGTAACGGGTTGGACCCCCTTTTGCCTTCAGAACTGCCTCAATTCTTCGTGCCATAGATTCAACAAGGTGCTGGAAGCATTCCTCAGAGAGCTTGGTCCATATTGACATGATGGCATCACACAGTTGCCGCAGATTTGTCGGCTGCACATCCATGATGCGAATCTCCCGTTCCACCACATCCCAAAGATGCTCTATTGGATTGAGATCTGGTGACTGTGGAGGCCATTTGAGTACAGTGAACTCATTGTCATGTTCAAGAAACCAGTCTGAGATGATTCCAGCTTTATGACATGGCACATTATCCTGCTGAAAGTAGCCATCAGAAGTTGGGTACATTGTGGTCATAAAGGGATGGACATGGTCAGCAACAATACTCAGGTAGGCTGTGGCGTTGCAACGATGCTCAATTGGTACCAAGGGGCCCAAAGAGTGCCAAGAAAATATTCCCCACACCATGACACCACCACCACCAGCCTGAACCGTTGATACAAGGCAGGATGGATCCATGCTTTCATGTTGTTGACGCCAAATTCTGACCCTACCATCCGAATGTCGCAGCAGAAATCGAGACTCATCAGACCAGGCAACGTTTTTCCAATCTTCTATTGTCCAATTTTGATGAGCTTGTGCAAATTGTAGCCTCAGTTTCCTGTTCTTAGCTGAAAGGAGTGGCACCCGGCGTGGTCTTCTGCTGCTGTAGCCCATCTGCCTCAAAGTTCGACGTACTGTGCGTTCAGAGATGCTCTTCTGCCAACCTTGGTTGTAACGGGTGGTTATTTGAGTCACTGTTGCCTTTCTATCAGCTCGAACCAGTCTGGCCATTCTCCTCTGACCTCTGGCATCAACAAGGCATTTCCGCCCACAGAACTGCCGCTCACTGGATATTTTTTCTTTTTCGGACCATTCTCTGTAAACCCTAGAGATGGTTGTGCGTGAAAATCCCAGTAGATCAGCAGTTTCTGAAATACTCCGACCAGCCCTTCTGGCACCAACAACCATGCCACGTTCAAAGTCACTCAAATCACCTTTCTTCCCCATACTGATGCTCGGTTTGAACTGCAGGAGATTGTCTTGACCATGTCTACATGCCTAAATGCAATAAGTTGCCGCCATGTGATTGGCTGATTAGAAATTAAGTGTTAACGAGCAGTTGGACAGGTGTACCTAATAAAGTGGCCGGTGAGTGTATATGTATAATGTGTTACAATCACGTTATAGCACTGTATAACTATAGTTATAAACACTCATAAATGATCATAATGCTTTCTAGCAATAATAATAACACATTATAAAGCATTTTAACATGACTTACAAGGTCAGGTATTATAATATGTTATAACTGTTGACAACTCACTGACAATGCCCATATAGATAATGTATTATACATATATTTATGATGTGTTATAATTTGCTTATAAACTATCACTTTAAACACTTATTATCGTAAGGCTTTATAACAATATGCATTACACATTTCAATACCTGACCTTATAAGTCATGTTAAAATGCTTTATAATGTGTTATTATTATTGCTAGAAAGCATTATGATCATTTATGAGTGTTTATAATGATAGTGATACAAGTTTATAAACAAATTATAACACATCATAAATATGTGTATAATGCATTATCAATGTGGGCATTGTCAGTGAGTTGTTAACAGTTATAACACATTATAACACCTGACCTTGTAAGTCATGATAAAATGCTTTATAATGTGTTATTATTATTGTTATAAAGCATTATGATCATTTATCAGTGTTTATAGTTATACAGTGCTATAACATGATTATAACACATTATACATATATTTATATTGCGTTATAGAGATAGGCGTCAAGTAAAGTGTTACCAAAATATCTTTTATACTTCCTCTTATGGAGCTCAGGTTTAACAGATACTTTGTACATGTCTTTCTGATTTATGTTCAGTATTGGTTTAACTGGTCCAAACCGTTTACATACACATTACAATGTGGTTTGGGGTGTTTTGGTGGCTCTGGCCAGCTGTGTGGCCCTGAAATCTTAGCCTGGGATCTTTGAGAGCCACAGCACCACATGAAAACACTCGCAGGGAGTTGCTGTCAACAGATTTCGCCTCTTGGTTGTATGTCTGTCATGTCTGGGCCACGGGGAAAAAAACTGGTTCCCAGGAAACTTGATAAAGTGTTGGGTTAAATCCGACAAGTTTGAATGATGGGAGCTTTTAGGTTTGGTCATGACTACTTAGTTTGTCATGCACAGACTTTAGTTTGCACAGATTTTACATGCAAAACAGCAAGATTTGCAGAGAGGAAAAGACAACAGAGTATCAGGGTATGAAGAGAGTCAAAAACAATTGCACGAATCTTCATTCTCTTTTGAAATATCAGCAGATGTAGCTCATCCGATTTGGCAACAGTAAAAACACTGTGTTCAGGGACTCAGGGAGAAAAAGTGCGGAAATTGGTTTCTTGGTGAATCACTGGCAAACATGGCCTTAGGCTGTCTCTCCTCCTATAATTCCTGTCACTTTTCATCATGAAACAACTTGTTTCCTCTTTGGAGAGGCCGATCTTTTGTCTCTTTCCTGTTATAAACCAATCACTGTGCCATGTGGGGAAGCTCACTGGTTTGAAGGGAAGATTTGGTGCTCCACTCTGTAAGAATGGGATTGAAAACAAAAGCTTGCAAATTGTCTCTGCTCCAACATTAAATATAAGAGGCTATTAAAACGAGGGAGGAAATTAAAAGGGTAATTAAAAATCCAGAGTCACTATATGTGCTCTTTTTTATTCGCAGCGATTATCCATAGCCAAAGAATTCGGGGACAAAGCTGCTGAACGGCGAGCCTACAGTAACCTTGGGAATGCCCTGATATTCTTGGGCCAGTTCAACACAGCAACTGAGTACTACAGGTGAGGAGTGAAGAGCCTGACATCTAGTGGAGAAAACCTGAAGTGATTCTTCAAATATCTGTTATTGTCTTCTATCTTTCTTATTCCATTACCTCATCCTTTTACCTCTCTCTCTTTTCAACTGTAGGAAAACTCTGCAGTTGTCCAGGCAGCTAAGGGACCAGGTGATGGAGGCACAGGCCTGTTACAGCCTCGGGAACACCTACACTCTTTTGCAGCAGTATGAGAGGGCGATAGATTACCACCTTAAGCACCTGTACATCGCCCAGGAACTTACAGATAGGTGAATATTGTACTGTAAACATGCATGAGCAGAGGAGTGCATTTTATGAACATCTGTCTGTGTGATTTACGTCTTACTAGAGTCGGTGAGGGCCGTGCCTGCTGGAGTCTGGGAAATGCTTATGTGTCTTTAGGGAACCATAAACAAGCGCTTCACTATGCACGAAAGCACTTGGACATCTCTAAAGAGGTACAACAATTTTTTTTTTTTTTTATAGTGTCTTGGCAAAGATTAAAGGCTCTTCCTTGTTTGTGGCACACGGCTGAGGTTGTTTTCTTTCTACCCGGCTCTTTGTTTATTCCTCAGATTGGAGACAGAAATGGAGAACTGACAGCCAGAATGAACGTGGAGCAGCTGATGGAGTCTCTCGGGGTCAATGAGAGCGATCTTTCGCCTTCTAGTTCGGAGTTTGAGATGCAAGGTAACAAAATAAGATGTTTATACCTTTAAATATAAGTATTGTGGGTTGATGTGTTAGCTTTCAAGGCCGACCACACCTCGAGGTCTTGCAGGAAAATGTCAGAGGTTAAGCCAGGTTGAAAAATTTGCCTGTTTGTGTTTAACTGTGCAGTCAGCTGTGAGTATTTAAGGAAATTTTCTGAAGTACCGAGCATGTGTGAATATTACATTTGTTTACCACGCACTCTCTGCTGAATGCTTGAAATGGATTGACACTAAGGTCTTGTATTAATACGGTGTTGTACAAACATCGCCGCTGTTCTCGCCAATTATAGTTGTTCAGATAATGGAATTAGGGGCGGTGTCAGTGTCGTTTAAATTGTCAGTTCAAGTGTTAATGATGTAATGTGGTGCTGTAGTGGTAATGGAGAGCCTTTATTCCATAAACAAGCATTTTAAATAGTATCTTTAAATTGATTTGAAGGGAATATTGGTTATCGTTAAAAATGAGTATTAGCAGGGAACTAAAGTGAGAGCCAGATTAATGTCCTTAACAGTGAGGAAATGTTAAAGTACAACAAAGAAAAACTAATTTTGCCTTTACCATGAAGTGAAATGTGTTCTCACTCTGGGTTTTTGCTTTCTGCTTGATTTCTTACATGACAAAGTCTGTGTTTTCTTGGGTGTGCCTTCGTTTGAGCACTTGCATTTTATTTTTGCGTTACCTGCCTGTTTGCACTCTGCACACTGTGGTTAGGATAGGCTGTGTTTGAACTGTATGTACCCTCCTTTCTGACAGAAATAGAAACAAACTCTGGTCATAAATCTTTTGGAAATGGCTTCAAAATGTAAAAGGAAAAAAAAAAAGAAAAAACTCGAGAAACTGGTTTTTGTAAAAGTATGTCTGTGTGTCAACTTTTAGATTCAGCTCTTCAACCGTGTTTGATGAAATTAACTTGTGGTCTTGAGCAAACTAACTGAAATACTGTTCGTGTACACAAGGTGGCCATTTAAATGTTAAACCAACTTGAGAGAGACATAACAGACCGACCGTGTCCGTGTTGTGTCTGAACCGAGGCTAAAAGCGAGCATGTGCAAAGAGTGTGAACAATTTTAGAGTAAATATGAGAAGAAGGTCTTTGACCCTCCATTCAATGGAAGATTTGTTCGCAAACTCTGTTTTCAGAATTATCTTTGAACAACCAAAGTGGCTCTCGCTATGGCGTGTGTTATAGGGATCGTGTGAAACATATGCAAAGTTGGAAAAAAAAAGGTCTATATATATGATCTTTATCTGTACAGTCAGGCGAGCTTTAGTGTGATGTTTGTGGTCAGGATCTCTCCTCCAGGGCTCGAAACTCACACCCATGTCCTACATTTCCCTCTCTGGTGCAGAGCAGGCTAACAGACTCTTATTCAGATTGTTTGCTTGGTTGTCTGACTAAACCACGGATCCACACCGAACATCATGAGACTAATACTGACATGACTGGCTGATCCAGAGGACAGACAAAGAGAGCTTTGCATGCTTGATTTGACTGTATATCAACAGTTGTGAAATATTTTTACTACTCAGTGCTGTTTATTTACTTGTGTATCCTGTTTACTCTTAGGAGCAAGACCAAAATTCACCAAGAGAAACAGCATGGACAGTGTGGAGCTGTGGAAGTACTCCACAGATAAGGTGATATTTCACTCTTGTGAATATTAAACACATCCAAGTCACTCAGAAGTGTCGCTAACATGAAGATTTGTAACCCCAGAATGGTGACAACCAAGACTTGGAGAGTATACCCAGGAGATCTAAGAGTCAGACGTCCCAGCCGGGTAAAAGAAAAGGTTATCCTGACAGTCAGTCATCAGACGAAAGGCCGTGGTTGGATTCACCCCTTGACACTGATGACATCACTTTGCAAGTCCCGCCACCTGTGCCAGTGAGTTGTTTAACCTGCTTTAGTATCAGCACCTTACTCTCACCCAGTCGAGCTGGACTGTACTAACTTTTTTATGTAGGCGGAGTCAACTGTAGCTCCATATTTACCATGAAGATTTACCACTCTTTTAGCATACTTTGAATACAGCTTGAAGGTATATTACCTAGATATCAACTCCGTAGTTTTTAGTTCCAGCTATCTGAGGTTTTGGGTGTTTCATTTAAGTGTTCTCATGTTCTTTTTCTAATTTGGAAATATAATGGAATAAATCAAAATTTTGACAAGAGATGCACCGATATTTGATATCGGTATCAGTCCCGATACTGAAGAAAATTCTAGATCGGGTATTGTGACAATGGGCCTGATGCATAGGGGCCGATCTATTCAGTCTAACTGTAGGTTATATGCTGTGAGTGGCATCTACAAGTAAAGACGCTGAGCGGATGCCCACATTGTTCTCAAAATGGAGCGAGCAAAGGGGTCTACTATCTTTAACTTTATCACACTACCTCAGCCTACAAGTTCGACAGCCACTAGCAATACCTGCGCAGTAAACGTTTTGAGGGGCGGCGGTAAAACTTCAAGTTACAACAAAAGGTAATTCAGCACAGCTTTTCTGTATCGGAATTGGATCGGTATCGGCCGATACTAAACTGTAGATATCTGTATTGGTATCAGAGGTGACAAAAGTGGATTGGTGCATCCCTAATTTTGAGTACACTCAGAGTACTGGGTTTATGATCAAAAGGCCTTGGTTAGAGGTGATATGTAACAATGTCCCAGAATGTTATAAAAAAAATGTAATAAAACCCAAAATGTAATAATTGGTCAATATAATGCAAAAAGATGTCGAGCCCAAAAAGTAACTTTTTGCCCAAACTTGTTACATTTTGGGTCAGTTATTACATTTTGTGTTTTGTTTTATTTATTTATTCTTTTTTTAAATTACATTTCAGGCTCAGCACTTTTGTTACATTGTTGACCAATTATTACATTTTGGGCTTTATTATATTTTTTAAAATTTTTTATAACATTTTGTATCATCGCTACATATCGGGCTCTAGTAGGCCTCTTTAATGTTGATTTACTAAATAAATAAACCTGAGTCTGAAGGAAGTATCCTCTCAAAATTGTTTTGCCAACAACAGAAAAAACAAAAACTCTTGATAGAGTCTAGCGTACGGAGCAGCCAACCAAAACATATTTAAATACTCCTGGCTCCCATCCCGGTATATTCAAACTATGCCTGCAGCCCCTGAGAGCCCACCTCAGAGAAGATGGGATTTAATCTTTTTTTTCATAGAAAGCAATAAAGGGTCCTGTAATGCTGACTACTGGATAGCTACTTTTCCATTCTAGTCTGTTCATTCCTGATGCGACGAGTCTTCAGGGCTTCAGCTTAAAAGAAAAATCTAGAAATGAGTGAGATTAAATTTGGAACGCATCCCCTGATTTCCCACGCGGTTATATACTGTGATGTGAGAAGTCAGACAAAGTGTAAAGGTGTCTTCTCTTCAGATAACACTGGCGCTCCATTTGCTGTGAACTAGATTCTTAATGAGTATCTCATCTCACAGCTGGGTCTTCTTAATTCTGCTTTTTTACTGTGACAGTGTTAATTGTTGTATTTAGTGAGCTGACATGCCAGCAAAAAAAAAAAAAATACTGCGCTGCGTAATGATAGTTCATCACAATGGAGAAGAGAGAGCATCTGGGGATAAATGCTAGTAATCCTCATGACACTGTAGTGCACATTTTTACATCTGACAATATTTGAATACAGTTATGTGTTGGTAAGCTTGGAAATTTACTCTTTAAGCTAAAAATCTCACAGAAACGCAATCAAAATTAGGTAAAGCTGTAGTATTTGGGTGTGGTAGGGGGAGAAAACATAGTGCCAAAGAAATTTGTAACTGGAAAAAAAAGTGTACCAAGGACAATGAATTATTTGTTTGTTTTACTGAATGGTTAAAGTACATTTTCACCTAAAGTCGATACCACTGAATAGATGAGATTCTTTATCGGTGCTCTGGCACTGATTTTGATGCTTCTGTGTAAATTAAAGTGTAAATTTCTCTATTTTGAAAACAAGCATACTTTTATTTTGAAAGGACATAAAAAAAATTTCCTCTGGATTTCAAAGTTACTGGAGTAAATGTTAACAGCTGTGATAAAAATGAGTCCTTAAAAGGCTGAAGTTTCTTTCTTTTCCCTTTCTTCATTAGGACAGTCATGTTTAGTTTAGAAATGATACAAGATGATTCAAAATTGTTGCCCACTGAGCATTTTTTTGGCCTAAAAGAGGTATAATAGATGTCTAAAATCAGGCTACCACAGGTCTAAAACTGAGTTTTTTAGGCGTCTAAATTGAGACCAAGTTTAGACTAAATCTAAATCTGGGCTAAATCTATACTACACTGTAGTGTTGTAGTACTCGAGATCGATCTTGGTCTCGATCGGTCTCAAGACCATTTTTTGAGGGTCTTGGTGTCGTCTCGGAATCAAAGCCATTTTCACTCGGTCTTGTCTCGGTCTCGGTCCTCTCTAGTCTCAGTAATGTCTTGGTCTCGGTTGGTGCGGTCTTGACTACAACACTGCTTCACTGTATATTACTCAACGGCTATTATAATTATTTGGTTAAGTACATAGAGATCAGTTATGCAACCCCCAGTGGCTTTTTGAAATAAATAGTTATAGAATAATGGGTTAAAGTGCAATGTCTGAATTCAGTCTAAAAATATACAGAATCTAGACGGTTGAAATTAGATCTAAAAAAAAAACTAGATGTCTAATAGCCGTCCATTGCTCAGTGGGTGGTTTATGACACCATTTCTCCATATTTTTTCAACAGGGCAAGAGAGCTAAATAAAACTGTAATTTTTGACGCTCTTATGTAACATAATGCCTTAGTTCCTGTACTGTTTAAAAAAAATATGCATACTTTTATTTTGAAAGGACAGGAAAAGTTCTCCTATTGGATTGTAAAGTTAAAGCAGTAAATGTGAACAGCTGGGACACAAACCTGCACTTTTCCCTTCTCTTACTTGAGCTTCTTTTCCATCAGCACCAGCACTATCTATTCTCTCAGGTCAAGCACACATACACCAAACACAACATAACAAATCAAACAAAGCCAAAACCAAAAACCAAAAAGCAAACACAGCTCCTCTCAATAGATTTAAAATACACACAGCAGAGAAACATCCATTTAACTGAAGAGACAAATTCATGCTCTTATGTTTCCATTTATACTCTCTTTCCCAGTCTGTCTCAGTTACCTGCTGAGCACATTTGGACACATTACTCATGACACATGCACAATAAAAGCAGGGAGACGGTCCACGTGCTATAGTGGATGGCAATTTTATATGGATAAAAATAGAGACTTGCTGAAATGGTTGACAAATATACTTTGGCAGGCCGCCCAGGTGTGGTTGATGTGTGGAAAACAGTGGCAGCGCATCCTCAACTATGCAAGGACTTAGATTGCTGTGTTTGGAAGTACTAAACTGAAGTGTGGGCAGAAAGTGAAGGAAATCTTTAAAAGCAACTGATGATGCTTGAGTTAAACACCTCATGACGCCAAAGAGCGCTGGAATCTTGTATGTCCTCCTTTGAACACACACCCCATCTCTGTCACACTCAACATGATATCTGTGCTTCCTTTATCTCTCTGTCTCTCCCTCTCTCTCTCTCTCTCTCTCTGTCATCGCTGTCACGTGTTCCTTTCTCTCTTGTTCTGTCTCTTTGGCCTACTTGATTAATTAGATAACACAGAGAGAGAGAAGTGAGGAGAGCCGCACAGAGACCATGAGGCCAAGGACAGAGGACGGATGATTAATGTGCACAGAGCCAGTAAACAGCGATCATATGGGAGGTTTTATGTGCCTTTGTGATTGTTTATTAGAAATAAACACGAGGTACTTCTATCGCCTTGACTAATCGGTTACAAACACCCGCAAACAAAGACTCCATTTATGCAAACTTCAGGTATTGACCACCCCAACCTTGGATCATGATGGGCAGAGGGAGCCAACACATCAACAGGGTTATAAAGCAGCCTCCCTTTGCCTGTGTTTTACAAAGTTAGGTCCACGACACCGCGGGGAGCATGAATGGTTTGCAAATTAAAGAGGTTTTAAAGACTCAAGCTCGAACATTGGTGGTTCTTGTAATTCCAGGGTGGTAGATCTCTGCCAGCGGCCACTGTTGGCATGCAATTTGCTCATGACTGTGCCCCTGCACCCATCTTTCCACCCTCTTTCCCCCAGTCATCCCCCCCCCCGCTCTTCCTTTCTGCTGATAATGTGACCTTGATCACAGAGCTGCTACCCTCCCCACAGGGTCAACCCCCCTGCCTCCGATAATGAGTTGTTTTCCCACAGTGGGCGAACGGGACAAAAATGGCCTTCAGGACAGCCGCACAGAGATAGAGAGAGAGAGAGAAAAAAAGAGAGAGACGGAGAGAGGAGCTGGTGGAGATGCAAAGAAGACAGGAATAAAGGGATACAAGAGGAGAGGAAATTAGAAATTAGAGGGAGGGAGTTGAGTGCAGCTGGGAAGGAGAGAGAGGCAGTGAAGTGAGGTGGGGGAGAGGGAGGTGTGAGCCAGGCGTGTGCACAGAGTGAGAGGGGCAGAGAGCTCAGGGAGAGGAAGAGAGAGAGAGAGGGAGAGAGAGAAAGAGTGGAATAGCTAGAGGACATAGAAGAGGTGCTGCTGGTAAGATGTTTCATTTATGTTTTATAGCTTCATTATCAACATGCTGCAAAAGACACAAGAGGCTGTTTGTTTTGTGTTTCAGTGGACTTTAAAGGTGTGATTACTGTCAATCGCTCTGTTGTGTTTGTACTGCTTGTGTAGTTGTTTGACTTTTTTAAGGCTTAAATGCTGTGAGAGTGAAGAACTTTGACTAAAACTGATAAAAGTTCTGCGTTGTTTGAAGCTTAGTTTGACGTTCAGTGAAAAAGTTGACAAGCGTTAGTTGACTGTGACCTACTTCACGTATCGCTGTGAGGCAAAGTAACTTCAATTTCATCCACTCGTCGGGGTAAAATGCGTCTTAAAGTCTGACTTTGTGGCTTTTGGAACCCTGAGTATCGAGAGTTTTGATTGGTGCATTGTCGCTGTGATCGGTTTGTTGTGGAGGAAGAGAATTTTCATATCAGGCACATATTTAGACTGCTGTGGGTGATACTCTCACCTCAAATTTACTTTGTATTCGGATGTTTCTTTTCAATTGTCTTTTCAAATGTTTTGTTTTGGTGAATTTGAAGATGTTTTGTCAAGTATGAGTGTTTAACTGAGTCATAATTCATGATAAAATTGGTGCTTTAACATGTAGCATTGTTAAATAGTGAAGAGAACAAGCATTACAAAACTAAGTCTTTATTTGTTGTCTGTCAACCTATAACTTTGATGAAATACAACTTCAAGTCCTGTGTTGCTCAAATCAACTTTGTAGCTATTTTGGCGCCCCCTATTGACAAAACTCTGCCCCTGTTCTCTTTGATGATCTTTCCCTGTACATTAGTTTGTATTGTTTCTAGTGAAACTCAAGGCTTTTCATTTGAATGATGAAACGTGTCACTTGCTGTGAATCTTGAATCTGTGAATCAAAGGCTGTTTCAGTCGTCCCCCCATCTGACATCCACCTGCCTGGCAGGAGTTAAAGGCTTTGAGAAATAACTATGTAGAAAAAAATCAATCTGGCTGCTGATGGTGTTGTTTAGTTTTTAAGGTCATATAGAGTCATTACTATTCAATACAGCATAATCAGAATATGCTGTGCTCTCAGATAAATACATGTCAGTGACTGAACAATCAGGTCATTTGACTAATTCTGAGATTTTGTTGGTGTATTTCTTCAGTTTTGTCCTCAGCCTTTGTTACTAACCCTGTGTGGCCTTGCTTTGAGATCCAAGTTAGTAAATACAAAACAAAAAATAAACTGTGTTTTATTTCCGGAAAATTTCTAAAAATACTGTTTTAAACATTTCTCAGGTTTGGCGTGTCAAATCACTTCTTTCTTTGAAAAAAAAAAGATGTATATTTATGTTTTTTATAGTAGAATTTGACATTTTGTTTATTTTTTGTTTGGATTATTGAGATTTGTACTCCATGCTTTTGTAAACAATTATGAAAATTAGTTTTAACTGCATGAAGTTATTCTAAAATACATTTCTGAAGACTTTTATTTGCCGTTTGAAGTTTATGGTGCAGATATTTTTTGTAGGAATAACATTCAATGAAAACATTTTTAGTGGATAGTTGCACGGCTGCGAATCTTGATGCTTTTGTCTAATTTTAAAAAAAAGTTTTATGTAGTTTGAAGTTTTTGAGTTTTGATTGGCACTCAGCTGTTACTATAGACTCTAAAATTTACAAGAATCGTAGCTCTGATGTTTTCTGTAAACTTCAGCTGCAAAGCTTCAAAACAAACTAGACCGAGATAGTGTGAGAGAGAGAGAGATTATCATTTAGTTTGATAACAGAGAGAGAAAAGAGTCATGGGCACCTCTTGATGGTATCTGAAAGGAAACAATGGAAGGAGCTCCGTCAGAGGGAGGTTGTGATGAAGGGATAGCATGATTGACTCATTGATTGGCTTATCATTGATCAGAGACTGTGTACTCTCTCATGTGGCACAGCCAATTGAATCTATACCAAACAAAGTTGATATTAAACCATTCGTCTGCTCATGTGTAAAAGCAGATGACAAACTCTTCACTTTACCCCCCAAAAGAGGCGAATCAAAGGTTTATCAAAACAAAGAAGCAAAAGGAAGCTACATGATAAATATGAAACTTGATGGCATTGGACCACCTTCAGTATCTAGGCCAAGCTAGCCTCATCAGGAAGCCCGTCCCTTGTGGTTGATCAGATGATTTTCTCTTCTATAAGCCCGTCATCATAAAGCTATTACCGGCCTCAAGTTGTGGGTTTTTTTCTGCGCATGATGACTCGTTTTTTATTTTATTTCTGGGAACAGTATAGATCTACTAGGTCATTGTCTGATGAATAAACATTACATTTTATTTCATATCTTTGCCTATTAGTGCTGTGAAGAGTCTGTGTGTTTTACTCAGCTGTGGTTTCCCTTTAGAAGCTGGGTCGTGACCCCTCAGATGAAGACTGCTTCTTCGACCTCCTCAGTAAATTCCAGAGCAGCCGCATGGATGACCAGCGCTGCAATCTTGATGAACCACACAACGGAGATAACGGAGAGGGTGCTGCGAACGCCATGCCGTCCCTGAACGAGAGGATAGGTTGGTGGAAAGCACTGTCCACATCTAGTCTCTGTTATAAAAACTGATTCGAGTACCTCTAATGGTGCTCTCGTCTCGCCTTCTAGATCCTGCGATAACGACTTCCCCACAGACTGAGGAGCTCTTCGACTTGATTGCTAGCTCTCAGAGCCGCCGTCTCGATGATCAGCGGGTCAATGTTGGGAATCTTCCAGGCTTGAGGATTACCCACAACAATCTGGGACACTTGGTAGGTGAAGGGGATCATCAAGAACCCAGTGATGACTTCTTCAACATGCTCATCAAGTGCCAGGTAAAATCGACACGACAAGAACTCTGGGTCTCTCTCGAATTTGTAATTATTAGTCTAATAGAGCGTGGAGTAATTAATTTGTTCATCTTTCCCACTGTAGTCCTCTAGGATTGATGATCAGCGGTGCTCACCACCAGAGGCCGGCCCCCACGCCCCCACAGTGCCTGATGAAGACTTCTTCAGTCTAATCCAAAGGGTGCAGGCGAAGCGTATGGACGAGCAGCGCGTCCAGCTGCCTGCAGACGACCAGGACAGCCCTCAGTCCCCTGAGCCAGACTCGCCTGGTGGTTTCTCTAGCTAGGACTTTGTGAATTTTTACCGTAACTTCATGTCAAAGAGAATTAAAGCAGAGGGAAAGAACGAAGGATGAGCCAATATTTAAAGACGGCACTGAAGGGTGAACTAACGACATTTTTAATAACAAGACAAATTTAATGTGCAATAGGTGGTGCCCTGTTAAACGTTCGCTCGGTGTGTTTCGCTCTATATATGTGTGTAAATATAACAGGAAAGCAGAATTTCAGCTCGATGGTGCGAGGTTAAAGAGGTTGAGTTCAGGGGACATGATAACAACAACATGAAATAGATTTTTAATCTAATGCCTTAATCAGCATTTTTCAGACTCAAGATTGTATTCTGTGGAGTCAGATGTGTTTTCTGGAAGCACACTGTGGGCAGGCAGTGTTATACTGATGAGTAACCTGGAAACTTTAAGCAGGCGTTACAAAAATCACAGAAATCAGAAATAAATTTAAAACTTCAGACAAATTTGCACTAAAAGTCGAACTATTTTCCTAAAGACTTGGATGATGATGGAAAAATTAGGGATGCACTGCTGCATCAGTTGAACGACGGTTTCAACCACTCTCTACGATACAGGCGATACGAAGCGATGTGCCATGAAACATGTCAAAAGCCAATGTTTCTTTTTATCTTATCCCTTCTTTATTGCATCAGATTAGCGCTTGGAAGCTCATTCACCCGACGTCTGATTCAGAGAGGAGTTTTCTTTTTAAGTCAGAGGAAATCAAGGTCTTCTGGACTTCTGAAGAATTACAAATAAGTAATGCAAAAAAAAGAAGCAACCCATGCATCCGCTTAATTCTAAATTCAAATATTGATTTTCACTCTCATTGCTCTTAATACAGCTTTTATTATTATTCCATTTTCATTGAAAACTGATGTAATTGGTGCAGCAACAGTATTAAGAGTTTCCATTCAGTGTTTAACTGTCAAATCAGTTTAACCCATAGACTGTATATACTATGGACAACTTGGTTCCGCCTTCCACCAGTATACGGATTTGAAGCCGAAAAGCTCTCAGTATTTCCGCGATTTTTCTCCAATTCCTGAAACCAACATTGCGCAGTAGCAATGTGCGCATTCAGCGGGAGAGTCGCAGAGATGACACTCAGCAATCTTCGTGCGCCCATAGGCTGTATCAGGTGTCAATCATAGAAAACATGAACCCCCTAATAACTTTTAAAAATGGAGCTAAAGAGAAAAAAAAGGACTTGAGCACAAACCAGTCTTACAGTGACGACATGTCAACATCGCAACCAGGTGGGAGAAAAATTTATGTTCTGTGTAATAAGTTTCTAAAGTTTGTCCATGACGCCATAGGGATTGCTGGAGGAGGCAGGATTTATGACCTAAACTGCAGCCTGTCACCATAGGGTCCTGTGGCAGACGCTGTTCATTCTATATACAGTCTATGGCTTAACCTCGCCACTGATTGATAATTGATTGATAGAAAAAAAAAGTGATTCTTTTAAAATTAACATAGAAATCTGAACTTTTCTGTACATCTAGAGTCTGGTCTCGACTGTACCTTTTTATAAAGCATCTTGGGAGAACATTCGTCGTGAATTGGTGCTGCATAGATACAGACTGATTGCATATCTTCACACGGTATGTAGGATCCACGGTTAGTGAAACAACACAGCTGCTTTCTTCGACATTCAAGGTTAGAGAGTCCTGGGATATTTTAAGCTTCGGTCAATGTTTCTGCTTCGCTGCATAAGTAACGCTACCTGCTGCCCGTGATGTTCTCAACATCTGATAACAGACTATTGCCTACTGCCATTATCACTGTCACTTTACATAGAAATAGAAGCAGATGGACAAGGTGGTCATCATATCTTGAAGAATCTAATACCGTGAGTGATTCTGACCCACTAATACTAGGTTGTGCTGCCTCCTTGTGGTTAAAATCTTGTAGTGCTTCTATTTAGTGAATCAAACATTCCCTCCTCTTGACCACACTTAAACACGGCATAATGACACATCCCAAAAGAGACAAGTATGTCTCTTCGCCCTGCTTTCAGTGACTAAATTCAGCCAACACGGGCCATTTATGTGGAGATGTTTGTGAATATTTTCATAAAGGTTAAGGTGCATCATTAAAAAAAGGTCAAGTGCAGAAAGTACATTTGGATCGGTACAAAAAAAAAGTATTCAACCTTTCTGTTGGGTTTGCTTTTTATTGAGAAGTAGTGCATACCTCATTTTTGTACCTTAGTATTCTGAACCAGGATGGATCAAGTTTCCAGTTTCTATGTTTGATTCATCTACCTTTGATTAAAAAAAAAAAAAGACATTGGGAGCTAAAGTTAATATTTCCTTTCTTTTGTTTTTGTGAATTAACATTTTTAGACAGTTCTCGGTACGCTTCTTTTTGTCTCTGTCATAATTTGTACATATAAATATATTTTGTATTTATGTTCCATTTGAGGGCATTGACATGTCCCTTCATGCTTTTAATAAAATGTTTCAGATGTTACCTCGGGCTGTGTTTGTTTTTTGTTTTCTATATTTGCATAGGCTAAATAAAGATCACCTCTTTCCACCACAGGAATAACACTGAACTCTAGAGAGCAGAAAAAAAATGTCCAACTCATTGCATAAGAAAATGAGTCCCAGATCTGCTGAAGTGAATAAACAGTGGCTTGACTTTTTAGAGTTCTTATCTTGTGACTAAGGACAAAGAAGTGAACAAACCTGTTGGCCTGCTTTAAGTCGGGCTGCTGAAGAGATTTATGAGGACAGTAATAGTTTAAAAATCAGTGGTTTAATTTCGCCTCAAACATCTCAACTAAATGATTTTTATTTTAACTTAAACACTTTTTTCACAACAAAATCAACTGCACTTATCTGAAAAATGAAGCACAAATTTAAGTCTAAAAGGTTTTATCTTTCAGTCGTACAGTCTGCTCCTCCTCCTCCCTCTGCCTCCAATTTCACCCCCGTCTCCTCATGTTCATCATCCACTACCTCCCTCCCTCTCCTTGTCCATTCTTCTTACCCAGAGTGCAACGCGGGCTGAGCAGGCTCAGCTGGGCTATAAAAAGGCATAGCATGGGGGAGGGAGGGCTGCCGTGCAGCAGGAACTGTGCAGACACACACACGGGGATCCAGGGACAGCAGCCCCCTTTGCACTGGGATCTAGAGCCACAGCACGACAGAGAGGTCAGTACAGAGGACAAAGTCTTCGCAGAGGAAGGGAGAGCAGGAAATGTGAGGATCTCGCACTGTTGGAGGGAGGGATGAATGCAGAGATGTCAGAGTGCTAGAGTGTTGGCAGGCAGAGTGGGCAGGGCTGTTAAATAGGATGGAGAGAGAGGGAGAGAGATAGTGTAATGGTGAACTGTCATCTGGTTTCTCCAGACGCTGTGGTCAGTTTCTGTTTAGATTCGTAGAAACTGTCAGGACATCAGGCGTTTTCTGCATGCTGCGAGGGCATGAAGCTCTTGTGTGGCTCACAGTGATGGCACCACTGAATGCATGTCATATCTGTGAAGCTGAAAAAGTACGACTGATTTTCATTAAATCTCCAGACATTTGCTTCAACATTTCCCCGCAGGTTTCCTGCCTTCGCCCTAATAGTGTGTGACCCCCGCCTATATCCGTTAAAGGTCATTTTCATTCAAGCTGCTCCAGCCTTTTCATCCCACTGCCAGGCTTCCTGCTCCTGTAATGGCCATTAGCCACTGATTTGGGGTCTGAGTGCTATTGATTGTTGTCAGTCGACATTAAAGCGATGCCGTGAAACTAAGTGAAAGCCTACATTCGGGAGCATAAACACATCCGTTACACCCTCAGCTCCATCCTCACAAACAACATGGAAAATCTCCCACTGCACTGACGTCAAAGGGTCCCCTGTTCTCTCTTAAAGGAACAGGCCGCGCAATTAATTTGTGGTGCCTCAGTGACCAATGCTACACAGAGAGAATGCACAAAAAGATTATGTGCCCAGTACTTTGTTTTCACTATAGCTGCTTTGCAGGCAGGCGGTGAATGCACCACCTCCATGTGCTGTCTGAGAGCAGTTGACATGCTATCCCTTAACAGCTGCAGAGTGACTGAGTGAGTCTTTTTTTAGCATGTTAAAAAGGAGTAATAAGACATGAGGAGGGGTCCTGCGGAGGGACTAACTTTAAGGCGGAGGTTGTTTTGCTTCCAATCTCTCAAAACTTCAATTCAAGGCTAGAAAAATGTCTCTAAATGTACGGTACACATAATTGTTTTCTTAAACATTCATGCACTTGAGTAAATAAAAGGAAATGGCTTCAGTGCTTGCACAGCCGTCATGCGCCTTTGTCCACATCTGATAAGGTCAAGTTCAAACCTGTTGCCACATCTCCAAGACTGACACAGCCTCTGCAGGGCATGTGTCTAAACTCCTGAAATACTTCACTGCAGATAAGTCGTCCATATTTTCATACACCTTTAAAACCTATTTACCCATCGACAGCATGTCATCTTTGCATAAAAAACTAGATATAAAATATAAGAACATATAAAAACTAGAACATGTCCGACATGCCAAAGCAGCATGGGACCCAGACGTTGGTACCATAATAGGCCACGGAGGGATTCCTAAACAGGCTCTGTGCTGACTCAGACTCCAGCCTCACGGTGACATTTACATGGGCCACAGGGGCGAACGGCTGCTGACATAAAAATGGACACCTGAGCTGCAGTGGTCTTTACAAGTGCTACATGTGAGAATCAGTTAACAAGATGGCGGCATTTGCAGCTTTGCTAAAGACCCTGCAAAAATAAATCTTCATAATAGTAATTTTTTATGATATAACACATTTGAAAAACAAGCCAACAGTTACAGTAATAAAAAGGCAAAACACTCACAAAACAAGATGATAGAGAAAGTCTTGTTTTATCTAGATTTGCAGTGTAGCTACAGTAAAATCAGCAACAATCAAGTGTTGTTTTCATTAATCTGGCACAGCAGTGTTTGGTTTGCGTGAACAGAGAGCCTGCGCACTGGACAAGCAGCCACATTCACATTAGGCTGAGTTAAAGTCTTATCTACTGCTGCCCTCCAGATTTACAGTTGTTGAGAGGCAGGGCTAAGCCAGGATTAGACATTAACGCTTCAAAATCAGGCTTCATAGGAGACGGTTCGAATCAGCTTCTACCTTCATTTTCAGAACAAATGTACAAGACATCTATAAGTGTCATTTATTTTGTGTACACTATGTTCCTTCCTCCTCCAGTGAACATACCAGGGTAATTAAATCTAAGCTTGGACCTTAACGTGTAATTCAAGGAACATGACCTTTGCCCTTTCTCATAACTCTTGTTTGACCAACTCAGACTGGCAACTTCTCAAGTTTCCTTATGACCACAGTGAATGATGTCAGGGACCAGGTGACAGGCAAACACTACAGCGAAACCTGAACAGGCAAGGCTATGAAGGGGATAATCTGAGTCCTGGTAGATACGAGCAGTTGTTTCAAAACAAATATCGTCAAATTCTGCAGATAGAGAATTATCTTAAGATAAGTGGACCAAGAAGTATGTGGTTTTATTTCAGAGACAACACCTGCTGACCCAAACCTCAAAGTTATTTTGAGTCTCTTCTTTCAAACCCATTCATTTTCAACCAAAGGCATGAACAGCGAGTTAAAGGTCTCTATTAACACATACCAGCACTGAAGGCTCCTCCAGCACACTTCCTCATTCTTCTATCTACTGTTTTACATTCAGCTAAAAAAAAGTGTAAACAGGAAACGATGTGGTTGTTGTCTTCTTGAGATATACTCAGTGTTGATTCAGACAGAATGGGCACTTCCAGGGTCATTATTTGAGAAGTTTCTAACAGCGATAACACAGACGGTAAGCCCTTCTTAAATAGAGTATTGATATGTTCGGCTCTTAAATATGATCCTGTTTTCTTATTCTTGGAATATTAAGAGAATGCAGATAAGTTGGTCAACAGATATTGTTATCTTAGTGAGGATACAGATACTAATTATTAGTAGTTTATAAGACTGATAATTGATTTTTGGAACTGATATGCACCAACAGAAATAATGAAAAACTTCCTGCTCAAATTTAGAATTTCATATTCTTCAAAAGAAAATCTGCTTTAATACCTTTAATTTAATCAACACTGAAAAATTCAACATCACATTCAGGGCATAACAGCAACACTTACTCAGTCAGATAGTGTTGTGGATGAGAAAAAGTGGTGCAAGTAAAACAGACCTGGATGGAAAGACACACTGGTGGGAGCAGAGCCAAAATAGCACTTTTCAAATTTATTTCATTTAACATCTGTAAAGTAAAAGGTTGATACGGATATCTGTCCAGACACCAAGTATCAGCACCGATAATCAACCACCACTAATACAGATATGAACCTCATCGATACCTCTACCAGCACTACTTTGTATCACAGACAGGGGTGCTGTATAAGGGTGAGAGAGAGGATAATTATAAGAGCCTGTGACTTTTAAAGGCCTTAAAAGAACAACACAATGCCACTGGTAGAAAAATAAGGGTTACAATGTTCACTTTTTTTTCCAAAGGGGGACTTCTTTAAGTGTTTTTAGGTGTTAAATATTCTGAAATTAAAAGGGACTCATGCACAGAGGGCAGGATACTGCTGAAGAAGTGGACTCCTTAGGAACAAATAGTGTCACCGTGGTGGAAATGCCCATTTAGATAACGTGGTTATGTAACAGAGGAAATGCTTTTCGAGGAAATAACCGTGTGATCTTGACGATGCTGTAATGGGAACATTGAAGTGTTGGAGTGGTCTTTGGGGAATTAAATTGGGAATTAAATATAATGCTTTATAAACTCCCTATAAAATATACTTTTGTACTTGAATTCTTTGTTACTGAAATTGTGATTTTGTCAAAATTTGTGCTGTCGTGTGAAGTGATATGTTTACTTTTCTGTGTCTTTTCTGATTTAGAGTTGAAGGACAAACCCTCATCTAACACAACATAATGGCAGGTAAATATCATTATTTTGAGACTGATTATAGACTTATCAATCTGACTGGTGCTGCTACAATTTATGTATTTTAACCAATAAATGGTAGAAATATGTGTTTTGCTAGACACTACTGCCCTCTTCTGGCATGTTTTGAGAATGCAAATGAAGCCTTTCATTTTACAGTGTAGTACAAATACTGGACAAAAAGCACACTTGTCTGATTGAAAATTGGAAATTATAAAGTAAAATCTAATTACAGTTTAAAAATACAACAGCTGAATGATGCAGAAATGACCATACAATGAAGTTAAAGTTTAAACCATTCCATTGTCTCTCTGTGCTCAAATGTGAGATTTATGAATGAGGCTTTTCACTCAGTGTTCAGCTTTACCTGGCTTCATAGCGTTCAGACGTAACAACAGTTGCCGTGGCAACACTGTTAGAGTAGCAGCACAAACCTGCACCACAGACAGCAAAATCAAAACAGCCAGGCAGCACAGCCTCCTGTAGCTCCAAAAATGGGAAATATGTGCACAGCTGATTCCTCTGCACGTGTCTCTCAGGATGGTGTGTGACAGAAATCTTTGTTTGTGGCTAAAACTTGTAGTTTTTAATGGTGAAAAGAAAACTCTGCCTCCATACACACACTGAATCCTAACTTTATCTATTTTTTTCCTTTTTCAGACAAAATTAAAGATGCTAAGATCATCTTTGTTGTGGGTGAGTCATCATTTTCTCTCATTTTGTTCGACACATTTAAGCACCATCCTCCGACTGTGCTTAACAGATTCTTTTTGTATTATTTCCAGGTGGACCCGGCTCTGGAAAGGGCACCCAGTGTGAGAAGATCGTAGCAAAGTATGGCTACACCCACCTGTCATCTGGGGATCTGCTCCGTGCTGAGGTGGCCTCTGGCTCTGAGAGGGGCAAGCAGCTCCAGGCCATCATGCAGAAGGGAGAACTCGTGCCCCTGGTGAGGACAATTCAATTTTATTTGAGATTTTTTAAAGTACACTTACATTTTGCGACTCTAAAACTCAAGGAGGAAAATGAACCTGAAGATGTGTGCACCGATATGAAAGAGATGCATCAGTAGCTTCAGGATTTATTGTGTTGGTACACATTCGAAAAAGTTTCTGAGGGTTATGATGTTCAGCTTTTGTTGAAACTGTTTTGCAGAAGTGCCGATTTACCTTCATGATCATTTTGTAAGATGTATAGTTTGTGGTTCTGTTCGAGTATATTGCATTTATGAAGAGATGTCATTTTCAAGCACCCCTAGATATTTATGGATCGGACAAAATAACAGAAGCACCTGTCCGTGTAATAAAACTTCCTGCCGAGTGTATTTTCTACTAGCAGTGCTGTGTCATCGTGAAGGTTGATTACACTGTTTGGGCTTGCTTTCAGGACACAGTCCTAGACATGATTAAGGACGCCATGATCGCCAAGGCTGATGTGTCCAAGGGCTACCTTATTGATGGCTACCCCCGTGAGGTGAAGCAGGGCGAGGAGTTTGAGAAGAAGGTAAGCAAGAGCGAAAAAACGTTGCACCATAACTCATCTGACAGTCAACGCAGGAAAGATTTTAATCCAGAGAAAATGTCTTTGACCTCAGATCGGCAAACCCTGCATGCTGCTGTACGTCGACGCCAGAGGCGAGACCATGGTCAAGAGGCTCATGAAGCGCGGTGAGACCAGCGGCCGCTCCGACGACAACGAGGAGACGATCAAGAAGCGCCTGGACTTGTATTACAAAGCAACCGAGCCAGTTATCGCTTTCTACGAGGGCCGTGGCATCGTCAGGAAAGTGAGTACAACACCTAATACGAGTGTTAAAATGAAGAGAAAAAAAAGTGTGGGTTGTGTTAAGTCTTGTGTGTTTCCTTTTTCTGCCCAGGTGGACTCTGAGCTGCCAGTGGACGAGGTCTTCGGCCAAGTTGCAAAGGCTATTGATGCACTGTAGTAAAACAACGTAACTGGATGGGCTGTGTCTGGTTCTTGCTGTTTTGTTTGATTTTCTCTGCACCAGTTTTGTTCAGGCCAAACAGGAACAACAACAACAGAAATAACGCCCTCTCCAACTCTTCCTGGTATCAAATCCTGAAGGCCATTAAGGACTAACAACGCCTTAACTGTACTCCAGTCTAAAAGCTCAAACAATTACAAATCTGCTTAAAGCAGCATGTGGAAAACCGTCACTTCCTTTATACAAGTCTCTGTGCTCAACATGTTTGTGGATATATTTAAGTGATGTACTCTGTAGCTTTTCTCACCTTTCAGGCACCATGCTGACATTGGGGAAAACTGCACTTTACACTATCTCTTACCCCTCTCTGCCCCTTTCATTAAGAGTCCTGAATTGATGTGAAAATAATAGACATCTTTATGAATGATGGTGGAGATCCCCCACTGTGGAAAAACTGAGAAAACTCTGCAAACGTGTATATTTACAGAACTTCTAATTTACTTTTATAAATTGATTACATAATTTACATCCATATCTCAAGCACAAATACTATGTAGTTCTTTTTATCAAGTGGTAAACATGTCTATAAAGTGGTTTATGTAACGAAAAGGAAATTAAAGTACAAGGACATCAATCAATATTTTTAATTTCTTCACTAGAGGCTGTTTGGGATATTTAACCTTCCTTCTTTGTTAGCTTTTACTACACACCCACTATGTTAAGGGTCCGTTTCGACCCGTGTCTTAAATCAGCTGTAAATTACACTAAAAACATTTCCTTATCTTCCAATTTGGTTCGCGTCTCTCGGTTACCTTGTCAGGCTTCATTATCCATGAAAATATTGCTCATAATATCTTTTGTTGTGGTCCTCTGGGCCTTTCATTGTCAGTATACCACACAGACATCGATACTGAATTGGTCTCACATGTCTGGACATGCCCGACATTGCTTTTTTGTGCAAAATTAGAATTTCCTAAATCTCACATGATTGGAAAAGGATTTTAGTTTTTGCTCTAACTATTAGATATTAATCTAACCAGGTCAACAGCGACCCTAACACGACAAGTACCATAATTTTAATAAGAGCATTTTATAGTTTAGTCAATTTAATATTTTTAAGCATTTAGAAACAAAAACTGGTCAGTGCAGACCCTAACACCGAAGGAGGGTTAAAAGATTCACCATCCAGTGATGTGAAATCTGTTTTCCTACCTAAATAGCACTGTGTGTGTGCAATCCAGGACAACTACACACATACACAAACAAACAAGCGTCTCTGACAATGCTGTGAGGTTAAAAGGAAACGTTTGTCCATGCTGAAAAACATGCTCAAGGTGCTGGAGCAGTAGACACAACAGGATACCGGACACACCGCCGCAGCCATAGTTCACCTCTGTTATTACAACTTTTCCTTTGGGTCCATGAAGACCAACAGGTCTTCCTTTACCTCTCACCTTACATACTTACACACATCCAGCTGGCCAAGCAAACGCTCCTGCAGGTATCCGGACTACCCTCCAAGGAGTGCTCTGATCATGACTCTGCGCCGTAGGGATGAGGGAGAGGAAAGCGGGTCCTGGCGGGGGACAGGATGTGTCTATCGGAAAGTCAATCATGAAAAGGCGTCCGTAAGCACTTTCAGAGAGTCATCGAGGATGCTGCTTGAATGCTTGGAATGCTGTGCTGACTTCATAAAGGTAGAAAACAAAGGGGAAGAAAGGGGGTGGCAGTGGTATTTATCACGTACAACAGAGAGGGGAAGAAAGGGACACATGTCTGCGAGTGTTGGGGAGAGAGGAAAACATGCGCCTACAGCTCTGCAATCCAGGAATCCTGAACCTTAGTTTACCTGTTATGAGTTCAGTTCAAAGACAACCCGCTGACCCGAGATTACAAAACATTTGAGCATGGAAAACATTTAACTAATGCTGAAAAACTTCTCTGTGTTGGAACAGTTCTGACCCCCTGTGGTAGTTCAGCAAACAGCAGAGGGCTGGAACAGTATCTCAATTCTCAACAACAAATTCAACGATCTCGTCTGTATGATAACACAGGAACAAAGAAGCAACACAAGAACTACAAAAAGTACAATAAACAGCAAGACCAATTCAGTTTCAATCCGACAGTCCAAATTAACTGCATCAGATGAAGTGTGAAAATTTTTCAGTCACCAGACGATAAAAACTCTAAGATTTACAGGAAGTAACCAACCGTCAATCAAATTAATGGTGAGTCCTTGACATTGGCTTATTAGCCATAAATGTAGGTTGATTGGCAAATCTGCAGACACAGCAAATTTCCACCAATTACACTTAGTAGCTGTGTGCACTTGGCTGGAGAGTGTGACTGAATATAGTGATGTGAAATCAGCTTCAAACATAAATACCAGGCTGTACTCTGATATATAATACTTATAAGTTCTTATATATAATTACTTATTTGAATCAAATAAAAAACATTCAGCAGCGAATGTAGCACATTAAATCCAAACCACAGACACAGACTGTGTGGATCTTAAAGGGATATTCCGGCGTAAAATTAAGTTAGGGTCAAACACACCGTAACACCGAGGTAGACACCCCTTCGAGAGATGGATGTTGCCGACCACTTGCTTCTCTAGTTATACCAACTTAAGTTACAACCACAGGATAGCAATAAACAGCAGTCTAAGGACCCATCAACAAACCTCAACCATAACGCCACTCTATAGCCTCAAATAATGCTCAGAACAGCACCGAACTTCATCAACAGTACATATAGGGTCCTAGCCATAGTACTAACAACCAAACATCTTTTCTAACTTTGCGTAATTTCTTTAGCAAAGAAACTTAACACAACTTACCCACTCTCTTCCAGCAGCTGCTTGTTTGTAGTGAGACTTGAGGCCAGTCCATTATGGACTGCTGCGGGGTGACACAGCTCGAGGAAGAACATTTATGATCATTTCTTTATGGAAATACAATCAGACCGAGACGCTAAGGCAGAAGAACAACCGCGTCTGCAGTGCAAAATGATTATCATAATGATTATTACTTCAAGGAAATGATAAAGTAATGATCATAAATGTTCTTCCTTGAGCTGCGTCACTCCACAGCAGTCCGTAATGGACTGGCCTGAAGTCTCACTATAAACAAGCGGCTGCTGGAAGAGAGTAGGGGAGTTTTGTTTAGTCTCTTTGACCCTAAATTACTTTTATGTCGGAATATCCCTTTGATATCATACTTGTTGAAAATCCCCCTTCCCTCTCTGACTCTCCTACCTGACTCCAGGCTCCCTGCATGGGAGGAGCCCCAGCGTCATTAAAGGCAGCAACCTCACCTGCTGCAAACCTTTTCTGAGAACACTGGAAACAATCGAGCTGGCTGACTGAGAAACTTACCCTGTGAGTTTGCTTTGTTTAAATTTTTATACACCTTATCTTCAATTTATTATCCTGACTGATAATTTTATGGTGAAGAAAAGATGTGTCTTAGTTTACATTTATTAGAATCATTTTAGTTACTTTGCTCTGATATTATTGATGGAAATTAAGATATTGATCCTGCATGCATTTGATTTAATTCACTTTTGTTATTCCTTTCTCACTCTCTCAAGAGAAACCAGCTGAATGCATATTGAATGAAACTCTGGATTAGAACTCCCTCCCATGTGCTCATTTGTCCTTGCAGACAAACCACTGAGTTGAGCTCAACCATAAATTAGCATAACCCTGAACAGTCTAATATCCTTCAATACTTGTCCACAAAACATTGGTAATATTTCTGTGTCTGCCAGTAGCCAAGAAATTAACCACATATTTATTGTACATTTGAAAGGTAGGCCAGTGGTCACAATGCAGGGCTCATCATGAACAATGGTCTCATGGCTTGAGGCTGTCAGGAGTTTATCAGCAGCTCCCTGTGGCTACCAGGTTTTGTCCCTGTACCATAAAGGCTCATTTACACATCTCTGCAAATCTGAAACCATCTTGATTTTCTAGCAGCAGCAAAGAGGGAGAAATAAATAAACAAGATTAAGTGTTAAGATTTTGAGAGAATGAGTTTGATCTACTTACATTAAAAGAACTTGAAAAATAATCTGCCGTCTTTCTAAATTAATACAACCATCTCAAATTTAAGAGAAAATTTTATAGTTTAAAAAAATCTGAAACTTCTCATTTACAAAAAAATTATCTTGTAATTGTGATCCAATTTTCTCACTGGTTCAGAAAAACTGAGCAATTTCTTTCCCTAAAACAATAACAAATGTTATTAAAATAAAATCCAAAATATATTTTCATTATAACGTTTCTTTTTTTTTTAGTGCCTTGTGTCCTAAGAGCAAAGCTACTGTTTGGATTAACTGCTTAAGTAGCTGCTCTCACAGCTCTCAAAGTTTTCATTGGTTCAACTTTAAAACATCGCCAAACTCATCAATGTCACTTCTCCATCACCAAATGATTTAAATCAAGAAGGGGCGGGACTTTTCACAACTTTGTCAACCACAATGGCGGGCGTCTGTAGGGAGGAGAAACTACCTGCACTTGTTCATTTGAGGGTAAAGTTTCTAGATATTAATGCTCCTACACAACTTTTCTTAACTGTTTTGACCCTGTTCTTCAGATTATTCCATCAAATCAAAGCAAAAAAGCAAATCTTAAGCAAACTGAGCTTTTCAAAACAGACATGGGAGGCTGAAGTCATAGTGGACAACTTTCCTAACTTTGAAACCGTACACTGGTGTGAAGTGCTCTGAAACAGAGGCTCTGAGACAGTCAGACTAAAATAATCCTGTTAGTGTACACAGGCCTTTGTTGTCTTTTCAGCTGTTTAGTTATCTAGTTACAGAACCCTCTGAGGAGTTTTTTGTGGTTGTGAAACATCAAGAAATACTGATGTCTCTATATGACGTAGCAAAGCATCAATAATACAAATGAAAAGTTCAATATTTCAGTTCATGAAATTGCAGGGAGATGGTTGTGTCAGACAGGACAACTGTTGCATGCTCAAGAAACAGCCTTCTTTTTCACATTTCCTGCAGATTACACCCTCAGTACGCGATAGATCTCACTGTTAAAAGAAAGCAGAAAGAGAAAATACTAACTTGTTGGCGTGTTCAACACAAGATCAATAAGACAACACAATGTGCTGAAACCAACATAAGAGTCTCAGTAGATTTAAGACGATGCTTAGATGAGTTTAATTGTCTTTTCTGCATTCTACTGTACATTATGATGGTGGCCTTTGGAAACTGAGCTTGATGATACTGTTTTGTCTAAAGGCCTGAAGAACAACCTGATCATGCAGACCCTTGTATGGATCATGTTAACCACAATAGATAGACTGTGTGCGGGCGGAGTGGGGACAAACATAGCTGAGCAAAGAGCCGAGCTCACATTCATGGACAATTACGTACAGCTACGTGGGTCAAATGCTAAATTACCATGAACTAAACTAAATTGTATTGTAGCACTCCATTAAAAAAGGGATAATAATCAAAAGAAAGACACAGATTTTTCAAAAGGACGTCTGTGCGACGATGTGAGGCTGAAAGGCTTATGTTCATCTGCTATCAGTCTTGGATATTAGCGCTGCAAGGCCATGTGTCAGATCCCTCCTTAGAGGACGATAAGGAAACGACTAAGCTGCCTCATATACTTTATTCTCTCCCCCTCTCTCTCTCTCTCCCCCTCACTCCCGGCTGTGGACTGTGTCGGGCTGGCTGGCTGGCACCACAGAGACCCCGGTGGCACCATGCGGGAACCAACGTCAACCAATGATGAAAGACGATGGCCGATTGTTTCCTGTTATTGAAACACTACTCATGGGTGGGGGTGGAGGGGAGGGTAGGGCCTGTGCTGAAATAAAAAAAGGAAAGCCATTGAAGGAGAGTGCTACTGCGGGAGTGTCTGTTGGCCAGCCTCATGTGATGGAATACCTACAATGAATGCCAAGTGTGACAAATGCCTCTGCAGCTTAATCCAAGCGGTGTCAGCTGCTCGAGGATTGCAATCATTTAAGTAACACGGAGTACAAGTCGAGTAAAACTGTCTGTACTTAGTGTAGTATCCTGTGTGTATTTCTTTGTTTACGCTGCCTGAAGGAATGAGCTCCAGTGATGTTTAGAGTCGATGAGCAGAATATCAAGACGTTCGGAGCAAACAAGGCTGCATTTCTGTAGGATTGGAGTTAATGCTCTGTGAGATTTTTACACTCACACGTGTCAATTAGTCCAATTAGTCATTAAGCACCTGTGATCTGCAGTAATGATGAGAACTGATTCGGCCTCTAGAGTTACTGCAAATCAAGCCGATACACTTATTAAACCACTAAGCCGTATTTATTATTTTACAGTAGCTCGTGTCTGCACATTAATAAAGTTAGGACTCATACATAAGCTGGAATCAATATTGTTTCACTGATAGTAGCTGAAGAAGTTACACAGATCAGTTTCAAATCTTAGATGCTGCTCTAGTTGTATTGCACACTATCTAAAATAAAAGACAACTGGATACATGACTACATTGCCATTTTCACAGGCTTATTCTGCTCCCCCGTTGCTCCAAATACAACATATCAACAAGACACAGTGTGATGGATTGAGTTTGTGTTTGTGAAAATCTTGCTCGCAGTAGAACTTCCACAATTACTCTGCAAGGATTTGTAGTATTGTTATCCTCAATCTATGTATGTGCTTTTTCTTTCAGCTGCTCCTCCAATCCAATAGACTTTGTGTGGAGTGTTGATTTGATGTAATGATGACTCCTGTGAGTCTGGTCTGTACAGAAAGGATGTTGTGTCTACTCTCTGCTCCAGTCTATTTTCCCTGAGAAAGTACCAGTGGTGCCGAAGCCACAGACAAATGCTGTTCCTCCAAGGAACAAGCTGTTTGTTTTTCCTCACTTTTAGGATTTTGTCAGAAAACATGAAGGACTTTTTATATCATTAAGTAGTCAATGATAAAAGCCATATTTAAGTTTGCCAATCGTTCATGGTGATAGTTGCTAAAAGCCCCTTCAAGGTGTTGATTGAACATGCAGTGCAGTTTTCAAACTATACTCACAAAAACTCCAAATGAGGCCAAATAAATTACATAAATGTCTTTCATAATAATTTGTAGCTCTCGCTTTATTTGGCCCCGACACCCACAGAACACCCACAGAGGTGTTTTCACTTATTATGTTTTATTACCCCTCCTCTCAGACTGTGTGGGCACACAGACGGTGCTTGATAGACCTATTTTGAGGAAAACATTTCGGCAAGTCATCGTTGTAAAGGCACAGGTGTAAATAACAGAAGTAATGATGGCTGGATTTCTACTGAGTTGTTTCAGGACCTGCTATTTTTCACAGCAGACATCTCAGCCTGTCATAGCAGGGAGAGAACAGGTGTAATTGATAATATAAACTGCACTCCATTTAGCTTATCAAGCTCCAGGTTTTTGATATTGTGCATGCTGGTTCACTGGCCTTGCTTACTGGGGAATACAGCCATCGTAAATTAAATTTGTGTCATCTGAGCTTTTTCCTGCTGTGACAATCCCAAATGTCTGCTGTAAAAGGGTTTTTCATGCATGCTGGCTCACAGTTTCCCTGCACCAACCTCTTTTCGTGTGTTTTTTAAAATAATAACTTGCCTTAAAATAACCAAAACGGAATAGATTGAAATCAGGCAGAAAAGGTAACAGAATGCAAAATTTCCCTTTACACTGCTGACAAGACAATGAATTTGATGTACATGAAGCCTGTAACTTAACTTAAAGAGACTGAGCTAACAAGGGCATTAGATATGATCTTCAAAATAAGCAAAATCAACATAATCACATGTTTTCCCTCAGTAAAAGACCCAACTTCTGCTTCTAATATTTTACAGGCAAGACTTGTGCTATGATTTGATTATCAATGCACTGAGATATTGATTATGTGTTGGCCTATTTGTCAATCAATAAATGTCAGGCTGTCAGGAAACACTTTGGCATTCTCACATGTAAGTATCATTTAACTGAAGCATTACAAATATCACTTCTTGATATCAATAATTATTCCACAGCTTACTTGGACACCTGAATGCTGTAAAGCTCTATAACCACTGGCATAACAACACTCTTACATACCTGCGAAAAGGTCTTAAGCAGCGGCCTCCACTCCAATCTGTCTCCTTTTGAATCATGCTGTTTTAATCCACTTCTTTTAAATAATCTCTTCTCTTCATTAGATGCTTTTCCAACATTTCCCCTTGCACTTTATCGCGTTAACTGCTAAAAGTTTGTTTGTTTGTTTGTTTCAAATCAACTCCTCCATGGACTTCCTTGGTGTTTTTCCCGCTCGATTTCTGATATCGTATGGACGATTCCACTCGAAGAGGAGGAGGGGTCGACAGTGGTAAGCTTTAATGAACTCGCTTTCAATCAAATTTGGAATTAACCCCGAATAAAATGGACTGTTCCTACACCTGGCGAACAGTGACAAGTGAACTAAAATGTCGGACTGAGTGTGATTCGTGCAAATTTAAGTCGGTTTAAAACTTTTATATGTGGCCATATCACGACGACAATGGAGCACAGAAGGAAGGTACGGTAATATATGATAATATTAAAGTTTATTTCGAAATGAAGGGAAATTTCACATTGAACTCAATGTATCAATAGGGGCTTTTGCTTGAACAGAAAACAAAATTAGAAAAATTTAGACCTAAGTTTAAGGGTAATGTCAACCGGTGTTATTCCTACAGCACAGTTTTTGCCTCTTTTGGCTCAATAAATAAAAAAAAACTTTAATAGAAAACATGAACAATAAAAATCCAATTCTGAGTAAGGGGATATGACATTGCAAAAAAAAAAAAAGAAAGAAAAAACTGATATTAATTTGAATTCATTGATTTGTATTTATAGTACCGAGACAATGCTTTGACAGGCAGCAGGAAAAAAGAAAAAAAGGCCGGTGGTGGGAGGGGTACAAAGTAAATCCGCACCGCCCAGGCAGCACAAAAAAGTTTGGAAAGTCCTGACACTGTTACACCGCTGAATGCAGCCGAACCCTCCACTCTCTGGACTATAGTTTACAGCCTGTGTTATTCAAAACGACACCTTATCCAAAAAGTAAGTGTTTTACCCTTTATTTTCGCTTTCATATTGCCTCAGTGACGTTTAGTGTACTTCATTTCCCAGGGAGCATGGCGGTAGTCGGTTTATTAGTGTTTTCTTCGTACTTTAACGGTCTACTTTATTACTAACGATAGCCGAACAGCGGTGTAAACACTCATGTAGATTAGACATTACAGCCAAATTGAAGATAAGTGGAAATGATTTAAACTGTTGAATACTTACTTTGCCTATCTACTTTGCCTCTTAATATTAAAATGCTACTTTCACCAATTAATCGAGTCTTGCTAACTGAAGTGCTAAAAAATTTACATTATCTTTCATTGAAGAGGTTTTTGTTTTCCCTTCAAAGTGCATAAACAGTTTACAGAGGCTCTTCCTCTCCCTCTATATGAATCATAAAACAGAAGCAGCCTCTGTCTTATCTGATCCCTGCATTGTGATATTATTTAAAGAAAGCCATGCTGTAGTGCTTCCTGACAGAGTCGGCCAGAAGTTAGTGACCAGCAGATAACCCTTGGATGCTGACCCTCATTGTGCACCAGGAAGAGGGACAGAATTATTGTGGCACTGTCTGTGGAGGAAAATCCTGTCATCCCAGGGCAGGAATTTGAGACATTTGATCAACAAGGCTGCGTTGAATGGGTTGTGTAAATGACCGGTGGCCTTTTTTGTTCGCAATTGTTTTTGGCTTGGAACTTGCATTTTATCGACTACAGACACAGCACCTTAAAAAGTCATGCAAAGAATACCAATCAACACCATATCTATTGTTATTTAGCATTAGATTATATGTTTGAGCTATTAACTTGCATGCAGTATATGTTTTGACATCATCCCTTCAGAATAAGAGCCTCTGCGTCTTTCCACTTCCTTATCAACCATCAGGTCTTCTCATAACTTACCGCCCCCTTCTTTCTCTGACCTTTGACATGTAGAGATATAAATTGTGAGCTTTTTGGCTTCCACAGTCACTGCTGCTCCGCCATCAGACAAGGACCATTCAAGCGCCACTTGATTATCTTCACGTCCCTCAAAGACCCAGACTCAGCCTCTACCATCCCAAAACTTCAATCCCAAATATTAGAGCAGAGATGAAGGGTCACATGACACGGTTTGTCGTGCTTCTGTGCATCACTGCTGCAGCCAGGGGTAAGTCTAGCAGCTGATATTTTGCATCTTTTCTTTAAATTCATTATTGTTATTTTTTATTTAAACTCTGGACTCCAAACCTAGACCTTCTGGGGCATTCTTCTGTCACTGCAAGATTAAAGGCAGATATGAATCTCATCTTGTACTCAGCTCTGACGTAATTTCATTATCAAGACATGACAGAGTGTTATTCCCTCCAGAGTTTTGTTCCTGCTCACTAAATCAGGATTTTCCGCCTGGTCATTGGAGTAAGATTGTGTGATATTGTGATTTGGTAGCTCATACATAGAGCAACTTGTGTATTAAAGAGCCTTAAACATAATAATCCACTATAATGAAAGTATTTTACCACTATGTAAACAGAAGAAGCATTTGTTGGAGTAGTTGATTAAGATTAAAGAAGTTTTTTGTGGGGTCCTAACACAGAAATGAAGAAAACAATTCAGGTATTCTTGGATTTGAAGTGATCCTCCCCTCTTTGCCCCCTGCCCCCCTTTAAGTTTGGCTGTGTGTGTCTGTCCATAACAAATTCAAACCTGTAATCCACACAAGGTGGTAAAGAGATGTGAAACCCTCCCTGCACCCTCAGGCTATAATCCAGACTCCCACTCTGCTCTTCTGCTCTAGGGTGTTAGGGGCTAACTTCCCTCCAGCTATCTTTCATATGGGGCGGCTGCATGCTTTTTCGATTAAAACAACAGTTCTTTGAGGTTACTTTCTGGGTAGTTAGCTGAGAAAAACTTTATAGACGATGATCAAAAACAAGACTGAGAGAAAAACTTTGACATTGCAATCCAAAAAATATTCTTTATTGGAAGTACAATAAACTTGTGAGACTTCACAGCAGGTATGTATTGACAAATCAAAGATGTTGGACTTAAAATCAAAGTTCAGTTGATGAATTTACTTGTTTGGTACTCGTTTTATGTTAATCAAAAGGGTTGTCATTCTTGTTAGTATCACTGAGGACTTGTCGTTGGATATATGTTTGAAATCTGTCAATGTAGGTGCCAAGCGTAATGTGCAAAAAGCAACCTAATAGTTCAAAGTGTTTTCTACTTGCTCAAAATAAAATATTCCAAATCCACTGGTCTTATTTGGAAACAGTGGCATCAAGAGTTCTGTTACCTTTCCCTACAAAATTTCACCTTGAAAATGGACTTCTCAACCCAGTGAGTGAGGTGGTTATACTTTATTGACTGTATATGTCAACTGCTGCTACAACCAGAAAGTGTTAAACTGTTAAAATTATATATTAAAGCAGACCATATGTAAAGCACAGTTTCCAGCAGGCCCTTAATGTCAAACAAGAACTCAAAATGCACTCGCTGTTATGTATTACCCTAAAAACAAGCTGTGCGCAAAATAAGAGCACACATTACTTCTATATTGCTGCACTTCAGGGTGAAAGAAGCACTTTAAAGTGCTGGATAACCTTTTCCTCACTTTGTGTTTAAACATATTCATCAGAAAAATAAAGTCTCTTTTCAAATACAACAAAACTCACAGGCAAACAAAACTTGTGCCAGAATAACAAGCTTGTTCTCTTCTCCTGGCCTTTGCGCTGACCCTCTGTATGACAAATCACAATATTGCCACAAGTGTTAAACAGCCTCTCAGCAGGGTGCGGGTGGCAGGGATACAGAGGTGGGCTTTTTGGCCAAATGGCAGACGTTTGCAGAGTTGACCTTGTGCGGCTTCCACTGCAGGGGATCATTCTCTCTGTCTGCTGCTGGAGTCTGTGAGGAGCTGTTTAGCTCAGCCCTTAATTGCCTCTGTGATACATCGTCTTGAATTCACTATCTGTTTTCCGTCGTAGACAGATTTTTCTAAGGATTTCTCTTCCTCTAGCTGCAGTGGCTTTAGTAGAAAAAGCTTTAGGAGGAGCTGTGGCTCTGTTCTTAGCTTGTTCTCTGACCCTATTTACCGAATGCTGAAGCATTAATCATAACATTGGTGTGACATGTAGGACTTCCCCCATCGAGGGTATTGTTTATTAATCATTATGTTGTCCAGTATTGTCTTATTAATCTGTCATTTTCTCTGACATTGTCTCCAGGGCTTAGTCCTGCTTTGTTGTCCAACGAATGAAGCACAAAAAATAAGGTATGACAGGCTGAGTCAAACAGAGCCGTTGACTCAAATTTGCAAAAGCCCAGACTAGATACAGTGCTGTGAAACGAATCAACACCCATACATTTACATTGTGATTTGAGCTCTGTTTGTTCAACGGCATCGTTGCCAGCTGCAAGTCTCGGTGGGAGTAGCCACAGTGTCAAAGTCCCTGAAAAGAAGAAGTAAACACAGAAAAAGTAAATCAAAAACAGCCTGCGGCCTGCAACAAATCCCACAACACTCTCAGTCAGTTGCAGGCGACAATATATAGAGTTTTACTTTGGCTCGGTTTTTCTGCTGCTTCACTGAAACGTATTTCATGTTTAACCCTCTGAAAGCTCCTCCATATCAGACTTATTAAGTCCTTCTGTGATATCTGAAGCAAGGAGAAACATTCTAGTAAAGGAACGTAATATCCTTTTAAGACCACATCTACTTTACAGATAGTCTTCTATATTATACTTGATTCATACACAACTTTCAGTTAAGTCGCAGGATTATGCCTCAGTATTAGTGTGAGACTCAAGCGCTTACTTACCCACTTCATTTCCTGCAAGTGAACACATAATTCTTCCTTCAAGCATCCCCTCGGGGGTTCTGCTATCATGTATTTACACACTTTAAAAGATGCAGTAAATAAACGGCTTGATTTAAGGATTGATTTGTGTTGTGCAGTACAACTTTCACATTACTGTCGGGGGCTGTATTTTGCGTGATTTCTAGATGTCCTCAAAAACTCCCGACTTTCTCACTGCTAACAAAAAGAGGATGCAAAACAATCTGAACAATGCTGCAAAAGCGAGATGCTGTTTTGATCAAAGCTTAGGAATAAGTTTCAAAAAGTGCTTCTGTAGATTAGAACACAACTTTTGAGGTTTCAACCCCAACACCTACCATTACATAATCGTAATTTTGCGCCTAAACATGACTAACAACAATCTATTTTGTCTTTTAAATCCAATGCAGCAGTACTAGGTTATCTTTTTTCTAAACCAATCACTGCCTATGTCTTTTAAACCTGAAAAACATCATCCTAAGTTTATATTAAAGTTCCTTATATACAGGGATCAGCCCAGCCTCTCTTTTGTTTACAGCTCATCCATAATCTCTGGACAGACTTCTGTCAGGCTCCAGTAGAACAGACAGCATCACACCAGTCTTAGTTTCATCACACTGCCTCTCTGTGAGGTTAATTGTCTTTAAAATTTTCTGCCGCTTGTTTTGAAGGCCTTACACGGTCCAGACGACGAGTTTATCTCTAAGTGCCTGCGGTGCCTCGATTTGTCTAAATCCCCTCAGTCATTTAACGGGGGGTATTTGTTTGTGCCAAGATCATACAGCCGCAGTTGTCTGCGCAGCGGTGGAATTCATTCTCTGTCTGTGTTTGGTCAGCTTAGGCCTTCCTTTGAAATGTTTGTTGTGTTGGACATCACTCTGTTGTTTATCATGTTTATTTTCGTCTGTTTTTGCTCCTGGGTGGTTCAAACACTTTCTGCAACTTTGTCGTGCGGAGGGATGTGATGTATGGATTTAGTCTTTAGGGATTTATCACAACACATAGTGCAGACAGGAGTGAGAATGTGCATCTGGATAATTACATGTTGTAACCCTTGCTATTTGGCATCAGAATAGGGCTGGGCAATAAACCGAACATTTACCAATACCGAAATTTGTCATTTTGCCCATATCGGTATATTCGGTGTCAAAAAAACAAATAAATAAAAGTTGGTTTTGGATGTGTGTAGGTAGGCGATGGTCTCATGTCCCTTTAAGACGCTGTCCTACATCAGAGACGTGACTCCACCTCATCCAGTCTGTAACAAAGAGGGAAAGACAGGTGAGGAGATGGAGGACGGTTCAAAAGTTGTAGCGGCTGAAGTAGATAAAGTTAGTGTGGGAGGGTGTGAGCAGCTTGTGGAGTAGTTATCGTCCATTTATCGTTATTGAGGTGAACTGCTCAATTTTTCGTGATATTGACTTGAGGCCATTTCGCCCAGCCCTACATCAGAGTTACTAATTATCTGCATCTTCATCGTTGTAGACCTGGAATGTCAGTCACATGTTGTGTCCAAGTTATAGCACAGCCACTGACCACATACACACAAACATAGATGATAGATGGCACTGTGTAGCCTGGTACAGTTGGGCTTTTATTATATAGATAATAGAGATCAAGTTGGATTTAGGCTGTGGCATAAAACTAACTTAGATGATGTGCATCCAGCGCAGCCATGTGGACTTTAATCTGCAAAGAGGACTTTGCAAAGTTACCATTAGACTCTGTGGTCCTGTGTGAACTGAACTGAGCAAATTTTTGACTGTTTGCTTAGTTTTTTCTTACCTTTAGATCGGTAGGTAAACTCAAACCATGTAAACTCAAACCAATTCATGTTCAAACGACCAGGATATTAAGAAGATGAAGCATCTAATGACCAGACAACAGAGAAAATACATTTGAACCTATCTCTTGAGGAGCTGCATAATTGATGTATTATGACTCTGTAAAGGCAAATAAGAAGTTAGAAATTGGAGATGCAGAGGGCAAGATTTCCCATCTCCAAAACTGCTCCTAAAATCAGATCTTCTTGACTATAACTCCTCTGGTTTCTAACACAGACATCTGGTGTAATTTCTCTGAGCGTAACCCTCATGACATCACCAGAGTTGTTTCTCTCTAACTCCCCCAGACTCACGCTGAAGAGTTATGCAACACTTTTCTCAGTATCGCCCCTTGAACAGTCAATTTAACTGTAATTCATCAAGCTGACTTCAAAATCTTCAGATTGTCGCTGCTGTTTACTTCTTGCCTGTAATGTTGAGCTAATGATGAGCTTCCACTAGATACAAATCGATGAATAAATAGCTGTTTTGCACCTCCGTAGAGGGAGATTTTCAATTTCTTTAATTCCAGACCACTTTATAACAGCAAGCACAACAAGCGCTGCCACTTAAGCTGCTTGTAGCAGTCGCTCATTTCAACAATTATCCATGCGTCTGACTGAAGTCTTTGTATTTAGTGATTTTATCCGCTGTGTGCCCGGCATTTCCTGGCGGGGAAGTAGTGTTGAATATGCCCCCCGCTGCAGCAACTTTCCCAGTGGGAGCCGGGTATCATGATGTCAACCGCCAGACCTCCTGCTGCATTTTCTTCCTACCCCAGAGTCTCCCTCCACGGGCTAAAGGAAAAGCACAAAAGTGATTAGCGCAGCCACTGAAGGGGAGGGGGGGGGCTGTCTGTCTGAAGAGGAATCTTAAAGAGGGAAAGGGAGCGAGACAGACCGACAGACTAGCACAGATAACAGAATTCATAAGGACTGATTCATGGAGACAGTGAGGGAGTGGGGGGTCAAATGCGTGTGACTGTCAGAGAGCAGATAAGTAGTTAAGAGGGGAGATGGGGGGAAAAAGGGGATTCAAAAAAAGCAGAGGGGAAGATAAAGGACAAGTTTGGTAAAAGTAAGATGATGTGGAGATGCATTTGGATAAAAAGTTAGAAAAAGGAAGAGAAAGGGAAAAAGAAAACAAAATGAATTTAACAGCTGACAGGAGACATTGAAAAAGAATTAATGAATCAGAAAGAGACGACGAAGATTTTTTTCTCAAGAAAAGCTCGAGTAGATTGGGTTGACGGGAAAAAAAACAAGTCATGTTAAAAATGGCGTTGAGAGTCAAAACAGTCCACTTCCCCTGTTTGACTGCAGTGAGCCAGCTCAGCCTGCAGTCAGACTGGGTGGCAGGGAGACGCGACCACTTGTCGCTGCCTCAGACCGATTTCAATCTCCTCCAGTGTTATGCCCCTCCCAAATAACAATCCATTTCTGACTGCGCTGCTTTTCCTCTGTTTGAATACAGAACTCAGTGTGAGAGAGGCTCCCCTCCTCTGGTAGTTCCCACATTTTTTTCACCGGCTTACACTTCACTGTTATTTTGGATGATGGGCAATAAAGAAAAATGATATAATACTTTTTAATCTTAAGTAGTAGCGTTTATGTTAAATTATGCTGAGTGGGCATATGTTTCACCCTTTCCCTTTTTTTATTTGCACATAAATCAGAAAAAACTCCAACTTCTTATTCTGACAAGTAAAAAATAAGAACAAAATAAGGAGAAAAATTGCTTTCTGCTCTCTGGTTTCACTTCAACCCTTATTTTTATTACTCAGACAAACTCTGCAGGACTCTGCAGCAAACTCAGCAACTTTCCAGTGTTATCTCCCCATTTTTCTTTCACTTTCTATAACAGGAAACATATTTTAGTCTCCCCTCGCTGCGAGGGAGCCTTGTGTTAAATTGTGTTAAACTCTGTCCTCAAGCAGACCTAAAAGCCAAAAAGTTTTCACCTTTTTTGTGTGAAAGTATTGAATAATGACCTTTTGATACTTATTTAATGCCAGGTCTTTACCTTTTATGTCACGTAAATGTTTTTAAACTACAGTATAGCATTACTGCAGAGGCCAAGCTTGGCTCTAAAGTTCACATATAGAAACTGCACAAGCCTGAGAAGCAGGGCAGTCCATAATGTTCATCATTATAGATCATTATAGGCTCCATATTATGACTCTTCTCTGTATCTTGTCTGACCTTCTCTTGACCATCATTACTGTGGGACAGCAAGGTCCGGCACCCTGAGGCTCCATGCTCCTCACTCTGCAGCAGCTTGACTTCTGGATGGCTCATTAGTAGCAGGCAAGATAAACGCCTCATCAGCATGGCGACCACTTGTGCTCATTTTAACATGCCTGCTGTCTGCACAGATAAGGCATGGCATTATGTGCGCTTATCTCATGGTCTGTCTGACCATGGTTATGCCCTGCATGGGATTGCACAAATGCAGGAAACATACCTGTGTATTAGGACTGAAGTTGGAAGATTCCAGACTGACTCGCCCAAGCCGAAGTCAAAAGCGAATGGTTAGAGGAACTTTTGGGAGGGTTTCTAATCTCAGGCGAAGCTGGTATCTGTCTTTGAGCTGACTTTTATTGATGAGGGTAAAGTTCCTCAGGGCAGAAACTGATGTTTAATCTGTCACTTGCATATCCAACAATTGTTCTCTGATGATTTTTTCCTGAAATGCTTCACGTCACATTTTTTCAAGACTGAAGATTCATAGCTTTGAACTTTGCCCTCCACCAGAGGAAGTTCCAAGAAACCCAAAAATAGCACTCAAAGAGAAAGTTCATTTTTCTTCCTCATAGATGTACCCTGATGTCTGAACTGGTCAGCGCTTTACAGTTTCCAGTGTGCAACAGAGTGTCGAATAATGGCAGAGCCTCTTGATTCAAGCACTGGGTGGGTAGTTTTCCTGTTGATTCAGGTGCTACACTGGTTAATCTGTATTTAGAAAGCTGAACTCGCTCTCTGATGTGTGGCTGTGTGTGTGTTTGTGTGTGTATCTTTGATGTGATGAGACCATCCTCTCTGAATTTGAACACTGGGTTTTTCATTTGCTTATATTTCTGTGATATGTCAGAAAGCAGAATGCTCAACTCAAAGTAAAAGCCTTGAGACATGTGACAGATTATTTTAATCTGCTCACAAACTGTAACTACAACAAATCCAACAGTCAAACTGGAGATACTTAATAATCTCTTAGCACACGCTGGAGGGAATGAAGTTACACTTGTCAAACGACTCTCCCTGGCCCAGACACTTCCATTAGTTAAATTGTGAAAAGGAAATCATAAACTTGAAGCTCGCAGATCTCTCTTGGATATGATTCAAGACCTTTATATTCATATTAAGTCTATTTTCTTGTCACCAAATAAAATCAAATATAATATTTTGCGACTGCCAGACACTTTTAAAAGCATCAGTGAGCGGGATTCGTTTTTTCTCTTGTCTCTTGGAAGTCTTGAAAGAGCCGTCAATCGATAGCGGAAACCTCTTTCTTCTGGGTTGCAGAGTTGCAATCATAATTGTAAATATAAATGGTTCATTGATTGTCCTCTCGACTTCATTCACTTCAGAAAAATAATAAATAAAAAATATATAACACAGCCTTAGTTGGTATGCCGCCCTCATATAGGAAACCATTAATATTTGCTGGCAAAAATCAGTCAAGAAAAACGAGCTAATCTCTGTTGGTTCTACACCAAGCATATGTTGTGCAAAGCTACATTAATCTTGAATGATTGGGAGCAACCGGCGTGCGATGAATCTCTAATGCTTCAATCTGCTTTGGTTGCTCACAGTTAGTATAGGAGCTTCTAAATTAGTCTGTCCATCCAGCAATTAACTCTTAGATGATTAATTGTGTTTTTCTAACGCTTTTTTTTTTTGTTGTGTGTATTTTTGGAAAAATACTAAGCATGACTGAATGAGAAGGTGGCTCTACATTTTAAAGTTCCTGTGAGGAGTTTTTAGTTGGTTATTAAACAGACTGAAATTAATACCCCTGGTGCTTTATGAGCCTGAAAATCAAACAAGAGCATCAGCATAGATACCGATCATTTCCATACTGTTATTTTAATGTTTAAAACTCCTGCCGCAGGGTAGGTATTGGACAAACTTATTAACAATACAGTGCAGATACAGCTTTAATTTCTTTACTCAAAGATTCTTGGTGAGTGCTACATTAAAAGAAACCAAAGAGCTAAGAGGTGATGGTCCACAGGTGGTGGACACATACAAAAAGTTCCTCAGAGAAACTTTAGTGTTAGATTTTAGGGTGTCAAATGAAAATTGTGATAGTACAGAGAAAAACACACTTGATTGAGTCGAATCAACCTTCATCAAATACTAGAGTATTGTCAGAAGTGAGCCGCCAGCAGGGCTGAATGAGCAAAAAACTGAGGAAGTGAACCATAGACCTTCCATACGCCACCGTCGGACTTGTTGTTCCGCCGGCTTCCGACAATGACGAGACGACGGACGAATGGCTCCCAGAGGTGTAAACAGAGCTAGTGTGAAGACAGGCTGTCTCCAAAACCTGCTATCACATCCTCAGTTCCTCTCCAGCAGACAGTGGACACACGCGAAAAAGTCTTGAGCCATTAAACTGACAAGACTAATCAGCAATCTTTCTTTTTTTTTTTTCTCTTTTGTAGAGATTTTTTTTTTTTTTTTTTTTTGGATTTCAGGAGAAGGAGGTGAGATGGTCAGGAAGCGTGTGTTGCATGGAGTGTGTAGTAATGCAGGGGTGAGAGGCCAGGGGACAGTGCAGGCCCCTGCAGAGCACTGATAAGGGCTTGTTTACCTTCCTGTGGATGGTCAGGCCTCAATCTGCAGCTGCGGAAACGCCAGGACAATAGGTGTGTGTGTATATGAGTGTGTGTGTGGAGTAAAGAGAGAGAGAGACTTGAAGCTCTTCCTCTCCCTTTCCAACAAACTCTGATAGGACGTCTGACCCCTCCCTCCCCATGCCTCTGCCTCCCCCATCATGACTCCGCCGTCCGACCCTGGACACAAACAGTTTATTCTCCCCTAAGGGAACCAGGGAGACAGCTTGGCTTGACGGCGTCTGCTGCCAGGGCTTCCCCTCCTGGTTTTTCTCCCTCTCTGTCTTTTTGAATGCAGCTCTGTGTCCTACGTGTCTTCCTTTTGCATTTAAACTCAAGGCAAGTAGCTCAAGCTCCTTCTTCAAAATGACTCACAATGAGGGAAGGCGTGAAGTCAGGGTGTGAAATCAAGTTTGGCTTTTTGCTTGCCCGAGGTGAGTGAAAAGGCAGCTAGTTTTTGGACCACAAGTGCTCAATGCCTTGAATCTAAATCTATTTGGCTAAGAATTTCATCAAAAAATTTCAAATTCAAGAGCTCTCCACTGCCTGTCAGTTCTCAGCAATGTCAGAACATCAAGGAAACTCAAAGCTGAGGCAACAGTGGTACAAACACAGGCAGAGAGTTCTTGAGATCTTTAATTCAATAGCAGTTCACCCTAACAAACAGCTCTGGCAGTAGTATGGTTAAAAAGAACTTCAGTGCTATAAATGCACCATTTGCACTTAATTTGCGCCAATTATTTTGTCCTGAAAACCGATGTTAACATAGACTTCATTCTTGGTAAATGACGATCTCAGAACAAACTTTAAAACAATCATTTTAATTTCAGTGAAGTCTCAGAAGTTACAGAAGAACTTAAACAGCGCAAAAGTGTCTGTTAACCTGCAATTATGTGACTTTAAAGTGAGGCTGTTGAATGAGCAACCAAGCCGTCAGCAAGCCGACCACCAAGTATGGTAGGCTACTGTCACAACCAGTATCACCTTAATCCAACTCATGTTCAAACAGTAACTACGGCAACTGCACTGGTAACTAAATTAAATGTAGCGTCAAACCAAGATGGCTACCGTGAAACAAGGAAACACACTGAGTATACGGTCTAAGCCAACACTGAGAGTGGCAGACATAAATACCCTACAGGTGCTGTTACCCAGTATCTGGATGAGCAGATTGTGCTTTTTTCCAGTGGAGTAACCGGCAATCAAGTCAGTGCTTCAGAAATTTGCTTCAGAAAGTTACCGAAAGATTTATGGTTTATTTCCAATCTACAAAGGCTTTATACAATCTTGCTCAAGTTGTTTGTGATCCATCTTACCATGTAAGGTTGAAAACTGAAAATGCATAAAAGTACTCTCAGTCAATCATGGCGAACAGTCTCAGCGGAAATCCTAAATAGAGTTAGAAAATATGCCTTAATACTTAGATTTCTAGTAAGCCTGATTAGAAATTCTATTTTTACCGTTGATCAATTCTTGTTTGGCAGAATTCATGCTTCCTGCTTATTTTGACTTCAGTGGAAACAGCAGAGCTGCCATTTTTTTCTTCATTAAGCTGAATCGCTCTTAGTTTCTGCGGACTGAAATGTTCAGAAATGTTCAAAAAAAGAAGTGATGATCTGTTCACTTAGATATACAGTAACTAATAAAAGGTTTCTGCTTGTTGTACTTCTGTTTTCTGTGAAGTAACAGACAGTCAGGAGCCGCGGTAGGTCATGTCCTGGACAAATAACGAAACAGAAACTTTGAATCATTGGTATTAACTGTAACACACTGTCCATATAAGCTCACCTTGCTAGGCTTGGCCTACAAGTTGACTCAACTTGATCAGGCAAACCCCTGCTACCAACTTACCTATATATTGTTGTATTTATGCTTACACCACAACTTTAACTACTAAATCGTAGTAGAGCAGCAAAAGTTGTAACCAATGTTGCCCGAAAAAAAACACAATACATTCAGGTGCAAAACAAAATCTTGAGCCAAGTTTCCAGATATCTGAGGTGTTAGAAGACTGATATTAACTAAAGATAGTGATTGTCAATCTGATCCCAAAATGGTCCTAGTAGTTGGACTGACTTCTCGGTATTGTAAAGATGTATGCTTTTCAATATGCAAAGGGATCTACTGTCAAGGCAGTAAGGGAAGAAAGCAGATACACCCTTGAAAAGTGAGGACACCAGATTAAAAGAAGAGTTCTCCTTGTTAGCTGGTAGACTCTTAGTTGCAGCAGAAAGCACAGAATTGCTGAGGGCGATTTAAAGTGCATCATACTGTAAGTTTTTCATCACCTCCAGAAATTGGCCCAGTCTACAAAACTGGGTTTTCTCCAAAGGCTGCCTCACTAGCAGTAAATTGGCTGTTATCGATCCTGGCTGCACACTTGTGAAGCTTAATTTCATGAGCGTTCAATCAGTTTCCCATAACATCTTTTAATATATTTCTAGTTAAATAAAAGCAGCCATTAAGCTTGGCAATTTTGCAATATTATGTTGTTAAAATGGTAATTAGCAGCAGTCTGTTCAGGCATAGAAACTCTTGATATCCATTTAATTTGACGTGAGTGAAGTTTGCATTGGACCAAACTTTGAGATTGATTCTGATTATAAGCACTTTTCATAGATTAAGCTCATTTTTATTGCTTGGTAATGTTCTGCAGTGTTTTTCATTCACATCTCTCGGTCATACCTAAAATCTAAATGGAGATCACCAGTATCCATAAACATGTCCTCTCAGGGAATGGGAAATGGAGGGGACTGATATAAGTAGATAAAAAGGACAGGGAATGGAATGGCTCTTCTATACCTCATTTACCAGCAAACAGCTTAGCGGAGCCATTGGCATTTCCGGGGTCAAGAGGGCAAAATGAATGTTCTTCATATCCTATGGTGACTCATAAAACTGAAACCAGTGGCAAAGGCGTGCACACACACACACACACAACCACACAGGCTTGCCGAGCCTTACACTGTCTGTGTGATTTATACCAGAACCTCTCGGGCGACAGTCATGGGCCGTTGACTCTGTCACCACAGAACAAGAGAGAAATAACTTTATGGATGTGGATATTGAGCAACAGACATTAACACAGAGGGCCAGAATAACAGGAAACCAGCCTTGACCTCTGGGGTGAGGGGGAGCCAGAGATGGAGAAGGAGTGTGGGGGGCTCTCCATCTTGTTTTGGGAGAAAAGCTGCAGTCCAAAACTGAGCTGACTAAAAAAAAAAAAGAAAAGGAGGTGCCATGATGTTGTAACACTTGTAACATAGCTCCCCTAATTAGAGCCAAATGTCGTCTTACTTACTCCCACAGAAAACAAAATTCTAAAGCAGAGTGGGATCTCTTTGTGTGGATTAAAGTAACATGTAATCAGCTTTTCTTTTTATTAATACTGTTGGCCAGAGATGTGATGAATAAATAAATAAATGTATTGAAGTAATCAATAAGAGTCCACTTCATTGTGGGCACAACAAAGGCAGGAGAGAGAGCGAGAGAGAGAGCTGGTTGTGTAACATGTTCTAGCACATTCTCTCTTTTTTTTCCATGGCATTCACCGTTTTCTATCCCATTTTATCTTTATCTCTGTCCATCCTCTGCCACTGCAAGCACTGACATTGCCTCGACCAAGGTTTTTGATTAGTGCCGCTTCTAAATAAAGCACATCCTGTTGACCTTCCAAACTTTGTAATTTCCTATTAACCCTTTCCTCTCTTCTTCTTCTCTCTTTCTCTTTTTTTTTTTGGTCTTGTTTGGCTTGTTTCTACAGCCCATCTCCCCTCTGAGCGATTGAAGCCTGCTGGGTAAACAGACCAAATATATCATAAAAGTCATTGGACCGGTACGTCATGCAGCATTTGCTTACTAAATTAGTTGTGTCTGCTGTGATATCACTCTTGCTGGCTTATATGCTTCAGCACCAGCTGTTTTAGGACTGATTGAGGTGTGCACAGCCGATGCTTGGGCATATATTGCTGAAATTCATCTTACAGTTGAAATGCTTGTCCAATACCTAGGTGCAGGACTGAAGAGTTCTGATTGATTTTATAAGAGGGTGAAATACTTGATCTCTCATCAAGGTGTAATTTAAAACAGGGACTTGGACTCTTTGCTGGAATTTTTGAAACTTGTACATTTATATCAAGTTCAAGATTGTATGGCTGCTTCTGTACAGCTTGCCTGGAAGACGGTGTGGCGTGGTTTGGCAGTATTTTGATTTAGGCATGGACATGAAATTGTATGCAGGCTGTGTCTGTTTGAATTGTCCTATAATCTATCAGCCAGAGCAATGAGAACAACCAGCACTGGCATGTGGACATAGCAAAGATGACCAAAATGTCAGCTCTACCTATGTCAGCCACATGTTCAGCAGTGTCAAAAAAACTCTGCTTACTGTGATTTCTGTGTGAGTAGTTTGATTATCAGAACTTAAATTTCAGTTTAAACGACCCACAAATTAAAACTGTGAATATTTATGCACTGATTTTTTTTATTTTATTTCAAGTTTCACTGAAATAATTTGCTGATTTCTGATCATATTTATTATTAAATACACGTCATGACAGTTATCTTCTTTTTGCTGTGACTCAGCATAATTAAAGGAGTTTTGAAGATTGTGTGTTTGTAGTTAAAATTGCAGTGCAACTGATGCCAAAATGTGGTTAACTAAAGTTGGTTAGCTCATTTAACTAATGTTTTTTTAATCACCAAAACTGTAAATTCTAGGGGTGGGAGACAGAATCGATACAGCATTGTATCTGGATATTTTATCTGGTGATATATCATTTCTTTTACCAAGTATCGCTTTTTCAAATTAATTGTTAATATGAAGTCGGATCTATGATAATAGAAAAATAAAATCAACTGTTTGTCCAGTGAGGTTGGCAGAGGTGACATCATAGAGCGGGAGACAGTTAGTACAACAAATATATATGAGGTTTGCAAGATGTGCTACGTGAAAATAAAACATTGTGTAAATAAGAAAAAAATAAAGGAAAGACAAATGCTAAATTAGCTAAACAGTTGAAAAAATTGTATAAATGGCAACATATGCTATCGCAATACTCACTGTATTGCAAAATGTTAAAAATCGCAATAATATCGTATCATGGCCCAAGTATTGTGATAATATCGTATCATGTCCCAAGTATCATGATAATATCATATCGTGGCCCAAGTATTGTAATAATATCATATTGTGGCCCAAGTATCGTGATAATTTCATATCCTTGCAGCCAATGGTGATTCCTGCCCCTAGTAAATTCATGAGGTTTGTCCACATTTTCAAGCAACTGTGGATCAAAGTAGAACAATGCTTTGCTATTATTGCTTTTATTTTATATCAGGTACTTAGGAGAGGAAAAAAAGTGTAGTTAGTTTTGCCCACTGCTTGGTTCTTTTAAAAAGTTACATGTATTGTCAGCTGGAGTTTAATCAGCAGAACTCTATTCCCCTGATGTGATTCATTTGCAGGTTACAGACAGAGTGTAGGAGTTAAATTGCCTTTTTTGAAAAGACAATATGCCTTAATATTTAAAGGCTGTTTTCTGTGGTTACACAGTGAGAAATCTGTCCAAATGAGCCACAAAACTTGGCTCACTAACGCAGACTCGAACCATCCAGTTTGAATTCACTCTTTCATGTGCACCAACTTTAGAGTAGGGAACTCAGTGGTGAATAATGTGAAGTCTTTGTGATGGCTTAAATCCAAATCCAAGACCCTGACCTCCATGGTTATTTGTACCAAAACTACAATACCACACGTGTCACACAATGCTTGAGTTGGACCCTTTCATCTATAATGAGTAAAAGGTGGGAGACAGGCCAGGGGAGATATTCTTGATTAAGTTGGAAAAGACAGCTGACCTCCTTAAACTGTACTCCCCTCTTTTCTTCTTAAGGAAAGAGGAAGTTTTCTGGAGAATTTTTTAGTCCCTGCCAACTTCAAACGGGTTATAGTGAGCCAGTGCACACGCACATTCACGCTAATCTCACTCAAGTACACACACACACACATCGCCCAGGTCAAACACCGAGCATTTATACCCAACCTCATCCATGACCGCACAGCCTTGGCTTGATTAATTCTGCCTCCAGAGACACGGATCCCCAGGTTAAACAGCAGGCTCATAGCAGGGAGCAGAGCGAGCAGGCGTGATGGATGACTGCAGCCCCGTGTCCTGACACGTCTGATAAACGTGAACCCACAGATTCGTTTTTAAACAATGTAGTCCTACCCACACATTTAACACCCATACTCTGAGACCAGGGGGAAGCTTTCAGAATGACTAATGCCAAATTTAACTCCTCTTAGACAAGGTATCCATAACATAGCTGGGCTCATCTGTCTCTTAAATAATAGCTCTTTGGCCTTCACACATATAGGTCTTCATTTATGTGCAAATTATCAGGATGTTTGAGGATAGAGTTATAATCCCCCAATACCTGGCATTTGACACAGAAGATGAGCTTATGTGGGAATTTTCACATTCATGTCTGAGGAAAGAGATTATTTGTGCTGACACCGCCTCACCATTTCCTTCTTGATTTTCCTTCCAGCTTCAAGTCAGACATGCGTTCCAATGGAGGTTAATGACAACCCGTGGGTGCGTGTGAGCGAGATGCTAATTGGCTGCTGGACCAGCTTCATCACAGAGGACAAGGCAGAGGTCCACATCCTTAATCTGAACTTTGCTGCCGGCCAGGTAAGCATGTCAAGGTTGAACTAATGAGATGTTGAGCAACTAGGGCTAATTATGTAAATGTGCACCGTCTGTGTGACTGGGAGTAAGAAGTAAGATGCTCTTAAAAGGGGCCACATTAAAGTAAAAAAAAAAAAACTCCATCTGAATGCTTAAAATGTAAGGTGGCTCATGACATACACAAGACACAAATCAGCATGGGTGGACCAGACCGAGACCCGCTGCTTATATACTGAGGCTAATAGCAAACACACAGCAGCTTGGCAGGCAGGTGAGAAGAGAGGTCAAAACCCCAGCCACACTTGTGATGTACAGACCAACTTTTATAAGACCAGCTTGCTTGCGGTTTTGACCTCCTCTGACTTTTCCCCTTCTCCGTGTTACTTTCGAAGTGGTTGAGCTCCTTCCAAAAAAAAAAAAAAAAAACCTCACTGTGCTCTGCCAGGTGAACAGGTCATATAATCTGTGAGACTTAGCACAGATTGCTTGCGGGCAGGAGAAAAACTGCAGATGTAGTTAAAAAAAAAAAAGTTAGAGCGCATTTCACTGAAATAAACAAGATAAACTTTGGTAGGGAGAGCGCTAACAATGTTTTAGCTCCGTACATTTAAAGGATAAATCTTAGATGTAAAACGTTTTTCAGGCAGTGCAGGTTTACAGCGTAGTTGAAAAATGTCTTTAATCTCTACTCCTTATTTCTGAATTTGTTTCAAATGTCTATAGGTATTTTTTTTTCTACTACTTATCAGTTTTGATTTAACCAAGGCATGAGGCTGCACCTAATTAAGCATAAAAAGGGGCGTGGCTAATTTGTTGTATCTGTTTATTAGGCGGCAAGGCTATGGCCCCTTCTCTACCTCTCTATTGGTTTAAAGATGAATTCAAAGTTCCTTCTTTTTACTGCTTCTCAAAACCTCACTAAAATTGCAGGTGAGCGGTGCATTAGGTCATTTTGACGGTTAAAACTTTTAACTTTAAGGAATGACACCAGAAAACTTTTAATCTATATGTTGTTATTGCAGAAGAGGGCTCCATTTTTCACTGTCTTACTTTGTTCGGTCAGCTCACATTAGTCATTTCTTTATCGGCTCGCTCTGTTTGTTTGCCTCCGCTGTTTGTTCTCACTTAGAGTTCTATCTGGAGCTCTTTCACCGGGCTGGTGTTAAGCAACTGTTGTTTACCTATTGTCTCTTTTTATTCTCCACTCTGCTGGGCAGTCTTTCTTGTTTAGCGATGATTATGAGGAGGGAAGCAGCTGTGCCGTGTGCCATCACAGGAAGGTGCAACACAATACCCACCTTAAACCATCTCCTCTTTATATCCTTCAGGCTCCTTTAAAAAGCTGAAAGATATAAGTAGGGGCAGAGCACTGTCATATTTTTTTCTCTTTGTAAAGAAATCTTTTCAAATGAGTTAAGCGGAGATGCTACTCTTTCAGGATGAATTCTTTTAAATTGGATGTTTAAGGATCCTGAAGTTAAGTTATGATGTTACACAAAGAAACATTAGCTCAACAATAATGGTTGTCAGCATAAATGATCTTTCTTTTAGACCAGTGGTTCCCAAACTTTTTCTTTCCCCAATTAAAGGACAAGTAAAAATCTCAAGGCACACCTATTGTGCAAAAGGAGCTACGCCGTTACATTCAGGTTACGTTACCCATGCTGCTCGCTATAAGCTTGAACGTTACCCTTCACGTTAGTGGAAGAGGGTCCGACAGGATTTGATGCGCTCGTTGATGACTCAAAACAAGTCAAAAATAAAGTTGTGTGTTGTTGTGCTCACACAGTGCGAGTAGAAATCATTAGTGCCGCATTGATAATAATGCTACTAATGCTATTAATGCTACTCGCTATGTCGACCGCGTATAAGCTTGAACGTTACCTTTTACGTTGATAGAAGAGGGTCTGACAGGATTTGATGCGCTCCTTGATGACTCAGAGCAAGTCGGAAATAACGTTGTGCGAGTAGAATCATTAGTGGCGCATTAATATTAATGATCATGTGAAATTTCAGTAGCGGCAGACGTAATTTATGAATGTAGAGGAAACACTGCTGATACATATGAGTATGAGGTAGAACTATCTGAGATAAAAACTCTTTTTTTTTTTTTTAGATGTGGCGGCTTTTATTTAGCCGTGTCAGTGCGCCACGTTCAGTTACATGTAGGGGAAACCCTGAAATGTGCATAATTACCTACTGATGCCAAATTAAAAGTGACAAATTTTCCCTCTTGCATGTTTCTCAGTTTTAAGGTTGTTTATAATTCCCGCCTTCACAACTGCGCAAACAGAGAAATATGTGGTTCTCTTTGAGGATTTTTTTCTTCTAAGAATTATCTTTAGGTGTAGAGTTTGCCTGTTTGTATGAAATGATTGCATACAAAGTACTGATATAGTAAATAAAAAAAAAATATTTTTGTGTAGTTGTATATCACAAAATCCCATGGCACACTCGGGCTTGCCTCACAGCACACCAGTGCGCCGCGGCACACAGTTTGGGAATCAATGTTCTCGACAAAGTATAATATGAGTGTGAATCTCCTAATATGAGGCATTGAGACATCTTCGTTTTGAGATCTTTCACATGAACTACCCTCTACTGCAGCCACTACTTTAACCCTGCCATCACATGAAAGCTCCTGTGGGGAATATGCTATGTAAAAAGGCTTGTATCCTCTGCACCCATGTAGTCCTTGACCCTGGTTCGACTCGCAGCCATGATGCTCTGCTCTCAATATTTTCTGTCTCTCTTTAGCTGTCCTAGAATAATGACAGTAAAATCAACTTGAATAGAGAAAAAATCATTTCTTTGTTCAGGGGGACCAAAAGTTCCTTCCTGTACCTTTAAATTGTACTGTTTTGTAAGCAGAGAAGATTAAATATTTAAGGCTAATTTAACCAGTAATCTACATGTTTTTGACCAACTCAGCCAATTCAGTTGTTTGTTCTTTTATGTAAAAGTTTGAAAGGCCAGGGCTCGCTAATAAAAGAGATTTCATATCTCATTGGGGATAATTCTAGTTAAAGGTTGGTTTTAAGAGACCTGTAGGGTTAAACTGGGTAAGCAGATAATTCCTTTTCCTTTTAAAACTGGGTTATCAGCGTGATGTTGCGGAGCTGTTTTGCCCTTTGTCTCAGCTAATGGACTGCAGCTTTACGGCATTTTTAATGGACTGGAAATCAGAAAAAGCAAACAGATTTGAACTAAATGAGGCCTGAAGGGTACAAACCAGACACATAATGTTATGTAGGAGATTAGGAAACGGCACATCCCAGTTTTGAAACTTTGTACAAAGACTGGTGCAAGTTCTCAGTCTAAATTGGTGTGGGGGTTTGATGGAGGTTGCAAAAGGAATTTGGCTCAGGATCAGGGTGATGCAGTGGATGTTTGACAGAGTTAGCATATCCTGCTCTCATTTGGGACCATGAGTGGATGCTTTATCATACCAAAGAAGAGAGTGCACATAAATTCTCATCACAGAGCCCTCTTATCTGGTCTTGACTGTCTGTTTAGAGGAGATTTTTCTTCTGAACATAGAGCAAGGGGAACAGCTTCATCTCTTGCCAAACCGTCCAGTCAGAAAAGGAGGTTTTTGCTCTCCCCTCCTCCTTTCTTTGTCCTTTAAATTTTGTTATCACCCCCTTTCCCATCCCCTTTTGTTTTTCATACTGATTTACAACCTGCCAGAGACAGTCGACTCTCACTCTTCGACCGCGCAGTATTAGATAGAGGAGCGTGAAGGGGGGAGCACGGAGCGGCAGAATTCATAGGGAGGAACTGCTCAAACAGGGCCCATTGATGTCACACACTGGCTCGAGTAGTCTGGGTTTTGGCACGCGGCCGAGACGAGACCAACGGAGCCAATTCAAGTTAAGGGAGAGAGCCAAAAGAATAACTGGAAACTACATCAACGAAGGCCCTTCAAAAAATGCTCTCGAGAAAAAAAAAAAAGGAAAACAATTGTGTCTTGAAAGCACAGGAACAAAAAGTAGCAAAAGGTGAGTGATCAGGGTCAGTCGTGATTTGGAGTTGAAAGAAAGAAAGTCACAAAGGGATGAAGGGAGGGAAACAAGACAGAGCGACAATGAGGCTCATTAGAGAGGAGTATTTAAGGAAAGGTATCTGTGTTGAACTCCAAAGGAAATACCATTCATTCATTCAGTGGATGTACGTGCAGCACAATGCAGGTGAAAACAAGACTTGTGTTTTCGTGAGGACATTGTGTGATAAACCAAAGCCTTTCACTTAAAACGCTGTCCCCTTTTATGGGCCTCCATTTATTTTATTCTCTAACCCTCTGGACCCCTGTAAAAGTTTACAGAGGCGATGCAGTTTGTTGAGATGAACAACTCAATCAAAACAAACAGCTGTCCTTTGAAATTAGAGGGAGACTGAAAACTAAAAACTTTTACCATTTATAAAATAAAATCTATTTTTCAATCAGTTTCCTGTAATGTAGAAGTTGGAGCTTCTGATATGAAGTTCAAGATTAAACATTAACATAATAGACGAGACAAAATTACATTGAAATTTCAACAATCATTAATAACACCCAAATATCAAGTAATAAACAAGTTTTAATGATAAATAGATGATTTTACATTCTGCGTTTGATCCAGTCATTCAGAGTCACATTGGAGATCACTTTAATAAAAGAATAATGTCCCACCTTCAACTTTAATGTAGAGGTTAATAATAATACAGTCATATGCAGTATCTTCAGCAACTTATGTAACATTCCAGTTACCTCAGACGTCGGATGTCGGAGCTTGGAATAACGTTACGCCCGAGTTGATGGTGTTCCAGTTAACAAGTCGGAAAATCAAGATGGATGCCTACAGTTACCTGTTGTTAGCTGTTGTTTACAATTGTCAGCTGTCGTTAGCCGTTGTCAGTTATTGTTAGCGGTTGCCAGCTGTTGTTAGCCGTTGTTAGTCGTTGTTAGCGTTTGTCAGTTGTTGTTAGTTGCTGTTAGCGTTTGTCAGCTGTTTTTAGCTGTTGTTAGCGATACCAGTTGTAAACAACACGTAACACAGTATTTCATTCTTACAAACACCATAGCACCATGTTCACAGTTAGACGTTGGGCAGTACAACATATACCACTTATTAAATTTCACAAAAACAAAACAGAAGTGCTAATAAATACTACATTACGAGAGCTTTTACTGTTACTTTTTACTGTTGATGCACTGTGCCGCCATCTTGGATTATGATGTTGTCGTCAAGCCGGGTTGGTGAGGATTGTCCAACTTTCCAAGTCAGAAATCTGGCTTCGGGGGACGTTCCAGATGAATTTCCAACTCGGAGCTCAGAAATTCTGACTTCCAACTCCGATAAAAGCCACAACAAGAAATGTTTGATTGATGCTTGTATATGACCCGCAATGGCAAACCAGACCATCAACGTTAAAAATGAGCATTTACTGTCTGTTTCTCTTCAGTCAGTAATTCACTGAATGTTAAATCACAGGTTTCTATGTTACCTCTGAGACACAACATATGACCAACATTTGGATTTTCATCCAATAATTACAGAAATACTTCATGTACTGATGAGTAATTTTGGTGACAGTCTCTACTCAGTCAGTTGACCAAACAAGCGGATTCCTTGTCTGGAGGGTTAATCGATTTTGCTGTGAAGATTGATGAGTTTTTACACCCAAATGTCAAACCAACTAAAAGCAGCTGAAGAATTCATAGTGCTGGTCCAATCTGTTACAAACACTGCCATGTTTTTATCTAGGGCTGTGCTCCCCCCTTTGGCTAATTCAAACAAGACTTAACACATTTATGAGCTGCAGATGACATTATGCGAGACCTGGTCTGTAAAGATACTGGTAATGTGATGTGTGTGTATGTGTGTGATCCGTCTGTGAGCCGCTCTCACCGGTGCATCTGGGTTGGCTCATAGGCAATTTGTTGATGGTCTCCTTAGACCTAATTTGGTCTGAATATTTGTGTAGCTCAGGTCTGAGCTCATCAGGATTCTCTTGGATCAAACTCTGGCAGCATCAGGTAGCGAGTAAATGAATTTAATATTAGGGATTCACACTGTCTCCCGCAGCATGCTCATTGTCTTCCCAGCAGGCTTCAGCTCTGAAAACAATCCACTTTCAAATGAACATAATTTAGCGGAATAAAGAATTTGCTGTCAAAAAGAATCACGGTTGAAAGAAAGCAGGAATGTGTATTTATGAGCGTTCAATTCCCACAAAAGCTTCACACCAGTGAGACATTTCTTATGCGTTCAGTCTTAAAACTGAAGCAATTTCAAACCCTTTCACTTCCCTAAACTTAATTATTTTGACACTGTCTCAGAAATAAACATTATTAGAACTCAGGTTCACTGAAATTCAGTCAGTCTCGAAAAAAAAACCTTCTCTAAACCCGAACTTGTTATTCTGCATTGAAAGTCGGCTGTAGCAGCTTTTGCCTGCGAACATGTGAAGCATGCTAATTATGTCTGATTCATGGAACGACTGCGCCGGTGATTAGCGAATCACGTCACTATTGTGTTACCCTCAGCTTGAAATATGGTTAATGAGGTATTACATTATGTGTTAAATTATGCTAATAAGGTTGTAAATACAGCACACCAGCAGGATCAGCCACACTATGAAGAAAAACAGCATAAATTAGGAAATGCAGCCAATTGCTCATTAAATAAATATATAATTTTGACTTTTTGTCCTTTTGTTTGGATGTAAGAATAGACGCGAGCTGTGTAACATCATTACTGTTGGTGTCAATTTGGAGGCAGACGGCAAACATGATCCTGCCTCAGACCTGCCGCTGTCTCTGGCACGATGTCCACACTTCATTTAAACAAGTGATTATCTTTCCAGATGGATTTCTGGGTAAAAATGGAATCAGCTCTATTTGTTACAGATTTTTATATACTTCTATCAAATTAATATGATCAACAAATTACTAAAAAAAAAACACCTGAATACAGTCTGAAAATGTCCCCTTGTAGTTTATCATTTTCCGAAAACATCTAATGCATCAAATGAGATATAGGGAACTTTTTTTTTTTGGTTTTGAATAGTAAGTGAAATAAATATTTCAGCTCCAAAAAAATTGAATTTTCTGGCCATAATTTTTGGTTTGAGGCATTAAAGGGCTACGCGTAAAGAAGCAGGACTACCCCTTTGAACTTTGAACCAATTAGTTTTACAGTATTATACTGTAAAAATAATTGCTATACTTATATATCTTCAACACCTTTACTTCTTTTGGATATTATTAAAAGATATCATGGGCCCCTAAAAAACAACTCAGTAAGTTCAAGGAAAAATGAATTATAGTAACATTTCTTTCACATGAAAATCACAGCATTACATTCTGTGTTGGCGTTTATGCATTTTATCAAAGATTTGAACTTTGAAGATCAGATTCTGTGGAACAAGAATGTAGGATTGTAATTTTCACACAACTCTGTACTTGTTTGATATTTGGAGCCTGTAATGTGTTTCAAGTTCACAAGACTACGAATAAATGATTCCCCGCACTCTGCATCGCAACACAATTGCGCAACAGACACAGGAAGCGTTCTTTGATGTTCTCGAAATGTGTCGTCAAGTTTTCTGTCCTTTTTGATTTCACTGCTTTGTTTGCATAACACAGCACACACACTCAGCATGGTGTTCTTACCGAAAACTCATTATTGGCAGCACAGTAGATCCCATATGGATGACTTCACAGAGTGAGTGAATATTTATGCCACTTTCCTCCTAATCAGTCCCACTGTTCCAACAGGAGATTTACACCACCGCCAAACTTCCCCTGCCTACAACACGAAGGCTCACTCCGGAGTCTTTGCTTTTTCTACTGAATAATAAAGGGATAATATAAAAGTGATGATTTCTTTTATTAATACCATTCTCTCAAGAACAGCACGAGACAGATAATAATGCTATTGCCACAGCATCAAGAGGCATGAATCAACATTTTAGGAGTTGGAACCAATCAGAATCAAGTATTGATATGTTTACACAGTATATAGTTTGACATATTTACACTTCTAACACATGTGTGAGCTGTAACTGTGTCTGTTTTCCCTCTGGTTCAGGTCACATTCACAGTTTCCTCTTCTTCTTCTTTTAGGATGTGAACATGTTCTCTTTGGAGATGTTAAACGCCAGGCCAATGAACCTGATCCTCACATCGCCAGACACAGTCTACATTGCGTACAACATCAACCCCAGTGTCAACATTTATGTGAGTATTGTCTCTTTGTCATTCAAAGTTAACGCTTTTTCTTGGGTCCATTCTAGAAAGGAGACTCAACAGGAGTCTAACCCTGAGCTCTGAGCTGATTTATGGAACATTTTTGAGTTTTTGGTTTCCGAAGAGCTGATTTGGAATATTTCTGTCAAGTCAGAGTGAAGCACATGAATGATAACTCTAAAGTCAGTCCATTTTTTTTTTTTTTGTTTTGTTTTCTTAACTTACTTTAACAGGGCTTGTGACGCAGATTAGACATAATTTTGAACATAGGCAGGAATTACTGATGACCTCTAAATAAGTTGACCATGTTTAGTAGTCGTCAGTAATATTCCACTCTCTCCTTCTGTTGTTTCTGCTCTTTCATGCAAGGACAGTGAGCTCTTCCAACAGAGCCATACCATGAAATATACTGCAACAACTCAGTTACAATAATAACCGACTCAAAGTTGAAGTAACTTCTCTTTCTGGGATAAACTTGAGTGACTCTTCTTTCTATGACAGAGAATTAGGGCCACGTTAAGAAAGAAAAAATTTAAGACTTTTAAATTTAAGTCATTCATTTACAAGAATAAAGTCATTACTAACGCAAATAAAGTTCTGACTTTATTCTCATAAATAATTACTTTTTTACGACTTTATTCTCCTAAATAATGATGTTATTACGACTCTATTCTTGTAAGTTATAATTTTAATATAACTTTACTCTCGTAATTCCTTTATCACGACTTTATTGTTGTAAGTTGTGATTTTATTACGACTTTGTTCTCACAGGTAATTACTTTGTTACGACTTTTAAATCTCGAAATTTCGACTTAAATCTCGAAATTTTGTTTTTTCATTTCAACTTTTAAAATTTCAACTTTGATCTTGACATTTCGACTTTAATCTCGAAATTTAGAGTTTTTTCATTTCAACTTTTAAAATTTCAACTTTGATCTTGAAATTTCGACTTTAATCTTGAAATGGAAATGAAAAAAATCTCCCTCCTGTCATATTTTTTTTCTCTTCTTGTGGCCCTAATCCTCTTTCATATCCTTCTCAGGTTTCAGTTCCTTCAACCCATTTGGGGTCAATAGACTCATGGATTGCTAAATCTACTTTCTGAAACCAGTCCAAGGGTAAATTCATGCGTCACATAGTTTGATTATTTCCTGTTTACTGCATTATTTCTTTTAGTTCTATCCAGTTATGACACACCTACAGCAGTGTGTGTGTGGGACAGTGTTTTTCCAGTATTGCATAATTTCCAGATTTCTCCACATGTGCTTAACTCCTGTCTCATGCCAGCTGTTTTACCATCCAGTCAGACCGCCCCAGCTGTGCAGCTCTCTGTGCCTGTTGGGAGAGACAGTGAACAATATTGGTTTTTCCATAGATACTCCCAAGTGGTCACTCTGAATGAGGCAGTGTGGGTTGTTGTGTTTTTATTATCCGCACCATAAAACCGGAGGGAGAAGTAAGAGCGGCCGAAATGAGGGGGGGCTGATGGCATCAGCTATAGAATTAATGTTCCAGTGAAATTGGAGAATCTGACTTTTACACACTGTGCTAAAATTATATCTTTGAGTTAAACCCAGAAAGGCCACAAAACAACTTTTATTAAGCTGCTTGAGTGTCTAATTAAATAGAGGAATGGCACTCTCATGAGGACTAAGTGTTTCAGTTTGCACAGGTTGTTCGCTGTACTGTGTCCAAATGTTTTGGTATTAAAATGTCAAATAATGATAAACCTAACAAGGTGGATGAAACAAAAATATTTTCATTGGGGCAAACTGCTGAGTCCTTAAATTTACCCTCATGGAAGAATACGTTTTAAACTTTTATACTCAGTACAAACAGCCTTAGAGGAAGCCTTTATAGACAATACAAACAGCCTCTTGGGTAGCCTTAAACAGGGAGGAAAAAGGTGCCCAAATGAATACGATTCTCTCAAAGTGAACCACTCGTTTTGATGTATTACAGATTAAACACTTGATTTTGTCTAGTGGTCATCATACAGGAAAGGTTTTATAAACACAACATGCTTTTTCAGCCACTGTTGCTCTCCTGTTGCACAGCTGTGCCAACCCCACATGGTACTTTCTGGTTCCTCTGCCTGTTTCCTTGATCAAAGTTACTCTTCGTACCCTGATAAAAATGTTTTATTACCTTAGCAGCTGTCATAAGAGTCTGCACACGTCAGTACAGCTGACAGCTGAAATACGATTTCAAACTTCCTCCCTCAGGAAGAAGAATTACACACAAAAAAAGCATTTTATCAGCTTTAGTTTGTTTCTCCTTAAAACCTTCCAAAAGCATGATGTTGATATTGGTCGTCGGTCATTTTTTAAAATCACTGGAGAGTTTGTTTGCTTGAAATCACTTGGGATTTAACGGCACCGTTTTCCTCAGTTTTGGGGGATCAGTGATTGGCTGATCTTTACATATGAAACCGATTTTATCCACCGATCTTGTCTACCTCAGCAAAGGTCTGAAAGTCAGCCGTTGTAGCTTTTTGCTTGCCAAAATGACAGGCCCACCCACCGGGTCACATGTGCACACGTCAGCGTCAGTGCCAGCGGTACACACAACAGTCATCTGGAGCCTGATCAACCAAGCATGTTGAACCCACTACAAGGAAACCTAAAACTCAGGACAGTTTATTGGTGTTTTTTTGTGTTGTTAGTTTGTCATGTTTAAAAAACAAAATTGATATCGGCCAAAATCGGTATTGGCAGGTCAAGCTTTTTAAAGATCGGTGATTGGTGATAGGCCAAAAAATTGTGATTGGTGCACCCCTACTTTAAATATTAGAAGCACTTATTTCACATTGCACCAATCACAGAGTTCACAGAGGTTTTCAGCTTTTTAGAGTCTGACTGAACTACAGCGCAGTATTGTCATCAATGTTAGACTTTTCTTGCTGCACCTAAATGCATCACTTGGAAGTTGCACAAAAATGTCTTGTTGATAGATGTGTCATATTTAAAGTTTATAACCATTAAAGAAATGACTATAGAAAAAGATGTCTTAATGCTAAGATGTGCGGAAAAGTGGTCAGCTGCTTTATAAAACATGCAGACATGAATAATAAAAAGAAAAACCTGTCAGTCAAGACAGAAAACAACTTTAACTGGAATGTCACCGGTTAGTGATATGCTGACAGCAGTGTGATACCACATCCTGTATCATGTCCTGTCCAGAGCCTGGACAACATTGCTCGTGACTGCAGGATGTTTTCGTGGGGATGAGCAGTATCACTGGGGGATAATAGTGTTTGACTGTTGATTGCCGTTTAGGAGAAACAGCATCTGTACTATGTCAGGGAGAGTACGTCAGAAGCTTGATAGCTTGGCTTAGTGTCACGATCACAACATGTTTAGTCCTCCCTTGAGCTGACATGAGAACACAGGGTTAAAAGAACAAACATTATGAATCACAAGGGCAGTAATAAAAAAAATCCATCAGGTCATTTATATAAGAAAAACTGCATAGTAGGCAATTTTCACTGTTAAAGAGGATTTGCAGTATTTTTTTTAACCCGGGTCCTATTAAATGTTTTTATGTGTGAAGAAGACTTCCCAAAAGACCACTTCAGACAGCAGCCGTGACACGACTGTAATGGTTATGACATTGTGACAGCAAATGCACCCACTGGAAGTCATGTTTGTTTTTGCCTCTGAAGCATATTGTAACAGTGGGTTAAAGGGATATTCCAGCCTAAAATTAATTTAGAGTCAAACACACTGTAACACGGAGTTAGACACCCTTTTGAGAGATGAATGTTGCCGACATTTTGCTTCTCTAGTTATACCAACTTTAGTAACAACCGCAGGTTAGCAGTATAGCGGTCTGAGGAGCCATAAACAAATCTCAACCAAAACGCCACTCTATAACCACAAATAATATTAATCCATATTAATCATTTTGCACTGCAGATGAGGTAGTTCTTCTGCCTTAGCGTCTCGGTCTGATTGCATTTCCATGAAGAAATGATCATAAATCATAAACCACAGCAGTCCGTAATGGACTGGCCTGAGGTCTCACTACAAACAAGCGGCTGCTGGAAGAGAGTAGGTGAGTTGTGTTTAGTCTCTTAGTACTAAATAAATTTGGCAAAGTTAAAAAGATGTTTGGTGGCTAGTGCTGTGGCTAGGACCCTACATGTACTGTTGATGAAGTTAGGTGCTGTTCTGAGCATTATTTGTGACTATAGAGCAGCGTTTTGGTTGAGGTTTGTTTACGGCTTCTCACACTGCTGTGTACGCTGGAATATCCCTTTAAGAAAGTGTACCAAGTTTCTATTACCATTATTATTATTACAGAGGTGAAACTTAAGTCAGACGGTGTTCTGCCAATTAAAAGTCAGCATGGATAACCCATAGTGGACCCCTCCTCCCTGCTGCTTTAGACAAGAACATCCATCCAGATCAGCAGAAAGAGGAGATTTTCCTTCGTGGCATTAGAATGACAGTGACCTCACCATCTACAGCTTATTTTCCAGCTGCTAGCTGATGCTATCCACTGGAGCAGTTCCCAAACATATGTATATATATACAGAATATACATATGTAATTGTATCTCTCAGTTCAGTTGGGAGAATCGAAGGTGTTGATTTGGTGAAGAAATGAAGCCAAGCATCTCAGTCTCATGCATCCACCCCAGAGCAGGCACATGGGAAAGAAGTCTAATGAGGACTTTTTTATTATCCATACTGAGATACGCCTCTCTTTCAAAACATCTTTGAGTTCCTTGAACTTTCCAGTGAGCCTGCAGAATATCAAACTGATTTCTCCGAGTTTAATCTGTTAAATTCCACTCTAATCATTAAACCCATTGCCATTGTTATTTCCCTCTTTTTCTTTTTCTTCCCGTTTGTCTTTCCAGGCTTCCCCTCCCTGTCTGTCTGGTTCGTCATGACCGGTTTCCCTCTTTTTTTTTTATTTTTAAAGTTCCCTTTTACTCTATTTTTTGATCTTGCGTCAATCAAATATTCATGCAGAGAGGCCTGCAGCCCCCTCGGGCTTTCCTTGGTTTCCACCTTTTTTTTTTTTTTATCATGTGCCACTTTGTGACGCAAAGACACACTCTCAAATAGTCACACAAAGCAGACGGTGTCAGAGAGGGATTTCTATTATTTAAAGAAGCGTGCTTGTGTGCTTTTTTAAAATCCATCTGTTTGGAAGTTCCTGTAATGCAGTGGTTCTCAAGTCCAGTCCTCGAGGCCCACTGTCCTGCTCCAACACACCTGATTCAAATGATCAGCTCGTTATCAAGCTCTGTAATTGCTTAATAACGAGCTGATCATTTGAATCAGGTGTGTTGGAGCAGGGAAACATCCAAAACATGGAGGACGGGAGGGGCTCGTGGACTGGACTTGAGAACCAGTGCTGTAATGTGTTAACAAACGATGAAAAAAACATTGATAAGACTGAAAAGGCTGCTGTTTCACTCTCCTGTGTATTTCAAAGAAAAAAGATTGGTGTAAGAAAAACTAAAATGTTGAATAAATGTGGTGTTTTTTTTGCGGCAAAACATGTCTAGTGATGATGTTATTGTGCAAGTTTTAATTCTATTTGTGTGTCACTGAACACAAGAGCAGCACTTTCTTTGCACTGATGACATGAACCACTTAAAGCAGAAGGACAAATCCATGTTGGTTATACTTAGTGAAAGGTCGAGTCTGAAATGAGGCCAAATTTTTCTTTTTCTCTGTCTTGTTATGTACCAAACGCTTTTTTTTTTTTTCTTTTTTTTTTTTTTTACATACGTCTTATCATCAAGAGGCTCCATTTTCCCCCCAGCATATTTTCTACCCTCTTTATCATGCTTAGCTTAATGTAAACTCCATTATTTCCCATCGGCCCAGACGAGGAAACAGCAGTGTCTAGTCGATGGGAATGGATGTATATATTTATACCTTGTATGGAGCCAGATTCCAGCCGACTGCGGTGACGCACAAAGCTAAAAAAGTCCCATTTCCTGGCCCCACTCAGGAAGCAAAGGAAAGACCATGGCTCCAACAGGGTTGTGCAACTGTGCTCGTGGACACTTAACCATAATAAACATTTCTTTTTAACAGGAGCCTGCTTAGAGAATAGAGGGAGAGTTGGGTGGAGGGTAAGAAAGAGTAATAGAGGAGAATGAAAGGGATAGGCTGAAATATGTGATATGACAAAATGTGAGCAGACTGGAGGTAAATAAAAATAAATATACAGCTGACTCACTGGGTTCTGTGTTTTTGTAGCAGTGTGTAAGAGGCCGACTCACGCCTTCTCAGAAAATAGGGAGGGGGTCTCCGACTGTGTTTTCTTTCTGGAAATGGCGTGTCATGAAATTAATTGACATGACTCTGGCCCTCCTTTACAGATACACAATGATTCCAAGCTTAACCTTTTCGCAAGTACGCCTGTGGGTACCATCCACAAAGAAGACTTCCCCACTCAGAATATGGAGGAGCTGGTCACATGGGCAAGACAGAAGTTTGGCGGTGTGACGTCATTCACCACAGTCCACAATCTAAAAACAATCACAGCCACAGGAGCAAAAGGTGAGGATTATATCTGTATGTATATTATGGTTCACGTTATAAAACTGTTCTCCTGTCAGATACCTCCTCAGGAATCCAATACAAAATCTGAAATATGTCAGCACATGAAATAAGATGATTTATATGACACAGTATTGAGGGAACTTTTTAGGTCAGCCCAGGTACTGTAGAAGACAAAAAAGTGCTTTACTGTATAATTCACCAACATCCAAGTTTCTTCTAAACAATATTTTTGTGCTAAAGAGAGAAAAATATTTACAGCCAGCTCAGTATCAAGCTCCTGCTTACATAACTCAGCAGCCAGTCTGCAGGATTGTAATCAAGGAATGATTCAACATTGTTTCCAGCGGTATCTCTGCCTACGAAGCTTATCTTATCCGAGGTTCCTGAAAGTGAAATCATTGAGAAAATGCCGCTCTGCAAAAAAGCAATGCTTGTGTTCTCAAACAGTGCTCAATTTTCTATATTCATTATAAATATTATATCTTCTTGATAAACAATACATTTATTTCCAGAGTCCAAAACAAGTGCTGTGCACTTAGTCTTACTAGAATAATAGTGCATCGTGCAACCTCCTTAATAAAGGGTACTTGTATACAGAAAGTAATCTTAATACAGTAAAAGAAAATAAAAGAACTAATATGTTGCTCCAAACATTTTCCTTTGCAGAGTTTAGTTCTTATAATTCAGAGCACATTATTGTAGAATGTATGTACCTCCCTTTATAGCTTCATTTAATACAAAAACAGACCCCATGCAGTTTTAACTATTAGCTCTCTATGCAAGTCATGCACTGACTGCCATATGGCTATTTCTCCATCAGAGAGCACCATAAATCACAGGGAGAATATCCAGTCTGCTGGAACCTATCTCTGTGTTACAAACCTATGAACATTAAACAGTGAATAAATGGAATAAATCTTATTTATCCTGCCCAAGTGGATGTAACTCCTCAAAAAAACCTTGAACAGAAATGTTGGTCTGGTTCTTTATGGATGTAACACATGGTGTTACTACATCTACATATGTGGCTGCCATGCTAGCTGCAGAGAAGCATAATAAAATATCTGAAAAAGGGACTGTAATTTAACCCAATGTACCTCAGAAAATTGGAATTATTTCCCCCTTATCATATATTAAGCACCAAAATTGAGGCTGCTTTAGTGTGCAGTGAGACTGAAAATGTGTATTCTTTAAAAAGCTGATTCTGAGGCTTAGTAAACCCTCTGTTCTGCCTCATGTTTGAATCACTAATACCTGTACATTGACAAGCTTGCCATATGGGTGCATCTCATGTCTGCTGTGCAAATCCTCTGCCTGTGTAAAGTGGTGTGTGCTGAGCTTCACGTTCTGAGTGCTGACAGGACAAATTTGCATACAACAAAGCATTTAGGAAGAGGGATGCTGGGGACAAACGTCCACCAACACTGAAGACAGAGGCCCAGAAACTCTTTGATTTAAAATGAGCATTTACCGCTGACCAAAGGCCGGGCATCAAGAATATTATTTTTTGCAATTGCCAGCAGCGGTAGCAGCAGGGATGCTCTATGCAAGCACAATTATTTCCAAACAAAGCCTGCTCAAGGCAGGGTGAGTCGAGCTCTGACACGAATGGAGAAAAAGAGAGGTGAACTTTGGTGACGCTTTAAGAGCGCAACTTTAACGTTTTCTTGTGGATTCATTAAGTTTTAATCTCTTAAATTTCTCCGTTGTTGCTCTTTTGAGCCCGTCTCGTGCTGGATGTTACATTAGGTGACGGGTTAACATCTCTCTCATTTAAACATGTTGTTTAAATTCTGCTAAAATGCTGCATTTTCACCCACTCTTAGTTTTTACTGTAGCTGGTGGTTTTACTGACTCATAGTCCACAAGGACATTAAAATTACCCAAGCAGCAGAGCAGTTTACATCGCTGTTATGCTGTTTCCCTCAGCTCATGATGGGGTGTGAGGTGAACCTGCGTAGGCCTCATCGTAGGCGTTTCGAAAAATCTGTGCAATGACTGCACAGCAGCGTATTGCCAAGTTGAAGATTTGCTGACAAATATGCACTTGGCCTTTGGGCCTGTTGGGCATCAAAATGTGAAATAAAACTCAGGTCATAATATTGCCAGCGCAGAAGAGGCGTGTTAAGCAGTGTTAAGGAGGCTGCTTTTAAATCTAAGATGCCCAGCTTCAGTGACTAAAAGGAGCTTGAAGTTCATTCGAAATGACCATAGCAAATAACACTGAATGTTTAGTTTGAAGCTTTTATTTTTACCTCAGTCTACAGAGGTAAGAGGCTGTCACCTTAAATTCTATTTCCAATTCACTGTATTTTCACAGCAGCCAATTTTCCTTGGACTTCATGCTCGAGGTTGAGCTTCACTGCTGCTCAGTGTCAGGCTGCTCAAGGCTGCTACTCTGCAAATGCACATAATCTGACAATGAGTGAGATTTTCATTCCCTTTTTTATAAACAAGAAGGTTAAAAGGAAATAATTCAGCTGTGAAATATTTATAAGTACTACATTTTTGCTTTCTAAGTAAGTATTTGGTTGAATTCTAACATGAGATGTTGCTTTCAAGCTTCAGACTCTGAGCCCGAGTTTAAGGAAAATGGCAGCCGTGTAAATACGACGAATTAGCCACTGACGAGACAAGAAAATCCTGCAATGTGGGATAATACTGTTTGAGATGTAATGTCAAAGAGGCTGTAAACGTGAATTCTTGTTGAAACATGCATGGTTAATTTAGTTTCCATTCAGTGCTATAGTCTGTATTTTTTAACCATGAAAATAGAAGCAAAATAAACAGAACCTACATGTAACTTATATGATGAGGCGAAGTCTCTCAGACCCTTACAGTTCAGCATGACAGCTCTTTGTGTTGGTTTGAACCAAATCTCATATTTATAGAAAATTAAATGACTCCTGATGAAGTGTTTTTTAATACCAGTCATGGCATCACCCCCTTTTTCCAGCATCATAGCATGATCCTTTCAACTAAGGATTTAGGTGATTTTACCAGAGATGGCCAGCATTATCAAGAGATGATTAAGGCCAAAACTCAAATTAAAAAAAGAAAAAAAAAGACTTAGGCCATTATTTTAATAGGGTGATGAACTCAGCTTCTCTGGAAAATAAATACTTGCATTCAAATCAGAATTATCAACACAGAAAACATGTTTGTTTTGATTATTTGGTCCGTCAAAATGAAGGAAACCAGCTTTTTTCAAACCTATATTGCAGCCAGCCAGTAGGGGGAGCTCCAAATCTTCTGGCTTCACTCTTAGAGAGCTGTCATACCTTTATATCTTACAATGCATTTGATGTCTGCATCATGCTCTGTGTTATTTTTCTCAATGTTTTCTCGAAGAAAAACTGTCCAAAAACACTTCCAGCATAAATCACTTCTTTGCTGTTCTATCTTGTGCTCACACTCATATAATTCTCAAAGTTTAGCTAGCATGTGCTTTTATAGCCTCTGCACTTCCCTGCAAACTTGGCTGTTGGTGAGATGAGGTTATTTGAGGTGCTTTGGGAAATATATATCACCCCCATGTCCCGGGTAATGTTTTGAAGCTAAATGTATGTTGCAATCTGGGCACTTCACCGGGGTTCACCTGCAAACCATCTGTCACCATTATTCGGTCGAATACTGAGCAGAGTGCGCTCTCAGGAGACTGCTCCAATACCTCTGCCCAGGCAGTTTAGTCTCCTGTTGTAATCTGGCTCCTCACTGCTGGAATCCGAGTTAAACGCTGTAAACTCTGCGTGTTAGCGGCAAATAAACACAAATAACCTTTATTTATTTATGGAGCACAGTTGTAAATCAAATCCTAAAAGGGCTTCAGAGGCAGCAAAACAGGACGAGACCATGCGTGAAATCATCAAATTTAAAATCTTCAGTTTAGACACAGTATCAGGAAAATAACAGGAATTGAAAATAAATATATTTAGAGCCCATGTGAGGAGTCTGTAACTGGTTTTGAAACAGACTGAAATTGATATTGATGTCTTCTTATTACCTAAAAAAGCCAAGGGGATGGGCTGGTGTTTAGATCAGCTTGTGTACAGATGAGCTTGACTTCATGTCCCACCTCAGCTAACACCACGCTCAATGCATAGTGCAAATGGACTGATATGTGATATATGTTTGCGATTTCACAGGAACCAAACCTGGCTCTCCACACTGCCTTCTGAAGAATGAGGATGCTCAAGAGAAACACTTCCTGACAATAGAGACCGCACCTTCGTCCTCCCCTTCTAAATATTGCTCCCCCCAGTCACAGACTCCTGGTGCAGAAGCCGAGCTCCACATCATAAATATCCCTGAAGACGCCAACGTTAGGTAAAACGCCACACCAACAACACTTTTTATTAAGCTCAGATTTTTTTTTTCTGTATTTCCTGATAAAATTATTCTTGTTCTGTGTTTTTTTTATTTTACAGCAATGTATCTCTCCGTATGATAAGAGAGGTGAGGACCAAAGTGTTCGTGAGAGGACCTCAGGGCACCACATGGACTGTCCTCACCCCACAATACACACAGATTGGTGTAAGCTAACACACACACTCTCTCTGAGTTATAGCACAAAGAATCACTGTTTTTATCCACCTTATGCAGAGTGAATATTGGTTTAAGAATATACTTAATTTACAACTGATCTTCCCTGTCCACAGTCCAACAACGACGTCTTCTTCCTCCTCCCCAACATCGACCACAAAGTCAAACCTTTGTTTACCCTGGACGTTGACAGTGCAGAGGATGTGCAGAGGAAGGCTTTGAATTACTTCACAGCCACCACTTTCACCAGCTACACTGAACTCCGACCAGAGGACACAGTGGTTATGCTGGTCCTTGGGAGAAAAGACAGCGGAGCAGGTAAGAAATGAAATGCTGGCATTCGATGTCTTTTCCACTTTCTACAGAGAGAGAAGGTACAGCGCTGCGGAATATGACTGATTTAATGACAACATTTTTTATTTATCACCATTATCAAATTTAATGTACAATTTTACACACCCAATGTATTGTGATGCTATTTGTAGCATTTGTTCAATAGAAATTCATAAAAGCTAATCGACAGAAATTTAAAAGGGGTGTGAATTTTTTTATTGTGAGATTTTTAAACTTGATTCGTTTTCTCCATCAGTCACAGAAACAGTGCCAAGAACAGTCATTCCCTTCACAACAAACGCCCCCCAACAGATGCCTCTGATGATGCAGCTCTACACCTCCCCCGACTACCGTCAACCCCTCGATCCCAACTCCAAGGTGCAGAGCGACAAAAGGATTTATGCAGAGGTAAGAGGTTGCTGACACCAAATCACCTTCCTCCATCTCCACTAGAAATGTGGGGATGGAGGAAGAGTGAGAAGAGAAACCTGGAGGTGACCCAGCCATGTGATAAAAAAAAGAGAGAAATAGAAAGGGCAGGGGGGGAGGATGGAGGAGGCCAATGCAGAACTCTCTGATCTGCATTTTTGACTCTGTTGGTTTTTAGAGGTCTGGTTTTGTGAAATCGGTTCAGAGAGCATCTCTGCTTTTGAGTTGATGCGATACCTTGGAAGTCCAGCTTTAGTTTCGAGTCTCAAATAGTGTTTTTTTTTAAGTTTTCTTCAACTTAGTGTAAGGGAGTCTGTTTAACTGAATACAGGGAATGCATCTCTACATGGACAGAGATCTCACCATGTACATCCATCCTCTGTTCATTTATCAAGGGATTAATTTGATGCTTTTTCTGTCTCCCGTAGATTTCAGGCAACACTATAGGGCACATTGTACTGACCATCAAGGTGATCAGGTGCTTTGTGCGCTCTAAAGGCTCATGTCCTGTAATAAAGGAGCTGCCCTTCATACCCGAGACCTGCTCCCTAGACTCCTGTCCCAACAGCACCCGTCTCAGCTTCTCTTTAGATCAGCTGCAGGAGTTAGAGACCACCACATGGGACCTGGAGTGCTCTGTCAAATTCTGCTACAACGAGGTAGAGGTCTATCAAGTTACCAATCACAATTGTCAACCCAACAGTGACTTTTTTTGGGTTTTGTTGACATGTTTTTTTCTCAAATCACTAGAAATGTGGAGATGGAGGAAGAGTGAAGAGAAACCTGGAGGTGACCCAGCCGTGTCTGCAACCACCCAGTGAGTTCAGTTTAAACTCCAAAACATGGATCATTCAAACTCTTCAGATGCTCTGAGAGTCTACAATTCTCTTGTCTATCTTCAAATGAAAACTTCTGGCTTCTACTGAGACTCTCATGGCTTTCCACATTTCTACTCCTTCCTTTTGCTTTAACCAACTTAAAGTGGATATTTTTAAACGAGTACCAAAGTCCATTTTAAGGGTTTGAAACAGAGCACATTATTATTTTTTTCTCTTTTTTGTAGTACAAATGGATTTATAAATCTGTGAATATAATTACATCGATGCTAAAAGGCAAACTGATCATTTTTAAATAAGCAAAGTCACTTTTCCAAAACGATTCAAACCAAAACTGTTGGTATAGTGGTACAAAAAAAGGACTATTTTTACTTCCATTACCTCAGGGATTAATGCTTCATTTCTAATTCACTAAAATTAAACTTTCTGAACTCCCACTTACCTTTATATTGTTTAAAATTAAGTTTCCCTGTATACCCTCAGGTCTTAATTGCCAGGCTGATGCTCTGCTAGTGAATTACTCCTGCTGCTCCAGTTTCATTCCTATTGTTGCTTTCACTGCACAACAAACGCAGCCCAAGCCGTTGTCATAGCAGTGAGCTCAGGATATGCAGTGAAACCGGTAAGGGGTTTTGCAGGGCCGGGCCTCGTCTTTTAGGAAGGTCTGCAGGCTGACCTTGTGGCCACAATCAGAAGTAATGGCCCTCAGGGGAGCGGAGGTGAAGTCTTTTGTGTTTCCAAAGGGGGTCTGACTGGGTTTCTGTCCAAACACAGCCACTGAGCACGCTGCTATTGTCAAAGCGGTCAACACCAATGAGTCAAACGAGGGGAGATGTATTTCTCGAAACCAAAAATAATCAACAGATGATGAACATCCAGGAAAACAATCTGATGATTTAATTCCCGTGCAGAAGGACATCAGGAAGAGGATGTTGCTAAAAAATTGAATCATCAGGAGTTGGCGAGACTTTTTTTGTTTGACTGATAATGGGTTTTTAGTCAGTCACGACATGGTAACCTGAATCAGACAAAAGGCATGTTTGAAGGGTTGATATAACCCATGGAGCATTTTTTGGTCTAACAGAAGTGTAATAGATGTCTAAATGTAGCCTAGACGACTGGTCTAAATTCAGGCTACCACAGGTCTAAAAATGAAAGTTTTTTACACGTCTAAATTTAGACCAAGTTTGGACCAAGTCTAAATCTGGTCTATATCTATACTACACTGTATGTTGCTCAACAGCTATCATAATAATTTTGGTTCGGTACTTGGAGATCAGTTATGCAACTCACAGTTGCTTTTTGAAATAAATAGTTATCGAATAATGGGTTAAAGTGCAACGTCCAACTTCCATCTAAAAATAAACAGAATCTAGACGGTTGAAATTAGGTCTGAAAAAAACATAGATGTCTAATAGCCGTCTATTCCTCAGTGGGAAAGTACAATAGTGTGGGGACTTTTAACATATTTCACAGAGACAAAATGAAATAGAGTCCTATTTCACTAAATGTATAATACTTCAAAATCCAGATGCAGTAAAATCAAAGTCTAATGATGTTGCTTCATCCCTGTAAACTCAGACCTTAGATCTTTAGATACGGAACTGAATAAAAACAGTTTAAAAAAGTATAAAGGTTCAGTAATCAGTAACCCAAGTTCTAACATTGTTTTTGGATTCTCTTGAACATCAGCTTTGTGTCTCCTCCTTGTGTCTGTCTTTCCACTCCTTACTGGGAGGAACCAAGGGGAGGGACGCAGACGGAGGCAATGACACAGTTGAGGGGACACACTAATGAATGGAGACACTTTTTACTAGCACTCATGGACTATTTCTTGTCCAGTCAGATGATTGGACAGAACTAACTGCTGTATAAACGTCCACGCTGCTGGTTATGCTGTTGTTCTGTACGTCAGCATGCCTACATCCTCCAAAGCTATGCTCCCTCTTGAGATATACGGCTTAAGTAGACTCCTTGAGCTTCCTTTGTCCTTCTCTTCCTTTTAGATGAAAAAAATGGAAGTTACAGCATGCTCTACTTGACAAGATAGTCTACACAATATTCTCCTGTGACCTGTCAGTCCTCTTTCTAGGCTTTAACTTAGAAGAAAAAAAAGTTTTCCCAGAGACTGGCGTTTGCTGAAATCCTTAAATGAAAGTGGATGATAAGAAAGATCCTGGTTTGTGGTGCTTTTTATGTGGTTCCATTCATTCCCCAGTGTCAGGGCAGCAAAGGTTACATCAGCAGGACTAGCAGTAATCATCCTTGTTTTGTAGTTTCCGTTCAAAAGGCTCCGGGGAGTCGCATCACAGGCATTTGTCTTGCGTCCTCTTCCCCACCTGCACAGGAGCTTCTGCTTCCTGCTCATGTTTATTCAGCCGCGCTTACACAAGCGAACACCGCAGCTGATGACAGACATAAAAAACAGTCTCAGGAGAAAGCCTGCTCGACTTGAGGTTATGTTTTTAGCACAGCTGAGGTCAAAAATGTTCCACGCTGGCTGATCAACAAACCGGATTTGTTGTTTCCAACTGCAGTCAGCAAAGACGGCCACAAGATGTCACTGTTTCAGTGCTCTAGGTCATCATTAATTCAGCTGATTTAGAGTATTTTTTAATCAAACATCAACCTGCCTATAGTAAGTGTACCCATTATTTTAACACATTAGAATAAATAAACATATAGCAGTCAGTATGAGACCTTTTCCCTTCGACTGTTTATGCTTTTTTTGATTAAATCTTTCCTGGTTTGATGTGAGCTGTGGGTTCATCCAGGCTGACTGCAGAGGCTGTCACACCACCCACATTTATTCAAACACACATTATGCACAGATCTGCGGCTCTACTCTGTTTTTGTGAATATTGTTTTTCTTTGTTTCGTGTGAAAGCAGGAGCTGTAAAAAGAAAGCTCAGTTTAGTGCTTAGTCTAACACACTCCACCAGGAGGCTGCAGGCACCAGGGACAGGTGAGAAAAAACTCTCGCAAAGGTGATGATTGGCCTCCTCCAAATGTTTGTGGTAGTTGTGGGAGCATCTCAGCAGGAAGCAGAAGAAGGGGAGAAGAAAAATAATGTGATTTTGCACCCTGTTTTTCCTCTAATGCAGCTTATAGCATGCAGACGCTTGTTTGTGTTCCTGGAGGGGCTCTCTGACAGCTTGTTCCCATTGATTCAGTTAAAGTTGTGTGTTTGTGAAGCCTCAAGGAAGCCAAACCACTTTCCTTAATTCGGACTTTGGAACACAGTTTAAGCCTGGAAACAATTCTACAGTCAGGAATGGAGCATATCTCAGAAGTCCAAGTTAATATCATTGTCCAAACTTTACAAACCATTTAACTTCTGAGTTCAGGGGAAGCTCCAGATGATCTTTGGTTCACTCAGCCTGAAATGACGTTCGTCTCAAGGCAATCCTTTGTGACTTTGCCAGACCGCAAAGAGAAAAAGCAAAAACCTTGCCAGACATGAGGAGTATTTTTCTGGCACAGAAAGTCAGAGGCTTGAGCTCCCGTTAACGTCTGCCTGTTTTTCAAAATCTTTCAGGGCTGAATCGAAGAAAAAACAAACTATAATTTTTTTTCATTGTTTTTGGCTCGGGGTTTTGTGTTTTCTATTAAGTTTGTCAGCAGTGAGGCAAGATGTGGGGGGCCAGCCAGCCCACAGCTTGCCCAAGGAACATCACCAATGCCAAATTTGTTTGTAAATTGAAATTTGTATCATTAAATTAGAAGAGAGAAAATAATTGAGCGTAACAGTTCTTTTATTTTGGTTAAACTGAGGTCTAGCCCTGCATAAGAAATGAGTCATGTTTACCTCAGGGCTTTGCTTGTGTTGTCATAAACAGGAGAGAGGAGGGAGTAGCTTTGAAAGGGAGATTTTATTTATTCTTTGTTGCGTTTAGTCTTCATGTAGTTTAATGTGCAGGTTAATGAGTAGGGTTGTGTGGGAATCACCTGTGGCCCCACGATACAATATTATCACGATACTTGAGCCACGATATAATATTATCACGATACTTTAACCACAATACAATATTATCACGATACTTGAACCACAATACAATATTATCACGATACTTGAGCCACAATACAATATTATCACGATACTTGAACCACAATACAATATTATCACGATACTTGAGCCACAATACAATATTATCACGATACTTGAACCACAATACAATATTATCACGATACTTGAACCACAATACAATATTATCACGATACTTGAGCCACGATATGATATTATCACGATACTTGAGCCACAATACAATATTATCACGATACTTGAGCCACAATATGATATTATCGCAATACTTGAGCCACGATATGATATTGTCACGATACTTGGGCCACAATATGAAATTATCACAATACTTGATCCACGATACAATATTATTGCAATTTTTTACATTTTGCAACACGGTGAGTATTGTGATACAATATATTGCAATTTATGCCATTTTTTCAACTGTTTAGTTAATTTAGCATTCGGCTTTCGTTTATGTTTGTCTTATTTCCACAGTACTTTATTTTCATGTAGCACATCTTGCAAACCTCATATATATTTGTTGTACTAACTTTCTCCTGCTCTATGATGTCACCTTACTAGACAAACAGTTGATTTTATTTTTCCATCATATAGATTTGACTTCATATTAGCAATTCATTTGAAAAATCGATACTTGGTAAATGAGACGATACGATATATCATCAGACAAAATATCGCAATACTATGCTGTATCGACTTTTTTCTCCCACCCCTTTTAATAATCTATATCACTAATCTTTTAATTGCTTGTTTGGTTCAGTCCAGTTTTGGCCATCACAAACCAGTCACCTTTCTTCCTGTAAAGATTTATCATTTTGAGGTCTTTTAAAACTCAAATTCTTGTAACGATCACTGAAAACTCGAGCCTGGCAGTCTTTGAACATATCATGGTGCAATGAGAGGGGCCAATTCTGCCCCCAAATGAATGCTCTCTGTGTAATTTCAGTACATGAATCAGCGAACGTCACCGCGGTGCCTCTTGTTCTGCAGTACAGTCTGTGCTGCGTTTAACCCCTCGCCTGTGCTTTGTGAATTCAACAGTGACTTGCCTCATTTGCACAGATTTAGCATGCACAAAAGCCACTCCATGTTTTTGCCAATCAAGTCCTCAGTATTTAATAGACTCACATCAAAGCTGACAACCAGCAATTTGTCTTCTTGTATTTGAGAGAAATCAGCCAGTCGGGTCAAGCAACCAAAACCATACTGTGTCACCACTTTTACACTGGAGTTGCAGCTGTGTTTTCATGTGAATATAATGCGACTTAAAAGTTGCTCTGCATAGACTGAAGTATTTTTCTAAAAGTCAAAGTTTCAAAGTTTGACTCCTGTTTTTTATGGTGATTTTTAACTGAAGCTTTCATACTTTGATTTTTCATCTCTTTCAGCCCCTCCCTGCTTTGATTTCGGCCTACCTGGTGTTCTGGGCATCGCATTTGGAGGCTTCCTGATTGGAGTTTTACTTATTGGAGCGCTGTGGTTCATCAAAATTAAAACAGGTGATGACACGGCTGATATCAGAATTTCTAATCGAAGAGATGTTTGTTTGGATTTTAAAATATCCCATTCTGCCTTACTCAGGGTACCCAACTGGACTGGACATAAGCTCAACTGCAGCAAATCTTCCTGGTATGGAAATTTGGCTCTTATTTTTCCTTGAATTATTGTTCTTTGTTTCTTCTTCTCAGGTTCTTATTGGCTTCTCTCTCCTCTCTCTCCAGGATGTCCCTGCTCAGGCGCAAAACGACAGCCTGTCTCGACCAACCCTTCCCCCTCTGAGAACAGCAGCGCTAACGCCAGCATTGGAAGCACCCAGAGCACGCCGACCAGCAGCATGGCATGAGATGATGATAACCTCCACCACCAGCAGGGCCACCATCTCCCTTTAAAGTCACCTATAAGGGTTTTGTGCTTTTATTTTCTTAAATGATGCTTGAGAAAAGCATTCCTCCCCCTCTCAGCCCCTCTCAAATTCACGTTAAAAAGCACAACCGACGTCTTTGACATGCAATTACATGTGATCTGGGAGTATGTGGTGGTGTAAGGAGAGGGGGGGCGTTGGGTGACAGATAACAGAAGTCTGATCAATGGCTTCTAACGCTCACCTCCCCTGCCTCTCTGTAAAATCAAGCTCCTACACAGGAAGTTAAAGAGGGCAAGCGAAAAAAAAATAAATTGGCTCCCAAGCAACAGGAAAAACAAACCATATCCCCCCAAGAGCTAACAGGAAATTCACTACATTCCTTTCAATGAATTGTGCCTGTGTGATGGCAGCACAATAATAGTCAGACAGGAGACAAACTAGTCAAAAGACCTGCTTTGAAAAACAGATGAAAAGCTGTTTTGCATTCACATCTAAGCTACAAAAATACGATGGGCTTTTGGCAAGGTCAGTCCAAAAAGTTATCAGCCATGTTTCGGGGACTGCAAAGCTCAAACCAGATGCTCACTTCAAGGGGTATTTGTTCAAATTGGAGCTTGAAGTCAACGGTTAACAGCTACCTCCTATTATTTCGAGTTCTGGGGCTAAGGTTATAGTTAGCACTAGATTTCTCTGGTGAAGTGATCCTTTTCTCTACCTTATAGTTGGATCTTATTGCTGACCCGCTGGGTCATTTGTAGCACTTACAACAAAGTTATGGTGCCGCTTTTATGCTATATAATAGCTTCATCAAGGCATTACGTCATAGTATTTTTTCTCCTTTATTGTTTCAAGACTCAGAAATATTTGTTTGATCTCACGTATATCTCAACAAAACACATCCTGACATAATTCAACTCTCAGAGGTATCCTTTAAATATAAACCACAAGAGTTTTATGCTTGTAAAATAAGAAATAGTCTTAGTTTGGAGCTTAGTCCTGAGCCCAGAGTGAGCACCAGAACTCTGCACATCAGTTTTCAGACCTGAGTCTGTCTAAATGGGAAATGCCACTCATACAGCTGCACCCACAGGGTGGAGTGTCCCCAGATTAATCTGTCCAGAGGTGAAACACAAGTGCTTCCCCTTTTACACAATCTTAACCCAATGTCTTATACAAGTCCTCTGACTAGAATTTTTACCACGAAGTCAGTGACCGTGGTAACAGACCTGTGTCCATTCATGAAGAAAACAGGATAACATTGATATCCATGTGTCTTCCGGCCGGTATTATCACTATCCTGTGAATCTGAATGCTGCTTTTTAAGGTGCCTACATCATAATTCTTCCTTATTTGAAGATGAAGTCGCCAGCCGCTGATGTTTTGCTCTGTTTTTAATTGGAGATGAATGCAGCAGTGGGGAAATAATTAGATCTGTACCTGATGTTGTGGATCACTAGCGCATTCACAGCTTTCACTTTGTCAAAGAAGTAATCCTTGATCCCTGCTACACACTGATGAGTTGCTACCTCGATGTGACCGAGCTTCTCGAAACTTTTTTTTTTTTTTTTTCCTCGGGGGGGACTTTAGGTACAAACAACAGCCTGAAATATTCCACATCGAAATTCACATTTAATTAGTAGTAAGTGTCACGCAGAAAGAAATGAAATCTGTGAGATTGAAGGCAAATGTTTGTTTTAAACAAATGGGCCAGAAAACCCGATTTTCCAGTTGAAAACTGGCAAACTCTTATGTTTGGACTGTAAATAGGTAATCATGATATATCTATATACCTGACCCTCTTTTGTTTGACTTGTTGTAAACATCACTTTCTCTGCATGCAGTTTAATTGGACTCTAAAGGATAACCACTTGTACAACTCACCATATTCACATTACAGTCTTAGATTGGGCAGAAAGCTCAAATGCTGTTATTCAGCTCTCAAACTGTTATCTCAAGTTAAAACACACTAGTAACTATAGGGCAGAAGTTAAAGATAGCAACCACTGACTACTGAGCCTGAGTTACTTTATGATAGTGATACACAAGAGGTGGAAATCTCTTATATACATTACTGTTAGCAAATCCGCTAACTAACAAGGTCATCTGGTTTGATATTCCAGCTTGTCAAAAAAGCTAATCTTAAAAATGTTCAGCCAGTGGAAACTGAAAGGATCATGTTTTCTTTTTGTGTCATTTAACACTAACTTAGATATGAGCCAGGGTGTGCTAACATTAGCTGCTGTCCAGTAGGACTTGATGGGTGTTGAAATAAGTTCGGACCTGTTACAGCCTGACTGACTCATCTTTTTTTAGTGACTGATCAGTCAAAAATACAATAATACATCTTCCAACCCTGACCTGTTTGTAATATCAGAGGAAAATGGCCTCAAAGTCGACACGATCAAATAGTATAACGACGGTTTGTGCTTGTAAAAGCTAAAAACACAGGTCAATCAGTTGTGCTGAGGTCTGAAAACTTTCCCTTGAACTTTTTTTTTTCCAGCTCTCTTCATTTACCTTCCAAAGCGGAAACTCTCACTTACACAAACTAACTTTCTCTCAAACTGCTTAACTATGCTCATGCTCGACAGAACCTGCAGAACTGCGAATCACTACTATAGAGTGGCGGTTGATCCGTGAATGAATGTTTTCGATAAGTGTATTTTATATACCATCCTACCACTCTCTTTACCTCTTTAAATTAAGTCCCATCACACACCCGTCTTGTTTTTAGTTTGTATCCACAGTGCATAACCTCCCTATACACTGCATACTGATTACCTTTGACTTGCTTATATAATCACGCTGACAATAGTTGCTCCTTTTTGATCAAAACTGCAAAGATGACTTACTCACCTCCAAAACTTCATGCATAATTCTCTCTCCAAAGAAATTTGTATCAAGTGTTTTAAAAAAAAATACACATTGCCACTTGAGTATTTGTGCAATATGATGAGATAAACTTGTATTTAATGTCTATATTATTTTTTTTAACGTGTTTTTTCTTTTTTTTTTGTAAGTGATGTATGATATTCTTACTCAGAACTGTTTTCTTAACTCGCTTTGGTCTATTTTATGTATTCAGAGAACTGGGACAATTCTTATCAAGGCACTTATATAAATAAATCAATAAAGAAATCAGATTTGTATCTGTACAGAAATCTTTGTTTTTTATTCCCGTATGCAGATTTGGGCTCAGGTTGTAGTGTGGTCACAGTCGGTGCGTGACACATCACATGTCAAACACGGCGGCAGTTTGTTAGTTTTTCCCTGTTTGACATTTGCTGTGAGATTCCACTGCTGTCCAAAAACACGGCATATCTCTGCTGATGCTGACATCCTGACATTGTATTGTCTAAATGTCTCGCCGCGGTGAAGCCTCCCAGCAAAACATTCAACACTCACGAACCTGATGTTCTCAGGAAACATTCACACTTAAAAAAATAAAATAAAAAAATGTGGCGGTCGGTGAAAACTTTTTCTTTATTCATTTAAATTTAGAAAGTGGCTGCAATGTTTGACTTTATCTGGTTTTCAAATGTCAGCTCTTCTGTACCCGTGTTAAACCAGCTCTGGTGGGTGCCTGTTTCTGTCTGAGCACTGACAGTATAATCAGACAGGCTGTCAGTTAATTCACTTGTTAACCTGTGGAGCCCTTCGTTACCTTTGGCAACACCTTTTCCTCTTTCTCAGACACATTTAATGATGTATAGGAGCGTCTGCGTGTGTGTGTGTGTGAGTGCGAGCATAAATACATTAAATGTACAGAATGTGTGTGCACTTGCCTTTCTGAAGAACCAGAAACCAGACCTGCAATTACGTGTTATTTCCTGTGGTCCTTTAATAGTGTTCGATTCTGAATTCTTTACCAACATCTGTAACCTTGACAACATGTCAAAATATGTGCTTTGATTTTATTCACGATGAAATGCAGTTCACCATATCCACACGGCAGCAATTATCCACTGACGCACTCACAGCCTCTGTTAATGTTGTGCTGCTCTGTTCCAGATTTGCAAACAGTGAACTGAGATGATCTGCCAAATTATAACCTCAAAGCTTCCAGGTAAATAAGCAACTGAGGAAAACATGTATATTAAGAATGTGAAGAGTATTTGAGGTTAATGCAACATAATAACCCACAAGTGACATTTTTAAGCAATTTGCTTTGACACATAATCCATTTCTAGGCAACTGTCCTGTCATTTAAATACCAGAAATATTATAAATGATATGTTGGATAACCTTCTAACTTCATTTCAACAGCAGTTACTTTTAACATCCAAATGTCATATCCACAGACTGTGAAGTCTACGGCCTTAGCCACTTGTGCCATCATTAAAAAAGACCTACTAGCAATGGCAGGATAATAGAATCCAATAAAATGTGAGCTACAGTTCGACATACTTAAAGCTGCTATGAGAAGACTTTGTGTTTATGAAGTAGACTGAATATGAAATCGACTTTATCTTGGCATTTTTTCTCTTTCTTCCTCTTTCTTTTCTCTGCTTCTGAATGATATGTCCTTTTTTGCGACATTTTTTTGCCCCAGTACTAACTGCGCTCTGGATGCACAGTGCACATTGCACAGCAAAAGGCACATAACGGAAGCGGAGCTTTGATATATATCGGTAGTAGGAATCATAGGCCTACATCAGCAGCAGCACTGAAATGTTTTTACTTTATTTTATTTAATTTTACAATAATATATATTTGATTATACAGAAAGCATCACTCATAAATGCAAAAAATTAAAAATATAAAAAAAATTTTGATTGCTCTTGGGGGCCCCCTATTGGCTGCGGGGCCTTAAGCAGTTTAGTTTGCTTTTGCCTTGGGCCGGCTCTGCTTAAAACCAGTATGAGGGGGTAGGTATTGTCAGAGCAGCTGAAGCAAAAAGGTTTTATTTTTGCAGTTTGCATGACAAATATTTACAAATTTTCGATTTTTTATTTTTTTTGGTAAAATGACAACACTAAGCAAAATTGACCCAACACAAAAGTTCCTCACAGGAGCTTTAATGACACCACTGAACTTATTACATTTAACATTGCTGTTCCTGGATACCACAAGAATAATACAAATTTGTAACTGATCGCAAGGTGAGCTAGACGACAGTCCATGCTAACCGATTTCTGATGTGTTGTGGATTAAAGTACGTTATGGGATTTTTTTTACAATGTGATAGCAGCAGAAAGCTTCAAGCTCGCAAAAGTATTAGCGTAATGTTATCACCGTTGGCTATGGATTTATACTCCTCAAATACTTGGACTTAAACCAACCATGTCAATGATGGCTGCTGTCTAGCTGTTGCTAATGAGCCGTCGAGATTTGCCGTTTTAAAGCTCCTGTCACAAACTTTCAGTTTGCATCAGTTTTAGTGTTCCTTGTGGACAAATCAATCTTTGATTATCTTGTCAGCTACTCGCTTGAGAAATGTCTTCCAACTTTTGACACTTCAATATGTCACTTTTTGTGAATATTTGATGTTGAAAATGTAAAAATGAGACTTTTTCTGCTGCAGCTTCACTGACACCTATCTCCTCTCACTAGATTAAGGTATAAAGGTATAAAATGTTTTAAAAATGATCAGTTTTGTTTCTAATGTTCCTGTTTGCTTTTGTACACCATAAAAAAGCACATTTAAAATGTTCCAGTCCATTTCATAAATGTCAAAAATCTCCTGACAGGAGCTTTAAAATTTCACCTGCAGTCTCTCTGGATTTTCATCATCATGATGTTTTGAGTCACTAATTAACTGGTAGGCAGTGGAATGATTAATTTCCTTTAATTAATCATAGTTATGTAACCTTCAACAAAGCATGACCTTTTGATAGATTTCTAACTACCTACCCTCCGCCCAGCATCAGTGGAAAAGAGTCAGGATGTGAATATGGTAAATTTGATTCTTTTGATACAGTGGGCAGACTTTAAACACGTAGACAGGGTCTATTTGGTAAAACAGTCCTCAACTGTGGTCATTTATGTTGTCTTGGAAGAGCTATGTCTGTGTAAAATCATCTTAATAAAGTCAATATAGAAAAAGTTCTTTCTTCTTTTGCTTATTACAGCCTTGTGACATTTCAGTCTGGGACACTAAGCCAGATGTAATATCGGACAAATTCCCAGGATACTTACGGATGTCCTGTAGGTCAAGAAACATCATGGTAAAATAATAACAAAAAAAAACTTTGGTAGCACACTGTTACAAGGTAGATAGACAGGTCTAACAATCCAACATTATTTTCCACTTGAAAGAAAAAAAGACAGTTTAACAGTTCAATGTCTAAATCACTCACAGAGAGTTCATTTGTTTACCTTTTTTTATTCTTTACAGTTTTGAGTTGTTTTCCAATTTAATTAGAGGTGGAAAGAATCTGTAGTAACCTCTCCAATACATTTCTGCTATCTGCTCTGCTACTTGAAATCCTATTTATGCTTTTCAAGTACAAGCATAAGTACCATAGTCTATTGAAAATTAATAGTAATGTACTTGTCGTACATAAAAATGCCCCTAGTCTTTCTATACTTTTATGTACATATATTAATATCAGATTGATATGAATCCACTTTAACGGTTTGGCAGCATTTCCATTGGGAGCTAATTTTAAACTCAAGCGTTATCTGCATAGTAACTGACTGCTGCTAATAAATGGGTATCATAACAAAACTTTGGCCTGAGGTGAGACAGAAAAAAGTGGCATTAAGTAGAAACTTCCACTAAAGCAGATGCCACTCAAAATAGTAGTTGAGTAAACAGAGTGGAAATAGGTTTTTGAATACCAATAAGTTCTTCCCCCAAATTAATGAAAACTACCTGTACGAAAGCCTGAAGCAATGTTTATTTAAACCACAAAATATGGGAATATCTTTCTTTATGTTTTATTACTTTTATCAGACTCAGCAGACTTTGACTCGTAAATGACCTGAAAAACAATGAGCCAAAGAAAAACTAAAGACATCCTACCATAATGGTGTTATGAGTCGCACACAACCTTTATTGTGTGGTGAAATGATGAAAATAATGGTGTTTTCTTCTATCTGTGGCCTTTTCTGCCGTTTCACATCTTCCTTTCTATGTACAGATTCAATCGTGTTTTCAGGACTGGAGCCAAGGCACACAATACATGTTTATGGACTACCATCATTTCCAAATATGACCGTGGAGCTTTGTGGCCTTGCACAAGATCCATTATGTGACGTCTGTATTTGTGTGTGCGTGTGTGTGTGTGCCTCTGTGTGTGTGCTATCTTACTCGCCTCTTTAGGTTGTTTTACTCTCAGGACAAATCTGTTCCTTTCTAAAGGAAAAAAAATTCCTGCTGAAATGTTTTTGTTATCTGTGCATAAAACATGCAACAACAACCGGGGGGCGAAGCCAGCTTGGTTCTATAGAGATGGAGGTGTGAGCTGGTTAAAGAGGCCATTTCTTCTTTTCTCTTGACAGCGTCATGCTGTCTTTGTGTTTATGAATACAGAAAAAGACTTGAGCGCTGTGTGGATCTGTACGCTCCAAGGATATTTCCTCTGTCATTGTAAATTTAATGTTGGAGACATACAGTATCTCCAGGACAAAGATGAAGAAAAAGTACTCTATAATTGTTGCCAAGGGTTTTCACACTAGAACGTCAGGTTTGGTTGTCAAGCTCTCAAGGTCAAGAAAGCATATTGTTGAGTTAACTATAGTGGGTTTTTATAAGTAGTGTACCATTGACTGATTGTTAAAGATGTTGCTTGTTATCACCTTGTGCTGTCAGTTGTATCCAGGAACTGAGATCAATAAAAGCACCAGTGAAATAAAATCTTAATATGTCATTGTTTTCTGGGAGGTGTCTGAAGCTTTATAGTCAATCACTTTTTTTCATTGTTTATTTAAAAGACTGTTCTGCCTGTTATAGTATGGAAACTGAGGAAAGCTTTGTTTTTTATATGTCTTATACCATAGACTTCTTTTCTTGTTGTGTTTTAAAAAACAGACAAAATGACAAAAATATCCCTGAAGGATCTTTTTTGCTGATCATACATCAGGTATGACCCCTCTGCACCCCCCAAGGCTAGCAAATGTGCATATTTCAACAGCAAAGACTTAAAAAAGAAAAAAAAAACAGGGATGTGGTCTCTGTGATCACGCCTTCTGGAGATGGAGATGTGTTCAGATGTCCATCAGTGGTGGTCGCCATATCGGAAATGTTGACCATGGACTGTATATAGAATAGACAGAGTCTGCCTCCTCGCTGGGTGAAGCCACTCCACGAACAGCACCCTCTGGTGACGGGCTGCAGTATAGGTCATAAATCCCACCTCCGCCAGAAAAGCTTATGGAGCTGTGGACAAACTTTAGAAATTTATTACACAGAACATACATTTTTCTCCCTCCTGCTTGCGATGTTTACATGTAGCTATTTTAAGGCGGAACCAAGTTGTCCATAGTATATACAGTCTATGATGTTGACTCACAAAACCCAATATGGTTCACCCAGAAGAGGAAGGGGTTGAGTTGGGCCTTAAAACTATGCAAATGTACAACTCTTTAATATCCCACCAACTGTATACACATGAAAAAGTCAGTGCTGTGATTGTTTTTTCCTTGTTTTATTCTCTGTGTTCCTGTCCTCTGTGTTTATTGGTGTTCATTTAATTTCATCATTCCTGTTCGATGTTTCCTTGTTCCTGTTTTTTCTTGTTTCATTTTGTATTCAATTCAACTCAATTCAACTTTATTTATAAAGCGCATTTCATACACAGGGCAGACTTGATGTGCTTCACAACAGGTATACATAGTTAAAAAAAACAGTCATACAAAAATCTGTTAGAAATCAATTTAAGAGTGTAAGTGCAAGTAAAGTAAAGTAAAGCAAGTAAAGTAAGTGCATGCACACTTAAACTCGTATATGCGCACGCCCTCACACATGGACACATGCACACACATACATACACATACACACAGTTCAACAGAATGCTATAGAAAAAAAGATCTGTTTTTAAAGATGGCCACTGATGTGGAATGTCTAACTGTGTCAGGCAGGGTGTTTCATTTTTGTGGGGGGCATAAACACTAAAAGCTGCCTCCCTTTCTTTGGATCTGGTGTGAGGGATGAGTAAGTTGCCACTGCCTGTTGACCGAAGTGTTCTTGCCGGGGTGCAGGTGATGAGCATATCTGTGATGTACTGAGCTGCAAGGCCATGTAGTCCTTTGTAAACCGGGAGAAGTATTTTGAAATCGATTCTTGTTCTAAAGGGTAACCAATGTAAAGATTCGAGAACGTGTGTGATGTGTTGATATTTTTTGATACTAGTGATAATACATGCAGCTGCATTTTGAATTAATTGTAACCTCTGAATACTTGATTTTTGTTTTCCTCGTCACACTCCCTTGATTTTCTGTTCTATTTTGATTCGTCATCAGTTTCACCCGTGTCTTGTTTGTCTCATCTGTTTCCCTGTGAGTATATAGTTGTAAGTCTTTCCTTCCTTCTGTATTGGTTCACTGGTTCAGTCATTTTCAGACTCTTTTTAACTTACAAAACCTTTATTTTTAAATCTGCATTTGGGTCCTTTTTGTTTCCTGTTTTTTTGGTTGAATCAAAATCCATGACAGTTAGCCGTATCAATTAAGACCAAGCTCACTATTGTACCTTGTGCAGACAATTTTTTTGGATTATGCAGATAAGGGCCCATTTAAATAAATGGAAAATAAAAGATTTTTTAAAGATTTTTTTTAGTTTAACCATAAACAATTAAGCTTTTAAAATGTACTAAAAACAAATGTCAGAGGAAATAAATGAAATGTATAAATATGTGTGAGGGAGAAATGTGAGTCGAAAAACTCTAAATATATTCCAGTCAAGTTTGACTCTGACACTAATATTTTTCCATGCACTCTAGGTCAAGTGTTTTACAGTATGTCCCTGAGCAGAGTATGTGCGCTCCACAAACTGTCCAATGAAATCAAAAAGACAAACCATCCCGGTATAGCTCTCATAATGGTGCTAGGTTTGCTAGTAGCACTGCATAATGGGTGGCTGCAGGGAAATGTCCCATTACATTTAATTACTCTGATAAATGGATTGCCACTGACCACCACCAGATGGTGCCATAATTAGTATTTTCTTTGAATGCACTGATTGTCTTGCCTGTGAACATAAGAAGACAATGAGCCTCATTGTAGAGCCAAGTACCAAGCACATTTGCTGGGAAATGATTGAATAGAGTCAGTAATGTAATAATGAAAAAATGGAGTGTAAACACGCTGGAATTTGACTCTATGCTTCACTCTTGAGAGAGTGTGGTTTTAACAGATCTTCTCATAAAACTGTGCAGCTTACATCTGAGTTTGACAATAAATCACATTTCATATATTGTCTTTTTTTCCACATCAGTGAGTCGCTATATTTGAGAACCTCACCTAGACTCAGGTTAACAAATCTGTGACTGATCCTGACATGAAGCCTATAAAGCCTGGGGGCATGATGAATCCAGGAAGATACATGTGAGAATAACAGAAGCTGCTCCGAGTAAAGCCGCCTCTGCCTCAGACTTTCACACCCTGCGGCGCTGTGCTGCACACAAGGTTGTTTACACACTCCCTGACTGTGTACGGGGGCTCAGCCCTCTCTCCCCATCTCTCACATTCACTCTCTCGCACAAGCACCCATATACTACCGTACACCATGCTAATAACCACAGCCTGGACTTGGGTAAGCCTCAAACTTATAGGCAGTGCTGTGTGCTCAAAGCAAATCCTGTCATTCCTTCAACATTGCAGACCCCCTCTGTGGCTGACGTGTGGCTCAAACACCTCAGAGGTGATATAACATAGCTTTGTCATCTTTAATGTTTGCGCTGCCAACTCTACTACATGTATACACAACTGAATATGTATCATACCATGCAACTCTCTCATTAATGAAATATTTCCTATCAATAAAACACTCATGCTGGATATAAAGCAGTGACACAGTAACATATTCATGACATAAGAGCTACTTGTGATCACCTATTTATAAAACAGACATTAATATAACACTTGGACCATAATTTCAGATGTTCTAGCCCACTGTCACTCAAACAGGCGAGGGACAGCTACCTTGAAATCCTGTGACTCCTAAATGAAGCTGTTAAATAACATTATCTTAAAACTGACCTATAAATACACTTGTTTTAAAAGCATGAACGGCCATGAAGCATTTCCAACAACATAAGATAATATAGCTAACAATGTTTGTATGAGGAAAATAACTCAGGATTTTGAAAAAAAAAAATTGTCTGCTCTAGAGTCATAAATTTGAGATATAAGGTTGCAACATTACAAGAATAAAGTGAGAAATTTGCATGAATAAAGTCGTAGTTTAATGAGGAGAAACTAGTCAGTGGTCAGCCGTTGTATAATTTCAAGGAGGAAGATCAAAAGAGAGCGAGCGGCCTTCCCCAAAACAACGAATGTGGACCAAAACTTTTAAGTATTAAGTTATACTTTGTTGTAGATGTCATAAGTAACTTACAAATAACCATTTTAGCGCTGCAGCGCCATATTATCACAAGTAGAGTGTGCAAGAAAAAGGGTGGGCATGTAGGCCGCATTTGGATGCTTGTGTTACCATGTTGCTGATATTTATGCACTGATTACTACAGCCAATGGGCTCAGAACTTCTTTCTTACAAAATTAAACCTATGATCTAAGTGGATTACAGCTAAATTCTTGTACTTAACCTCTAAAGGTCCTTACACATTGGGGCCGACGCGAATATAGAACGCTAAATTACAAAATATTGTGAGGCGAATTCTGACGCGCCTGACTATACACATCAAGCCCAGTGTGATTTTGTGACTTTCCGGGGAAAAAAGACGCGTCCCGGCTGTAAGCCAGAAGACTGACACAACAGCAGACTGACTGTTTCTCAGTTCTGATTAGACACTAGTGTTGAGATGACTGTCTGTCATGATAGCATGTACTGATTCAGGGCTAGTACCAGATAAGCATAAACGTAAGGTAACAACCGAGACCTAATGGTGCTGTGACAGCAAGGCGATTGAGTGTGAGACAGTGAAAATACATATAGTATGTTTTAACTGAACAGGTTAGCTTATGAGCTAAAGTTACTTAGCACAGATGAAAGTTAAAACAAAGACATTTAGCAAACTGTTAAAGCACACAAACCATCGTCATATGAGAAATCCGACGCTATGACTCTCCACAAGTTGTCCTTCAGGTTGTTAGCTTTGTAATGTTTGTGTCTTTTATCAAAAAGCACTCTGTTCTTTGACACGTAAACAATCAGCCGGTCGGCCATGTTGGATATACCGGTGAATCAGATGTCGCAACAACACGCAATCCGATTGGTCAGAAGTGGACACACAGTTTGCGAAACTTTAGAAAAATCGACTGTGATCCGAAAAAATAAATGCGCAGTATTGAGGATATGCAATATTGCAGGACGGTAAAACGTCGCTGATGTGAACGCTTGTATTGACAGGATACGGGTTCGAAAAAAGATATAGACGTCTGAAATAATCGCACGACAAAAACAGTTCCGGTGTGAAAGGACCTTTAATCTAGCTTCTTTGTTATTTTTGATTTATTTTTGAAATCTTAACTTCTTCACCCTCAATGTGGCCAAAATCCTTTGTCATGCATGTAGTAGCAGCCTTCAAATAAATCACAAGTGGATTAGTCAAATCAAAGGGTAAGCGGTGGCACCTATTCTGAAAACTTGCTAAAAAATCTGTTGATTGTTAAAAATTGTAAACCCTCTGCCCAGAGACATCGAGGGGGTTATTTGATGGGATACAAGACTTTAAAAAGTTTATGAAACCCTTTTCTGAGACCAAGAAAGGTGGTAGTTTTCCTCCTGTTTCTTTTTTTGTGATTTGGAGCTCACCTCGCCTCCATTGACAATAATAGTCTGTTCACAAGATGTGAATCCAGAAAGAAACTACTTCCTAACTCATGTTTCTGTCTATGACAGGTGTTTGTCTGATGTTTTTGTGTTTGTAGACCTCCAAAATCACCCTGTTCGTGCTGCCTTGCTTTTATATGATGTATAATTTCTCAACCAAAAAGCCAGTCAACACGTCAGTCTATCCTTTCAGCCATTTTCGGATCCAGTATTGATCCCACACCAACTGAGAGAGAAATAAACCCTCCAGCATGTCCCCAGACTTCCCCATGGTCTCCTTACTTGTACTAAGAACACCTTAAAGGGTACCACCCAGGGGGATCCCCCACCAGATGCTCGCCTGCTTCAAGAAGATGGTAGTGGATAAAAGGTCCCAGTCCCACTAGAGCAGTTTTACCTCTGTGGATTCCTCCCCGTCTGTCTGCTCATCTGAAATCACCAGCTTGTCAGGGCTGCTCCAAGCTCATATTTGAAGTCATCCTTTCCAAATGATATACCCAAAAGTGGTAGGCTAAGTGAAGCAGAGCATTTTTTAACTGCCATAATAAGTCAGTCTGACGCTCCGGTAGACTTCTTCATGTGACAGAGCGAAGGCATGACTGCTAAATGTACTGATTGAGTCAATATAGTCGCGGGATTAAGAACAGCTCTGCTATTTATTCAGGGAAGGACCAGCAAATTATTTTTGTTCAGAGGAGGAAGGTATCACTGCTGAAGCTCTTCAACAGGTTCATCATATAAAAAATAAATGAAAGGAGCTGTTTCACCTCCGTGCCTCGTGTCTGGATATCAACAGAGTTGCTTTGTATAAGCTTAAATTACAGAATGAAAATGTTCAAGCTGGTTAAAAAACAGAGTAAATCCCCAATTTTGCTCCACATGATCACAGATTTAAACATAAACAGAGTTAAACAGGTTATTACAGCCTGGTGAGAAATGCAGTTTGGGTTTTTCAGTCACTTTCAGTTGAATTCCTGACAAGTGTACAAAAAATTATATTTTAATAGCCTAAAATACAATGACTAACATTTCCATTTGCTCGCCAATACCATAGTCATGATAACTCGGGTGACCATATTCTGACTTCCCATAAAGAGGACACAACTACGCAGGGGCGGAGTCCCGGAGTCCCGGAGTCGCACAAAGTTAATTTTGAGAGTTTTTGGTTCGGATTGACTGTCTTTTATGCGCTTCTAACTCAGTAAGTCCATGTGACACAAAATCGAAACTCTTGTACAAAACCGCTGACATTTGAGGATTTTATAGACTTCCCCGGACAAAGCCAGACAAGCCCGGACAGCCCCCCAAAAAGAGGACATGTCTGGGTAAAAGAGGACGTATGGTCACCCTATGATAACGACATAGTTGTTAGTGATGGGCACGGCAGTTCTTTTAGATGTACTGAATCACTAGAATTAGTTCACTAAAAAGATTCGTTCAAAAGATTTGTTCATCGAATCACCGAATCATTCAGTGCTTGAGGAGCCTGTGACTCTGACCTCCTGAAATGATTCACAGCTGAACAGTTCAGGATTCAGTTGAGGAGTCAGTTCAGTTCATAGCTTCAGGGACCGGGAGACGAGAGTGTTTGGCTGTGTTACTTTGGCAAACAGGTTTGTAAAAATGAACTTGTTTATAAGTCATGATGTTTTAAGTGTACTGTCCTATGGTATTCGATTTATCAGGTCTCAGTAAGTGATTCGTTCACTGACGTTTTGGAGGAATTCACACTGAACATGCACCGTTCCTGTGCAAACCGCTGCAATGATAGGATGCTGCAGGTTTTATGCATTACTTGTTACATGCTGTGTCCTATTGTATGCAAGCTGTTTTGGTGCAATTTAGCATTAAAACTTTTAAAAAATTAGTCTTGTCCTACAAAAATGATTCCAGAGAGTGTAGTTCAATGTGTGATTCGTTTACCAAGTGATTCAGGTGTCGGTGCATGCGGTTCCTCGTCCACCAGCTGCTTGCCTGGCAATGCTGCGTGCTACAGCATCTGCACTGCTGACAGCTCAACTGAAATGAGAAATGAACGAATCACTCGAGGAAGTGATTCGGTTCAGTACGTTCACTTAAAAGATTCAGTTCTTTTGAACGAATCGTTCGCGAACGACTCAACACTAGTAGTTGTCCCAATCTGTAGCTCTTTTTCAGTGTCCCCTTTCTTGTATTAAATGGTTACTTATGGCTCGAGAAAAGGTGCACACAATGGCGGACAAATTCTGAGGTTAGGGCTCAAAAAACAGCAGGACATATTTCATGGTTGCACCCATATTGTTGGCTGCACTGTTGCACTGCACTACCAGAATAAGCAACAATAGCCCTTCTATTCCCCAGGTCCAACCCAACCCTTTGTTTGTGTCAGTATTCTGCAAGAGTAATGTTTTTCTCTTAAAAAAAAAGAATCGACTGTTGAAGTGAGACATAGGGTACTGAGCATTTTCTCCAAGAGCTTCTGAGCTTCTCGCCTGGTGATCAAGCTGATGTGTAATTGGCCGCAGCTAAATGCGTTACAGATATTGGGTTTTCTTTCTTTTCTGGGTTGGCTGTCTACTTAACTGCCACACCAGATTATAGTTCTTTCATTCAGTGTTTTCTCTGTGAGCTGCTCACGCTGGTCCCCGAGAGAGCACTTTTCATGCATGCTGCAGTAGCAGACCTACTAAGTGCACCGTACCGGAGATGTCTCTGCATGTCATGGGTGATATAATGTACCCAAATCCAGACAGGCACATTAGAAACAGGTGAATTGCGCCTGTGTTGTTGTGTTTTGAAAAGGTAGAAGGAGAATTTTTTCTACTGAGCTAATCTCTATCACTTTGGAGTATTTCCCATAAGCTTTAAAAAGTACCATGTGAGGAAATATGTACTCAAAAACCTGCAAAATTTTATCATCAGCTTTGAAGCTGACCCACATGATTGACTTTATCCAACCACAGTCACAGTATATTGTAAAAGAGAGAATGCATGAATTAAAATGAACCAAAGGTGAGACAATTAAACAAAATCTTAGACCCAACGTTTTTAATTCTTTAATACAAATTCAATAATATTATCATCATTTATTTGGGATCACCAGCTGGATGGAAATCAGCCTAGTTTTTTTTCAAAATTTCACAGCTTGGGTGAATATATTTTGTTTTCAACCAGCAGTGTTTGTCTCAGACTCAGATATGATAAAATTGTTTTCTCATTTATTTTACTCTCCATAGGTGACTTGATCAACATGGAGTAGTGGAGTAAATACATGCCGCCATGCTGATCGGTGTTTGATCTGATATAAACTGTGTGAAATCCTAAAGGTTTGATGTTTTCTTTGAACTTGCGAGGCAGTTTTTTATTTTTTTCATGTACACACTTTTTTTATCTTGCTTATTAAGACCAAGAAGCGTCACTGACCTTATCCTGCATCTCTGTTTTCTATGCTCATGACGTCGTTGAATCACTTCTCCGTCTCCCAAAAACTGAGCAAGTGTATTCTGCAGTGCAGGAAAAGCTTCAGATGGCTGCTGTTTAAAATTTTATTGATGAATTTTCCTCTCTGAAGGCAACTTTGCCACACAGTGGAATATATGGTAATGTATGGAAAGGAAAACACAAATGTAAATTAGTTTAAACAGTAAGTGTAGCTCCAGATAAAACCCTGACTGGCTGTAAAGACGAGTGTCTCCGTGCTCAGACTGCTGAGCACAGCTAGCCCCTTGTAAACAAAGCTTCTGCTATTTAGTTTCAGTTGGCTTAATTAGAATGAATGAGGGGGCCTTGTGCAAAGAGGACAGTTTTTTTGTGGGTGGAGGGAAAGAGGAATTGGCCATGGTGGATGGAAAGCTGGACTGAGAGATAAAGTTAGTAGCGGGTGGCACAGACCAATTGGACAATGACAGACAAAGCTTCTTGCCAAAAGCGCAATAGTAATGAATTTAGGGGAACGACATACATGTTAATGGGTGTTCAAATCAAATTAGTATGATTGTGTTCCTTGATTTATCAGTACTGGAAAGGGGGATGTGTGTGTGTGTTTAGACAAGGGTTTCACTTTTGCCGACAGTTGTTTTTATAAACTAATATACTTGTCATACAAAAACAAGTGGACCAAATTTTGGTAATATTCATTTGTTTTGTGATACTGATTACCTTTTAACACGAAAATAAATCAGTTCAGTGGAGTTTCAAGGCATACTTTTTTTCTTACACTGCAAAAACAGCCCCACTAGAAAGAAGCAAAAATATTCTTATATTCAATCAAACACTCAATCAACACAAAAATCTGCCAATGGGGTAAGCTTTTTCTGCTTGACAAGAATTAAAATAAGAACAAATTTCTTGGCCCTGACAGACTCAAATGAAACTTAAAACTAGACTGAAAATCTTATATTAATCTAATGTTTCTACAGCAAGCAATGAAAATGAAGATGAAGTTATTTAAAATTAGGATTTCAGTCTCTTGAATACATGAACGTCAAGAAAATACACCTTAAACTAGGATTATTAAAGAGCAGGACAGTAGTTCAAATAATCTATCTATCTATCTATCTATCTATCTATCTATCTATCTATCTATCTATCTATCTATCTATCTATCTATCCATCCATCCATCCATCCATCCATCCATCCATCCATCCATCTATCTGACTCAAATTAATGTCGTTGTTGCAAATTTTACTTTGAAAGTGTCTCATCAAATTTACGTGTAAGATTGATGCTTTTATTTTGAAAGGAAGTATACCAGAAGTGTGAAGGACAGAAACGGAGAAGCTGCATTTGAAATGTTAACAAACAATTGTTCCCAAGTTGAATCGTGGCGATAAAGCACCTGTTTGAAAGAAGCACAAGGTTTGTCCATATTTAGTTTCTTATGCAAAGTACTATGAGGTGAGATTCTGAACCTATTTCTGTGAGAATTTATGTGAGAGTGTGTAAACTGGCGTGAAAGCGACAGCCATTTTTAAAACATTTGGCGCTAAAGGTGTTTAAGTTTGTAACAGGTGGGCTGAGAGACGCTATAAAATGGTTGAAGTGTGTATAGCTCAGATCAACCATTTTTTTCCTGATAGGTAAAAATGCACTATTTCAAGGATGAAATTGGTGAAACACAGTTTTAAATAAGCTAAAATAGACATGTTAGTATAGAAAAGGTATTTAGTTTGTTGCCTTCTCTAAGCTTGTACAGTGTGCTTTCTCTGTTCATGGATGTTCAGAAATACTACCTTGAACAATTAGTTGTAGAGTCAGACCATTAATTAACCAGAGATGCTGTAATCATAATATTTACTGTTGTTGTTATGTTGTGGAAATGTTTCATAGTTTTAGACCACAGGATGAGTGATGTGCTGTAATTTAGTTAGACTGCTTGCTGTTTTGGCAATTTGGTCCATGTATTATCCATCCATTCAATTATTCTATTCAATGTAGCAATCAAGACAACCCTGGATGTGAAACCCACACATTCCTTACAGGAAAGTTTCCTTATCTGGTCCCAGGAAACAGGATATAAATCTTTCCAGACATGTTTGCCCTTTCAGGTTAAATAAGTGACCCAACCGGAGGTTGACTAAACCTCTGACTCTTCAGGATTGGTCAGTTCGGCGAACAGAGACAGAGTTTTTATTACCTTTCAAACTGACTCCATTTGCTGACCATCTAAATAAACATTAACCTTAACCCAGATCTCCCATTTGAGATTTAGCGTCTTAAAGTGTGTGAACATACGGACCCCAGGAAAAGGGGGGGACACTGACCTCCAGACCTCGGTTGTAAAACCCAGCTCGATCATACACTGATAAAGACTACATTCCTTTGGTGAAAGAATACAAATGACTGATCCTGACATCTTATACATTCAGCAATGTACTAATCTGTCTAATCATGAAATTTGTGTTAAAATGAGATGTTTCCCATTTTTCTATGTGCTCCAGAAGCCGAGTTATCGCTCTTTAGTTTCTTTAGACCAACAGCTTTTCAGACTGTTTCATGAACTTTTAAGAGTTACATTTATTGACTATGGATCATAACTTTACTCTATGAACACAGAAATAGTTTAGAAATGTTTGGTCTATATTTTAATCGTTTATTTAGTATTTTTAACCATTAGGTGGTTATAATGTCATTGAATAACCTTAATGTGAGTATTTAGAATCCATTATTAATCATGATGAAGTTCATTCACATGTGTTTTCTCTTTTGTTGTTCACAGTTTCCATGTGTTACTATCTGTTTCATTTCAGAGTAATTTAGCATGTTCAATGTGATACTTTAAACATAATGAGAATGTTTGATGTGATCCTACACTTCATTCATATGTGTTTAGTGTCAAATTATTTGTCATGAAACCAAGCATTCAATGATATTAATCATAGTGAGTGAGTATCAGATCTGACTCTTTTACCAGCCAAAAGAATAAGTTAGATCAAATAATCAAAGACCACACGACCCTCCTCTGTCTCACACACACACGCCGGAGCCACTCCCAGTGTGAGAAGATAAAACCAGTGAAGTGGGGTTGCTCACTCTCTTATGCTGCTCTTATTTCTCTTATGCTTCTGCTCTTCTGCTGACTCTCTTGTCCCCGGCTCTTATGCCCCTTCTCTTCTGTCCACACCCTTCTGTGGTGCGTTTCTTTGTTTTCTCTTAGAACTTTTTCTTAGTCTTCTAAGTTTTACGCCACGTGTTGATTCACGTTGATTTTTCTTTAACATCGTCTTAGTTCAAGTTTTGAAACTTCAACTTTTTGTGCACATAGCAATTCAAGATTAAGCCTTTGATTGATTTTCTTTAATTTCGCGAAGCCATTTTTGAAAGTTTTCTCTGCTCTTCGAGCCTCGTTTTTCTGAGTTTTCTGCGTGATTTCAAAGTCACCTCCGAACGCAATCCAACAGGCCCAGGTCATCCTCTGTGCCAGAGTTTTTGAGTGAGACTAAAGAAGTACCCAAACGAGCATCCACAGGATCCACAGGCGCTGGTTTTTGCTTCGGGCCTGAGTGCTGCAACTCCTGGCTCATCCTTCGGCTGACTTCAGTCGTCTTCTGAGCTGAACCGCTCGAACCGCCAGTAGCCCGGACCTTCGGAACCTGCTCCATCTTCTCCAAGGACCAGTCTCACTTAAGTATGCAAACCTCCAGAGCTCTAAAGAGGGCTGGTGCTGTCTCCTGCGTTCAACTCAGATATCCTCTTATTCTGGTAATCTTAGATTCCTCCAAATCCACATCCGAGTTTATCTCGACACTAAAGTTAGTGTAGGTTAATATGTTAGCGCATATTCACTCACTATCATTAACTTTAGTGCTCCTAGCCTGACTCAGAATCTTGATTTATTCACCTATTATTATTTATCTTCATTATCTTATCATCATTTATTGCATGTGTGTTGTACCATCATTTATCCTGTAATAAACAGATAATTATTTTTCTAAGTTCTGGTCTGTTAGTGTTCTTCCAGAAGTGGAGTCCCTGAAATTAGAATTTCGACTTAAGATATGAGACTGATTAATTAAGACTGATTAATTAAGACTGATTAATTAAAACTGACTTGATGTTTGATTTCTGAATTAAACTTTTGTTTTCTTTATTTTCCCACCATTAAGGGTGGGTGGTGCCCCTTTCAACGAGTGCATAAATGTCATAATTTGAGATTATTAATCTTCAGACATTTATTATAAATTCCAATCGCCAAGTATATTTTGGTGCGACCTTGTGAGGCTCATTTCAAATCGCTACATATATTTTGGTGCGACCGTATGAGGCTCATTTCAAATCACTACATATATTTTGGAGCCCCTGCGTGAGGCGTTTCAAACAAAACTTCTGGATACTAACAGACAACCTAAAACTTAGCCTTCCAAATTGATGCGAGAAACTTATTTCCAGGCTATTTTAGACTTAATCACAATCAATGCTATGCTTGCTGAAGTTGCTTAACTAAGTTCTGATGTTTTCCTGATCTATGCATAAAACCTTTATGCTCTGTGTTTCACACACTTTTGTACTACATGCCTGTAGTCTGTGTTTGAGCTGGACAGCGTGAAATGTTGTTCTGAGTAGCAGTGAGACTGACTCTTCTGCTCTGTCTAGACTGTCCAATATTTAAGTGCACGATTGTGGCGTCGCCGTACGCTTGTATTTAAGGCCTTTGGCTGAACCCAGTGTTCGCGATGCTCCGAGCTGTGGTTTCAAGCCCCTGAAGTCTCTGTAGTCTGCTACGAGGTTCTAGTAACTATATGGGATTCAGATTTTCCTCCTTTCCCCTGACAGATTAGCTATCTGTCACAGGAAACCACTGTAACAGTGGGAGGTTGTTGTTTGACTGAATTCAGACAAAATTTGTGTTCACAAATCGCCGCATTTGTGATTTTAAAGTCTGCAGTTGAATCTGCTGTTGAGGGATTTGTCACTTTGATTCTTGTCTCTATAGTCTGCTACGAGGTTCTAGTAACTATATGGGATTCAGATTTCCTCCTTTCCCCTGACAGATTAGCTACCTGTCACAGGAAACCACTGTAACAGTGGGAGGTTGTTGTTTGATTGAATTGAGACAAAATTTGTGTTCACAAATCGCCGCATTTGTGATTTTTAAGTTTGCAGTTGAATCTGCTGTTGAGGGATTTGTCACTTTGATTCTTGTCTCTATAGTCTGCTATGAAGTTCTAGTAACTATATGGGATTTAGATTTCCTCCTTTCCCCTGACAGATAAGCTATCTGTCACAGGAAACCACTGTAACAGTGGGAGGTTGTTGTTTGAATGAATTCAGACAAAATCCGTGATCACGGATCGCCGCATTTGTGATTTTAAAGTCTGCAGTTGAATCTGCTGTTTAAGGATTTGTCACTTTGATTCTTGTTCCTGTAAATGATTCTATTGAACCAATCTGCCTGAGCAGATGGTGGAAAGTTCTATGTTTGAGGGTGCAGACGCAGCCTGCTGTGAAATGTTAACCCTTTGTTGTCAGTGGAGAGACTGACCATTTGGCCTTAAGCAGATAAGGCCCTTCAAGGAGGCAGAGCCTAAAGGCCCCTTCCTTCATACTTCCCAACTCCTCACAGCCACAAGAGGCTAGTTGGATGACTGTTTCCTCTTCTCTTCTTCTTCTCCACTTGTGTTGAGCTTGTGCAGTTCTCCCAACTCCATACTGCCCCACATGGTTGCTTTTGGTATTGAGCTAACACTGTTATCTGCCTGCAGTATCAGCCAGCTGTACTGCCTCTCTGTAGTCAGTGTGTAACACTCTACAGACATAATTCAAGTGATTGACTTGGTTGATGAAGTTTGATGTGCTTATTCTAAATCATTGATCACTGATTTTTGATTTTTATCTTTGTTATAAGAGCCTACATAATGCATTGATAAAGTAACTCCTTGAATCAATCACCTGATCTGTTGTTACTTATCACACCATTGAGCAGTTTTACTGTTCCCTATAATACATGAATGTATTAACCCTCCTCATAAGATTAATTAATTAATGCACAAATTAATTAATATTTCAAATTTCTTTTAACATTCCAGATAGATTTGGTATTCGAACCTTTGGATTTATTGCAATTTGTGAATTAACTTCAGAGTTAATTCCTTAAATTGACAATTTCATCGATTTTGCCAATTCATCCAACTGCACCAGGCAGTTTATTTAAGCTTTGCTGATCTCTGCAACACGGAGACAAACTGAACCCTTTATTCAATGGTTCTGTATCTGATGTTAAATTTAATTTAACATTATTTCACCTTTTGTTTTCAATTTTCATTGAAATGAATTTAACTTTATGTTATTTTTCTCTCCATTAGAGATCTACTCAGATAGGCTCTTTCTCTTTATCAAGCACTGATAAATTAAGTCGATTAACCCACTTAATTTGATATTTTGCTTCTTCCTTTTATTTTAAGTCAACTCAAACTCATCAACCAACCAGCTGCACCTCTTTACCAAAACCAAACATGCCTAACACAAAAGAGTCCAGCCAGGGAGACCCCCTGAGGGACATACACACAGTGTTGGCAAACTTGACTAGTCAGCTGATACCTCAGTACATGACTAAGATTCAAAAGGCCAAACCCTCCAATCCGGAGGATGAAATGGCTGACTTACTGGAAACAGCCTTAACCACGACACTTCGTGACAAAGAGCTCACTAGATGCATGTCTGTCATGATGTCTTCTCAGCTTGAGTATAAAGACTACTTGCTGGAATGCGCTTTAGCAAAGATAAAGGCGCAAAAAGACGAAAACAGCGCTCTGAAAAAGACGCTAGAAGAGACTAAGAAGTCTCTAAGTGTTTTAGGAAAACACAGTGTCAGATGTGAAGCGTCAAAGCTTCCCTCACTGATAAGTCATGAAGAAAATCTTGATCTTAAAGACAAGATTGAAAGACTTAATGAAACCCTTTACAAAAAGGAGAAAGAACTTGATGACACGAATAAGCAGCTTGCTAAGACCACAGAGGATCTGATACAGTCAGAATCCCTGCTAGAGCAAGCAACAGAAGATGTAAAAACTTTGAAAGCACTGGTCAAAGTGCGTGCTGAAGCTCTTGAAGCTAAGGAGAAGCAAACTTCTACCTTACAGCACCAGCTCCAGATAGCTCAGAGACAGTTAATTCTTTGTCAAGAACGGCAAGAAAAGACAGACAAAGAACTTGAAGATGCCCAAAGAGAGTTACAATGCTCCCTCCAGTCAGGTCGAGCCCAAAGAGAACGCATGGAGCAAACTTTTCTTGAAGAAATGATAGGTGATCAGCCTCCTGAGAGAGCGCCATCACTTCCTTCCAAACCAACTCTTAAGTATCTCTCTCAGCATCATGACAGGACCCTGCTTGACCCTGAGAGGTCATCCTTAAACCAAGAGTCCTACTCTCCTCCTCATGATGGCTTCTTACCATCTCCCTCAGATAGGGATCTTGACAAAATTGCTCGCAACATAGCACGTTTTGAACCTGAGCACCAAGGTGCTATTGACACCTGCACCTACTTGAAAGACATTGACTTTTACCTGAGGAAATTTCCAGGTGCAACCATTGATGACAAAATCTACCTTATTAAGGCAACGTCAAGTCGAGAGGTTAGCAGTTTCCTTGAACGACAGCCTTATCATGTCAGAAATAATTATGACTTGCTCTGCCAAGCATTAATTGAAGAGTTTTCTGACTATTTGACCCAGACAGGCCTCTCTGCTGCTCTGTCTATTAAACAAGGGAGATCAGAATCTCCCCAACAGTATTACAACCGCTTATGCGAAGCTTACTTTGGTTTCCGAAATGAACCAGAAATGGAGGAGGACTTGAACTTCAAAACGCTGTTCGTCCAGAACCTCCACCCTACCACCAGTCATCACCTTGGCGTCTTAGCTTGTCCAAACACTTTGACTAGCCGACAGCTTCGTGAACTTGCTGTAAAAGGTTTTGCCAAACAACGACAAACTTTGGCTAAGAAAGCAGAGCCCGTTACTCTCTTGGCTATGGGGACAAAATCACTGCCCATGGAGCTGAACGAAACTTCAGACTGTGTATTTTCAGGCTCCGATAAGCCTCCAAATGAGTGGTTAACCAGGCCTCCAAAACCTTTTCGACCTCAACAAACTCACAAAGGTCAAAGTTACACACCAAGGCCCAGGTCTGACACAGACCAATGCCCGGTAAACTTTGAGACCAACTGTTGTTATTCAGACTCCCGTCACGGTGGGTTTTGTCCCAGACAAAGGAAAAACCATCGACACCGCCAAAGGGGGGTGAATGACTGGCAGAATCAGAGTAAATCACACTCTCAGAAACGACGATCTTATTATCCACCTCAATCGGTTTCATCCACTTTGAAGGTGAATAAACATGACTACTCAGCTAACCACTGAGATTAACACTGCGGAGTCATGAAGGTGTGAGTCCTGCGAAAGCAGAAGTCACCCAGCCAAAGCTAAATGACTCCAATAAGATATCCAAATGCTGTGGTGATACATTGATGACTGCAACCCCAGTTGCTGCTTTCTTTGTTAGCATTTGTCTCTCCTCTGTCAATATGGTCAGCTTGTCAGCTGTCAAATATCTCATCAATAGATTAAAAGCTGAAATTTCTGTCATTAAGACTCAGATTGACAAATTTCAGACTCAACAGCAGATAATTAGTCAAACCGGTAAGAGCATCATCCCCAAGTTTAACAGACAAAGTTTAAGAGAAACTCTGTGCAGTAAACTTTTGATGTTTGTGATTCAGGTTGACTATGCTCATACACAGATGATTAAACATGTCTATAGCAGACATTTCTTTTCCACCTAAGTCTTAACCATTTTTGAAACTGAAATTGAACTTTCAGACTTCTCCAGCAAGCATGGAAAACAGCTATATCTTTAGATCCAGTTAGCATTCAGACTAAATAGTGCTTTCCTAAATCTCATTAATACTGAAAATTAGGAGATTTTCTTTCACATTAGTCTACCAATAGTTAACTGAGAAAAGTCTAACAACAAGACTATTTTATTTGATAGCTTAATGCATGCTTAATTTTATCTCAAAGCAGTACTAGTGATTCACATAGTGATGACGAGACGCATCAGTCCTATTTGCATACACCTGCTGCTGCTTCATGGTTGTCTACTCGTCGTCCCGATGCTCCATGGACAGGACCACCGTGACGAAGGGGGGACTGTAGCAATCAAGACAACCCTGGATGTGAAACCCACACATTCCTTACAGGAAAGTTTCCTTATCTGGTCCCAGGAAACAGGATATAAATCTTTCCAGACATGTTTGCCCTTTCAGGTTAAATAAGTGACCCAACCGGAGGTTGACTAAACCTCTGACTCTTCAGGATTGGTCAGTTCGGCGAACAGAGACAGAGTTTTTATTACCTTTCAAACTGACTCCATTTGCTGACCATCTAAATAAACATTAACCTTAACCCAGATCTCCCATTTGAGATTTAGCGTCTTAAAGTGTGTGAACATACGGACCCCAGGAAAAGGGGGGGACACTGACCTCCAGACCTCGGTTGTAAAACCCAGCTCGATCATACACTGATAAAGACTACATTCCTTTGGTGAAAGAATACAAATGACTGATCCTGACATCTTATACATTCAGCAATGTACTAATCTGTCTAATCATGAAATTTGTGTTAAAATGAGATGTTTCCCATTTTTCTATGTGCTCCAGAAGCCGAGTTATCGCTCTTTAGTTTCTTTAGACCAACAGCTTTTCAGACTGTTTCATGAACTTTTAAGAGTTACATTTATTGACTATGGATCATAACTTTACTCTATGAACACAGAAATAGTTTAGAAATGTTTGGTCTATATTTTAATCGTTTATTTAGTATTTTTAACCATTAGGTGGTTATAATGTCATTGAATAACCTTAATGTGAGTATTTAGAATCCATTATTAATCATGATGAAGTTCATTCACATGTGTTTTCTCTTTTGTTGTTCACAGTTTCCATGTGTTACTATCTGTTTCATTTCAGAGTAATTTAGCATGTTCAATGTGATACTTTAAACATAATGAGAATGTTTGATGTGATCCTACACTTCATTCATATGTGTTTAGTGTCAAATTATTTGTCATGAAACCAAGCATTCAATGATATTAATCATAGTGAGTG